ACTTGCCTCCCAAATGTGGATATTCAATAGCTTAAGTGTCTAGTTCGGCCCATCCAAGTGAATTTGATGACTTACTTGCAGCAGCGGCGAATGATGTTGGTTGCGGAGAGCCTAAGCAGCGTGATCCTAAGCATAGCGTGATTGTGTCAGTGTATGTTGCAAGAATCCTTGGGGATCCGGCTGTTTGAACATGTGGGGGTGCCCGACAAAATGAAACAACCAAATGAGCACTTTTTAAGGGTTTGTAGCACTTTTTTTGGAAATGAGCGTTTTTTGTTTCTGAGCACTTTTTAGTGTATCGAAGGAAGGTTCAGGATCTTTTAAGATGTTTTTAATAATAAACCCTCCCCAATTAATCATCACCAACTAATTATCTTGTAATGCAACAGGCAAACATTGGATTCGAAGGCGGGAACACGCGGAACGCTCTGTAGGGACGAACTGGGTCTCAATCATCAACGCAAAGAATGATCTGGATTCATCATGTTTTGAAAAGTTTCAGCCTGACCACAAACTTTGCAGCTGGAAAAGTGCTTTCATGCACTTCCTCAGGATACCAGCTTCTGAAACCACCGATATCAGCAGATAACTGAGGACACCGACGTTTGTGGCACCCTCCAGGGAGATTCCCATCACTGGCCTCAATCCAATTTTGACCGTGGCATTACTATGCTTCAACTGCCACATGCCTCACTCGGATCATTTCCAAAAGGTGCCGATCTTATTTGATCAGGGTGACTATAGATGTGACTAGATGTGACTAGACCCTCAGAAAAGTAGCAAAAGCCAGCTGTAGTTGTAGTAGTAGTAGTAGTAGTAGTTGGGACATGAAATTGAAATTAAGCTGAGATTCAACGGACCCTCTTCGATGCTGCAGAGATTCTCGAACCTTTTCATGAACTTGAAATACATGTTGCCGGCTCGTCATGGATAATTACTCTACAAGATCTTTGTTAATACATGTTAATACACAATAATTTAACGTTTATCATCAAGGAGAAGGGATCGAAATTCCATATTCCAAATATCCAAATATCCCGCCAATAACATCCAAGAACCCAATCGTTGTTGCTTCATATCCCATGATCCGCAACCCTGTCGTCGAGTCGCAGGAAATCTTTGGGCACGACACGACCGGCGGAAGCTGCAGAACCGAAATGCCCTCGAGGTACCAGACATGGGGATATTTACTGTGCAAAACAACGGGACATTTCAATAGAACCCCCAACACTGGGAAGCTTTATTTTGAATATAATGGGGATATTGCAATCCACCAATATGAACATCAATTGGAGGATTCGGATATGCCGGATACGCATGACATATTGCACATCTCAATTCGCACATGAAACTAAACCCGATTTTCACTCTAGCACATTTAAGGCCCTGCAAACCACAAATCTTGGTCATTCGAAGTATCAAACATCCATTCTTGGTACAAGCTATCCGTATAGATTGGGTTAGCTACTGGGAAAAAGCTTAGCTATACACAAATGCATGGCACATAAAGTAAACCAATAAGAAACTACAATCTGTCCAAAATACTGCGGAAGTTACAAAACATTGTTGAACACTGGAATTAATCCAATTACTGAACATGCATGGGAGAGGAGTACCCCATGATTATCTGAAAGAAATATTCTGCATCGGAGTCCTTGGGAGAAACATCAGCCACTCAAGCCCATGATGCATCTTTCGGTATGTCGGGCTTTCAAGTACCTGAATTTGTCCCTCATCATTAGTGAAGCTGGAAGCCTTCGTCTGTTGTCCCCAACAAAAAACAAACAGCAAAAGTCTGCAAGTCCTTTTTGCATCGTGAAACAGCTGTCATCTCATCATCAGCAACATTCAGTTGCCACAAAGTTCCCAAGAGGGAACATGTTATGAGGCGCCAGGTGCGTCACGACTGAAGATTTTCAGGCCGCTGGGGGCCTGGAAGGGGGAACAAAAGGTGAACCAAAAGACCACCAGGTGTTCCTCAAATCGTGGCCAACTCCCCAAAGAATTGCCAAAGCCCAGATTTCTCCAGCAAAATTGAGCCAATTCAACATTTTTCGTCCCAAATTCTATTCAGAAACACCTTGAAATGTAGAGCGATTGTTGAAATTCCACTGATCTGAATGTATGTCGTATGTATGTCGAATCAGATTCACCAAGATTCAGCAATCACCAACTTATCTTCCGATTGGTGTGATCTTTTGTCACTTGATGACCTCACGTGGTGATGAGGCCATTCTGCAGAGAGCCAATGACCTGCAACCAGGGCCCCACCTTGTGGCGGTAGAATGGAGGATACCCCCAAACTATTGCCATTTTAATAGGAAAATGATGATCAACGATGATCATTGGTGATGATTTTTATCCATACTTTTCCTAGTAACATGATTTTTGGAGGATAACGGAGGTACCTAAATCATCATTGGTGATCAACCATCGTCAATCGCCGGGTATGGGTAGCCAAAAGCTTCAAACCCAATTGGACCAAGCTTGGGAAGCCGCGGCCTGTTGCTGTTCACGAGCAACGTGGGCTTGCTGACGCTTCAGGTCTGAAAACCTCCGACGATGGACATTGGAAAATCGCTGCAAAGAAACACTCAAATGTAGAAAAACAATGTGAAAAAAAGATGACTAAGAAAAACCATAGCATGATCACATGATTCATAGACGTCTGCATCCTGTCTATCTTGTGAGACTGGTTGCAAAGTTGCTACAGGCCCGGACCCCTTCTCCAACTTCTTTAGCTTTCCACCGTTGTCTTCCATGGTCTTGGATACACCTGACACAACGTGAACGTGACACAAGGGATGCCATCGCTGCAACGTTGAAAACTTAACGTGAAACAAAATCCAATGTGAATGTCATTAAAGAATCACTCCTGATATGTGGTGATGACTCGGGTGACAAGAATTGCCACCACCAAGTAGAAGCTTTGTCGTGGGATTGGCACAATAATTCTAAGGCTTCAAGCAAAGCTGCACTCTGTCCGCCAAACTTTGGGATAGTCCCAGCTCACACCACTGTTCAAAAGAACACCCAAAACCAGATGACATCGGACGACATCGGACGTCAAGGTCTCCAATTCAGGGACCTTCCGGATCCATCACAATTTGAGATTGACGCCCGTTGCTTCAGCACCCCCCGCACCTTCAAGTCGTTGTCGGGCTTTGCTGATCAACGCCGAGATCTGCGCAGAAACAAAGCGGGCGGCTGTGCGCTGGCTACACGTGGCAAGCCTTGAGGGCCAATACCAGCCTCCTCATCAATGTCTTTGGCCTGAGCTTGGTGGAAAGCACAGGCCGACAGGCCATCATGAGGTAATGAATCAGGTATATTTGGAAATCCCAAAAATACATGAGAAGTATAAAACAAAACAAAACCAGCTCCATAACCAAGCACCTCTTGTTGGGGTCCCAGCCACCACACTCTTGTTGGTCGGAGATCCCTGACGTAGCAGGGATGGTTGTCATAAAATGATATGAGCATGCCTTGAGTACCGCGAGTATCCTCCTTAAATGCAAGCAACCTTATACTGTGTGTGTTTTTTTTAACTGTGATTTACCGTGAAGAAAATGTGTCCTATATAAAATGCATTAAAAGGCAACCGGACCTGCACATTTATCTGCAAAAATGCAAAAACACATTAGCTGACAATGCCTCGGCACGATCTGTAGACATTTTGACCTGCAATTGTTGAAGCTGAGCAGCTGAACACTAGAATCGGCTTGCTGGCACTGCCTCTCTTGATTCATATTCAGGAATGCAAAACATTGCAAAACTGTCACCATCAACAGTCCACAAGGATTGGATGGAGCCCCTTGGACTGTGACACTAGGAACCACTCAAATCGCAGCCCAACTATCATGGCAATCATACGCGTCATCTCAATGTGACCAGGACCATTCCGGATGTTTAGGATGATGATTCCCATATATATATATATTCCATTATATTCCATTATATTCCCATGAAATCTCATCAAGAATAGTCCTAATATTCCCAATGATGGTACCAAAGTACCCATGACGACTGGAACCTCCTCGTCCTCCGCCATGACGCTGTCACAGGCTGTGGGCGTTGTTCACCCACTGAACCACAACAGCTTGCGGGACAGGTGGATCTATGCAACAGAACCTGTCAGCACTACCCAACCCGATCTTAAATGAAGAAAATCATGATAAACTATATGATAAATGATGAACTAATTACAGTAGATTTCGGGGTAATTACTCAAGTTTGGACAAACCCATATGTGTATCGATCACATAACATCACATAACCATGAGTCTCTGCTCTCCTGTATATCCAGTGCAGAAGGCAGCTAATGTAGATATATAATTACACTCTAAAACCACGAAAGGGCAAAGTTGTTATCCTCCATATATGGTCTATAGTACCCCAAACAAATGCAGGTCTTTGTTGGGCCCATGGTAGCCATGGTTCAGGGTGAAGGTTTCAACCCATGGTTTTGGGGATACCACCAGTTCAAGAAACCACCATACAGTAATCATTCAGAAGTTGGTGATAGTCACACCAGGTGTAGATTGGAAATACATGGAAATACATGAACATTTAAATACGAAACATATAGAAAAAAACAAAGCCATCAGCAACATGTCTTGTTGTCTTCAACGTATTGAACTATTCATTGCCCTATTCATCTTGGGCACCCGAAGCTGGAGCCTGTTTTCACGCAAGGCCAATTGAAGGTGAGCAATCATCTCATGTGACTTTGCGGTAGTGTACACTCCGTGCTGCCACTGCAGTCAAAGAACTACAGCGAAGTTCACACTCCTCTCAAAATGTGAACATCTTTGAAGACTTTCAAAAATCTTTGAAAGTTCGATTTCAATTTCAAATAATCATAAACTGAAGAAACACAGCGGCACGCTCATAAAGCCTGGCTACGTCCTGTTGGAACGCGGAATTAATTGATCGCCAGTGCCACTGTTGAACCACAAAAAAATGCTAAACATCATCCTGGTTGACACCTTACGCCTCATGGCCCGTGGCACTCCCAACTCAGCTGCACTGGCCATGTTGGGCTGTTGATTCATTGGCCACTCATTAAGTTTGGATCACGGATGATCATGTTACTGAACACGGGAGGTCCCAAACCTGTCAGCAGTTCATGAGATGTGAAGAGCTTTACGTTGTGCTCACGGCAGTGTGTAGCCTATTGAAAAAAGATTGACCTTCTTTGATGAAGCAGACCCAGCAGCGTATCTAGAAACAAACTGTGCTTCATTAGTGGTCATTGTCATTGAGCGATGTTTTTTTTACATTCATACAACACCGACAAGGGCACAAGAAACGAGGAAACAAACATGAGGTACAGCTACGTACAGCTGAGCTCACGGAAATGAAACAAACTTATTGCCTTATTGCTGTCGCATTTGGAACCTGTATCTTTTCTGTTGTAAAGGCTCTGGCCCAAGAAAGCCCCAACAAACTCTTCTCGCTCATTATGTCTACCTTTATAATCTTTACATTTGTAGAGCAACCATGTTCCACCTGCAATCCCAATCTTCAAAAAATCAGCAGTTGGTCCCTCCACAGCGCCATCACCATCCACCATCGCTGGGAGCCCTGCCCGGATTGCATGCTTTGCTGCATGGGATCGAGACCTCCGAGACCACCTGTGCCCGGCATCTCAAAGTCCACCTGCCGTTGCCCGAGTTGCCCGGAACCCATGAGGCCCACCTCGGCGGGTCGGAGAGGGGTCACACGGAGATCTTGGAGATCTTGGAGATGGGGCCACTAGACATGTTGCAACAACTTCGATTTCACCTGAGAATTGGTTTATATTGGTTTGTGACGGTTGATTTGTTTTTGAAGGTGGACTAAAAACTGACAAAGCCACGCCATCCAAATCCTAGGAATTTCCTGAAGAGTTTTCCTGCAGGTACAATCTCTTTCAGCACATGTTTCCAGTCCATCAGCCACTGTCTACACAATTGTGCCCTGGGGATCCCTGAGGTCCACACATCAGGTTGCATGGTCATCCCTGGCCTCGGAATTCCCGTGTGAAGCACTGTGAAGTACCATGGCTTGCAAGGGGAGCTATGGCAGGCTATGGCAGGCTATGGGGAAAGGCACGCCCCGGTGCTGAGGCCGCAGCATTCCTCGCTCAGATTCGATCAAGGCTCTACTCATGCTCTCCAGTTGCCTGGTCCAATCCCGGTGCACCCAGGAAGCCCGGGATCTTTGAGGCACGACCCAAAGAGGCAGAAATCAGAACAAGGATCTGTTGAACTGCTGCATCATATTTTTTTCCCAAACAATATCCTGGAATGATTGATGATGAACACCTGTAGGTGGAAAGACCTTTAATTGGTATCCTCACCACTGGGAGATGCAATCTTGGCATGTGCTACCAGAACTTCCCACGCTCACTGAGAATCGCATTGTCAATCGGAAGTGATTCTCTGGATGCAAAACAAATACAGCAAAACTTGGTACACACACACACCAAATAAAAACATGAGTCTTTGAGGTGGTTGATGGTTCCAACCCTGCTGATATGACTGTAACAGCTCCTTTTTATTCAGCTGACCAGCTGACCATCGACACCCACCACCTTGTGATGCTTCGTTGCAGCTTCAAGTGCTTCTGCTCAAGCTCCTACAGGTGATTTTGTCGACTTGGGAGCCTTTGGCTTCCAAAAAAAATACACGGCAACTTGACTGGGTGCAAATTGCAACTGTTTGGTCTCAGTAGGCGTTTCTAAATCTCGTACCTCTGAAAACTTTAAACCACAGAATGTACCTATTATCCTTGGGAAACCAATGGATAAACCGTGCCCAATTTGAGGCCATTCAAATTCCAAAAATCTAGTACTACAAACTAAGCATTTATAGAATATACATGAATACACGTATATATATATATACACATAATATTATATATATATATATATCATTTATATACCCATTGGTTTTCTTTGGGCTGTCCAGAAATTTCTGACGTTTGCTCCTCCCGCAGGTCGGACTCCAGGGACTTCATCCGGCCTTCGAGGCGTTCCGTGGTGCCTGAGACCTGGCTCCGGCTCGGGATTTGTAGAGAAAAACATCTGGGAAAACATAGGAATTTTATGGAATTTTATGGATTTGTTTAAGAATTTTATGGAATTTAATGGAATTGTTTGTATCTGAAATCCTGGGAGAGGTGGAATTTTCTGGAATTGTCCAGGGGCTAATAGGGCTACCCCCAAATATCATGACATGTTTATCCATTTTTTGGGTGGGTTTTCCATGACATGAACCATCCAGTTATTAGGGATACCATATTAAAAATGATGGGGAATCATGTGGATAACATGTTGGGGATAACATGGATTTAGAAAAGTAGATTTCGAAAAGTATATTTCGAACAGTATAGTCCAACATAGTCCAACATCCTGCATGACAATAGATGTAGAAGACTTGCCTTTGGGAAGTAACATCATATTTGAAACTTGGGAAAGAAACAGCGAATGGCTCTCATCAAGTCATTAGGTCAACCATGTCAGCAGCCGGATTGGGCACCTTCATGCGGTCGACAGCCACAGCATCATTGAGCTTAGAGACCTCAAGGCGGCGGAACACGTCATGACCAAACCATAGGGTATTGGTCAAATCATTCGGATAATTGGCAAAAACAGTAGTAAGAAATACACAAACCATCTCAAACCTATTTTCATCTATTTTCCTTAAGACTTCTCCCTTACCACTCTTGGCAGCACTTGGTCAACTGTCTTGATGCTGCTTGATGATGCTTGATGATGCTTGATAATGCTTGATGATGCTTGATGATGCTTGATAATGCTTGATGATGCTTGATGATGCTTGATGATGCTTGATGATGCTTGATAATGCTTGATGATGCTTGATGATGCTTGATAATGCTTGATGATGCTTGATGATGCTTGATGATGCTTGATGATGCGTGATGGATATTTTCACGAACCTTCGCACGGAGCAATCCATTGCAAACCAATTCAAGATAGTGATGAAGCTTGGAGAAAAAACTCATCTGAGGGAATCAGGTTATCTTGAAGGAAACAGTCGGAAAAACAGAGGTCTCCGAAGAAACCTCCGCCCCGTCAATGTAGCTTATTTCAGAAATAGGAAGTGCTTCGCTTTTCACACTCGTCGCAGCCACAAATCTGGTTCTATGCAAGGGACATCCATTGCAGCACTGGAAATGCGCTCCTGGTAACTTTGATCACGAGGCCAACAGCATCCAACAGCTAGCGTCGAGTGATATGAAACAGTGTCTAAATAGTAAGTTATTTCTTACCCATAGGATCCATGTATGGTATATATGGTAACATTTACCATCAATATACCCCAAATGTTCGCAATATATATATATACCATACATGGATCCTATGGGTTATTGGGCTTTCAATCGAAACAACTACGACTTGGTGGAAGCAGTGACCCATCAAATATTGTCTGGTACACTGAATACAACCCAGCAGGCATTTCTTTCTCAAGAGACGACTCTGTCCTGCAAATGGCCTGTCGTCTTCAACATGGTATCCTCAACCTAACATTCTCACGGGAAGGAAGGCTGAACTGGAACAAGGAAGGCCATGAGCTACTACCTTCATTAAAATGTGTAGTTACTCTCTCTCTCTCTCTCTGTGCCAATCGAACATTGCAGTAGGAAATCGTCCCTATGCAAATCCTATATGATAGATGCTTCAACTAAACACAACTCTCATTTTCACCGGAATTTCATTTTTTATAAGTTATAAGTATAGTTCTTTTGGAATTTTGAACCTTTCATGACTTTTATGTGTGTTTCCTATATGTCTTCCTATATGTTTTGTGTAAATTCCAGGTTTGATCGCCACCTTGGGCACCACTTGCAGCACTGTGTCAAGGTCTTGCGCCATGAGTTCCGCCTCAGAAAACCGGCGGAGTGGTGAGATCTGGGACCCAATGGTGGAGAAAACCAGTATATATATATGTAATATATGTTAGTATATTTAGTATATGTTAGTATATGTTAGTATATTATAATCATATTCATATCCTATCATATTATAATGTATTAATATTCTATAACTTCAAATGACCATAAATGGAGGTATACTCCCACATACCGTTAATGTTCGGCAAAAACTCCAATGTCTGAATTGTCCATCCCAAGTCAGAAGTCTTCGCTGTGGATATCTGTGGATGGTGCTCGCTTCTCCAGGTCCGCAAAGCTCGTCTGGTGTCGCCTCTGGTCGTCGGATCATCGACCAGTTTTTTCCTAGACCACCCAGATATCCACTGATATCATATGTGCCATATCACCATACCCAGAAGATTCACGAATATTCCATCGAAATTTCATGGAAATTCTATGAAAAAACCACAGGATTCTGCAATTCCAACGTATTGTTCACGTATTGAAACACACATCATCCAATCACAGGCATTTGGAGGCACAGGATCGGCGCTATGGAGCACCACTATGACCAAACAGAAGATATATGATATATATTGGCTGGAATTAAAAACCTGATACACAAGCTATTCAGGTACGGTATTAACATCAAATTATAGCCGAACATTTTATAGACCTTCATCCCAGCATTCGTATGTCAAAATCATGGAACAACTTCGAAAGGTGTGTAGATCGAGTTGACCAACCGACAAGGGGCTGAAAGTCCATCTGCAGCTGTTGAATCTGCTGATTCGACTGACCGCCTTTCTCCTGCTGCTGTTGTAAGTCCTGGCTGCTTCAAGCCATAAAGGAGCGGCACAAGCGACGCCATGATGGAAATACGCACTACGTCTAGCTTGGATATCCACTCTCTCTCTCTCTCTATATTAATAGCATTTACAATTATAACCAAGTATAATTGCAATTATCATATAATATATGAAGAAAAAAAATGTCATACATTGTACATAACTTCACGCCATGTTTGAGTCCGGCCCTAGTCTTATCACATGTCCTGGACTCGAGTTGCCAAGGTTGCAACCTCCTGGATGGGTGGCAGATGGGTTACAGGGTGGATATTGGTGTTCAACAGGTTCCATGTCGCAACGGCACAAGGAAGAAAGAGACTTTCAAGATCTTTCAAGGATTTCTGGCCTTGTTTGAACATGACATACTTTTGCATGTTCAAAACCAATCAATATGTATAGGTCTTATGTCTAGAGATATCAATATGGTCCAATATGCAGCTACAAGTCCTATGTTCAAGGTTTGACCTGAGTCTCCAATAAAGCAGAGTACCCAAATAGTAGCTTTGCATTTTGGACCACCCATCTCGATAGTCGGGCTATTCACCCAGGGGCACCTCTTTGATCGCTTCCTTCATGGTTTGTGAGTGTTTGGCAAGCCTCGGTCACCATGATATGTCGCACAAGTGCCACAACCAAGCTGCAAAACTGGAATTGCATGGGGAAAAATGGTAGAAGGGGGATACTAGGACATCCCAGGGTATGTTGGTTGTTATGATTTTATGTTGATGTTCAATGTTTGTTCCTTGGTGTTGATGATTCTTGTTTGGGTTTTTGAAGGGGTTTTCAGGGGGTAACTTTCACTTGATGTTTGGATTGGATGAGGGGGGGAATTGTTTAGGTTGTTGTGTTTTATGTTTGGGTTTGGGTGGGTGATTACTTCATAATATATTTTGTGAAGATATTATGAATTAATCATTTACAGTATTTATGCTTTCCAGTTGCCTATTCCATCCCACCAACATTCAATCAATCTTATTTATGTTCAGCAAGGTTGTTCTGTATCGTTCATTTCATCCATTGCCTCTCTAACTATTGAAATGAGACTGCTGACAAGACTCTGCAAGATAACAATGATAAACAAGATATGTACCTACTTCTTGAGTTGCAACATTCCCACCACCCTTCTTATCCAGAGTGTTAGATGTGCTTGTGTACATCCACCTACATAATGTATGCCCTTCCCAACATACTTCTTACATAGCGCCTTCTATATACAATTTATGTTGAGATGATATCAATCTAACAAGTTCATGAAGAAACAGCTATGGCTATATCATATCAATTACTCCATCACCTCTATCACACTAGTCACCTATTGCTACTGTATATTCTGTTCCAAGATGCGCAGCTACCCATTCTTATGGCATGCTGTGCAGCAAATGTTTTCTGTTATTGTGTTGATTGTTTGTGGTTCCCTGCAAGCCTCACAGGAACAATTGAATCCTGTCACAAGAGTCTGTAGATGCCAGTGCTTTATGACAGCATATGATAGCCTTTGGAGGTGAACTCTATTTTTTGCTCTCAAATAACGGTTTTAAGCCTACTTTGGTCACAAAACACTGTAACTACCAGTATTTTTGACCATTTTTGGAGCAAAAAACACTCCCCCATGAGGGGCCGTTCTGTTTTTTTTTAATGGGATGTACTGATATACTGATATACTGGAATTATCTTTCCCAAATCTCAGTGAAGTCAGTGTTCAGCTTCCATCGAGAACACGTTCTTTCGACATGGAAGTATCGGGTAAATTTGGTGGCCAAGAAGAGGCCCCATTGCATGTGGCCCTGCGCTAACTTTCAGGCCACCCAATTGCCAAGCTTGAGATATCCAACCAACCCCAACTTTCACCAAGAAACTCCTGTTGGATTTGCAGGGTGAAGTGCTGCTGCAGCTGCTGCTGCAGCTGTTGGGTCAACTGTTGTGGAAGTTGGCTCTGCAACTGTTGTGATTGTTGGGTCATTTGCTGTGTTGCCTGCTGACTCTGCTGCAGCTGCTGTTGGATCTGCGAGGACCTCAGCTGCAAAGCTGGAACATCAGCAGCTGATCGATATACTGAGAATGGTACAGTGCTTGCGCCCCCACAACATCCCACAACTATGATCTAACAGGCAGAACATCAATGGATTTGCCTGGCAAAGTGCTGAAAGATTTTTCGAATTTATCTAGGCCAAGGCACATTTGGTGCAACTGCGCAGATTGTTGCTGCAACTTTTGGGACTGCTGCTGGTACTGCTGGGTCTGTTGGCTCAGTTGCTGCGCATGCTGTGAGATCTGCTGGGAGTGCTGTTGAAGCTGCTGAGAATGTTGCTGTAATTGCCTCAGATGCGACAGATCGAAATTTCGATTCACTTGATTTCACTGGTTTTTTTCCGCAACCTGAATAAATCAATCAATTACCCTCTGGTTATTTATAACACAGCCATGGAAAATCACCATTTATAATAGGTAAACCATCTATAAATGGGCCATTTCCCATGACTATATTAAATAACCAGAGGGATCCAGAGGGTACAATCAATTGTTCAGTGTAAAGACCAGGGTTCACCTGGAAGTCGAGTAAAGACATGTGGTTCACCTGGCCAAGTTGCTGTGATTGCTGATGAACTTGCTGCACTTGTTGCTGTTGCCGCAGCCTCAGCAAACTGCAGTAATGAACAGTCCTCCATCACTCAGTCTATTTCTGTGTTTGAATCCGAAGGCGATCCTGAGCCCCCTGAGCCCCCTGAGCCCCCTGAGCCATCCCCAACTACTGAAGGACTTGTGAACACTTGTGGATCCCCACTGCTGATCATGGCAGTCACGCACCAGCGCTTTCTCAAATCCCGTCTGCCGCTCGTCTAGCCTTAGGAAAACAGGGCTGGAATTTGATGTTCCATCCCAGGACTCCAGGAGAAATCAGATCTTTGCTGAATTTGTCATTCCAGATCTTCCACATGGCAAAAGCAACACTCCGTATTTTACATATATTCAGAATGAGAATGAGTCATAATATATGTCAGAATGATATCATATCATTGATCATCATTGATCGATATGAATCATCACAGCCTGCCCACAGCTCATCTTTCCTTAAAAGCGATGTACCTCCAGAGTTCACCCCGAACGGTACCACTGAGGAAATCGATCTCTTCCAAAATGGTGTCTGTCAAGGTGTTGAAGGCCTTACCACACCGCTGTGTTCAAGGCATCTCGTTGGAGGGAAATGCTGGGAGCTGTCCTAATCAAAAAACCAATTAGTTACTATGTTAGTTCAATGCTAGTTCTTACTTGCATGGACGTGATCTCTGCTCTCTGTCCGTTTTTGACCTAACCTCTGGTGCACATCATGGAGCATTGATTGTGCAAAAGGCGAATGCACGGCCTTCAAATGGCAGGGTTCAATCACTTCGAATCCGGTATTTTGATGGGACAAAATGGTGATCATCAACATGATAATTCCTTACCCTCTGGTAAACTAACATAGCTATTGAAAATTGCCCATTTATAGTTGATTTACCTATTAACGATGGTGATTTTCCATAATTAGTTATGTTAAATTGGGGGAACCCGATTTTCAGTCCAGCCCAGCAGGTTCGCACCAGCCAAGCGAATCCCTGGCCGTTGCCTCTTTCAGAGTTCGAACTTGGCTCTGAAGAAATTCGAAGGAACGGCGCCTGGCAAGCCGATGACACTTGGGAAGCGATTGCGGTGAGGAACATCCACGAAAATATGAATCATACGCTAAAGTATACTATAGTCACTACCACAAAGATACTTTATGTCGTTAAGTTAGTATATAGTCACTACCACAAACATAGACTTATGTCGTTGATTGCCGGTTCCAAGGTGCCAAAGATATCCGGTGCTATTTTTCTTCACTTTTCCAGGTCCCAAACGAGCCAGGGCCACGAGGACTGCTCAAACTCGATGTTGGTCACACTCTCCAGCGCCAGCTCATCATGCAACTGGTTCACACGGCTCGTCATCCTGGACATGACATCGTTTCCGTTTGAGCTATGGCAGCTATGGATCAAGTTGTAGCTCGTTGTGGGTGAACAATGGTGGAATATGGTGAATATCTGAAGTGGCCATCTTATATAATTAGTCAGATAATGTCAGATATATCAGTCCCTAAGCTCTGGTAAGCTTGATTTTGGATGATTTTGGATGATTTTGGATGATTTTGGCATCCCCAAAGTTGCCTTAAGATTCCCAGCTATGCCAGCAATGCCTTTCCATCCATCCCCTGCGCCGCGCCTGCGCATGATGTTGCCATATGCCGCAGGTTTCTTCTCCTTGGCCAAGGTCAAGGGCCTCGGTGGACGTCGCCATGGTTGGTCGGTGGAACTGGGGAATTCACCACGGATTTTTTGAGCGGAAATGGCGCTTACGATTGTTACCATTATCATCCATGAATCCATGATCCAAGTTTGAGCATTTATAAGAACTCAGGTTCTACAAAGAAAGAGACTTACTGATAGACTATCGTAAACCATGGTAATCTGAGCTAGGCAGCTAGACTTGGACTTGTGAATTCAGCAAAGTTGGCTTTATGTGGGTCCTCATTAAGCATGCCCACATCAGACTAGCAGAAAATCAGATTTGAGGCACAGCTGATCAACCAAGAGCCTGGCGCTGCCATGACACCTGGCAGATGCTTGCCCACAGTTTGGTGGATATTATATTTGATGATAGTTGATGATAGTTGATATTTGACTTTCTGGTGTAGTTGTGACAGCTAGGCAGCTGGAAGTGAAACGAGTCTTGCTTGCTTTGCTGGTCTGGTGCAAATGGGGAGCCAAAGGACCTGGTCTTGAAAGGAGTTTGACTTCGAACATATTTTGGCAACAACTGCACCATCAATGTCAACCAGTACTTGAGACGCCCACACTTCTGGTTCGACCACGCTTTGGATCGTCAGGTCGTGAGCCTGTCAGCAAGCTTTGCACATTGCTGCCGTCTATCTTCTTCACACAATTTAAATCTGACTTTTGTCGGTAGGAATTTGGAAATCAGCAGCGTGGCATTGGCAGTTGAGAATCTCCTCATTTCTCCTCCTACTCTGAAGATCCAGAAAGTCGAAAGAAGAAATCTCATCTGCCACAACACTCTCATTATCTTTCATGATAAACATACTTCCCAAAAAACTGGGTATAGATTATCAACTATCATCAACTATCATCAACTATCATCAACTATCATAAACATCTTCATGATTATGTCGTACATCAATGACCTGAAGCAAGTCGTTGGGATAGACTTACCCCGCCTGTGCAGCCGAGCCCGGACACCGCAGCTGAGCCAAGAGGCACCCGAAGCAGCAGCTTGCAATGGGTCAAAAAGCAACGAGCACCCCAGAAAATGTTGCCAGAATTGATGATTTATATATGATTTACAATGATTTACTGATTTGATGTATGTTTATATATGTTTATGTATGATTTGATGGGATGGAAATTTCACGTTTAATGACTTATAGCCAAATCTTTGGGACCTTTGGTTCAGATTATAACATGGGTTGGTTAGTCAGTGAAGTTTGCAAAGTTCCGCTGGCGACCAGGAGAGATGACCTGAAAACAAGAAAACAAAAGCATGATGCGAGAGTTGACTTGTTCTGCCGTGGTCAAAGTGCGATATCATGCGATATCATCACGCTTGCAACTTGCAGTAACTTGCAACACCTTTCTCTGTTCCCAATTGCTTCCTCGTGCGTGAGAGCTGTTGACTGAAATGAGACGCCCCTACAACAACTCTCGTAAGAATCGTAAGATCCTGTACATAAGATACGGCCGCCTTCAGCCTGAAATCTGAAATCTATTGCCCTTTTGCGCCATGGTCAACAAAACCCCAGAGCCCATAGCTTTGAGGAGGAAGGGCAAATTCATGCACAGAATTCTGAGTGCTTGACATCTGCATGTCGGAAGCACGAATGAATTGACTGCGAAACTGAGCACCGCTCTGGCACTGTGGATGTATCCTGCCAGTTGCCAAAGCATCGCTGCTTGTGCGGTTCACCCAACGCAAGCGACCTGCTGCTATTCGGATCATCACAGTGTCAGGCTGGTCCACCTGTGAATCTGAGCAGGCCTTGGAGTGACGGTTGATATCGGTTGATAGTGGAATGACCCCAGATCTCCAAACACATCACTGCGAGCGGATCAAACATCTGAAGATATCTGAAGCATTATGAACACAGAATGCGGTACCTGAAAGGCTTGGCCTCAAAACTGCTGTCATTTATTGATTTTATTGGCTTCTTACAAGCGCCACGGTGCTTCGACTAGCCAAACACATCCAGACGAATGCCTGGGGAAACCTTTGATCCATCATAGTCTATCTAGATTTTTTTGCGGGCCCACTTCTTTCTCTTCTATTGAGGATACATAATAGTTCAAAGGAGCAAAGGGCAGTGACTCTTTGGTGAACTTGCAATGCACGGTCTTTCATAAACAGTCTCAGTCTTGTGGTGTATGTGGACTTCCTTTGAACACTATGGTTCAACATTCATGCAACAAGTTAAACCACCCAGAACCCATTCATGCACACTTTGTAGGTCAAGGAACTCTGGACATCATTGGCGTTGGCGAAGCAGTACAGCCCTTAGGTCCACATGATGGCTGCATCGGCTGCATGGATTGCACGGGCTGCATAAGTTGCACGGCCTGCATGGGTTGCACGGGCTGCATAGGCTGCACCGGCTGCATCAGCATCATGGGTGCTGGGGCAACGGGAATTTCCCGTGATTGAAAGTCAGGCGCAGCAAATCCATCAGCTCGACCCGCTCGACCCGCTCGACCTTCAAAGCTTGGAGCTGTCTGCGAGGACATGGCTCTCACAGGTGAGGCAGAAGATGCCAGCGTCTGAATCTGGGCGCCTCAGGGGTGCCATGTCCATGTGCCCAATCCAACACTCAAAACTTGGAGATATGTCATATTATGTCATGATACGTCGTCAGTTCAGGTTCAACCATTGTTGGCTGGTATATCCAGCTTTGATGCTTCTTCTCATTTTGGTGCGCATGGCAAAATAGCCCTTCCTATCTGAAATATCACGCGACGGGTTCAACCATTTATAGCCAACATCCCAATAGTGATTCCATTATGTTCCGACTTTGTGATCATTTGTGATCAATATCAATATCCATCAATTTCCCCAATGAATTGGGAGATATTGGGAGATTAGGTTGACCCATGATTGACCCTTTAGTGCCTTGTCTCGCCCGCGCCAGGGCCACTGTAGCTTCATGACCACTGAGCTTCTCCACTTTCTGTCGCTTGGCCTTCCCACCTGGTGTTGAGCTCTGGGATGCCACAGATGGGCCAACCGCCATGCGATCCATGCGCACATCTCCAAGGATCTGAAAGTCGTCAAAACCAATGAGATCCTCGTAGATCAAATGAACCACTAGTCCAGTGCTGTTCTGCAAGTTCAACAACAAACCCTGAGGATTCCGAGCTGGAAAACGTCGATGTAGCAACAACTGACCACCTGGTGCCCCATAGGCCAGGCAATGCACAAAACCTGTGCCCAGCTGGGATTCGTTGCAGTTCAGCGGTGATCCACCACAGTCGATGGAGATAGTGCCATCAGTTCCCTGGGGGCACAAGCGCAGCTTGATGCGAGGCACCGACCTCAGCTTCTTCTGCAGGGTACTGCCAAAGGGAGGACGCCGTCCCAAAGCGATCTCAATCACACGAGGGTCTCCAGACTCGAGGGCCTCACATCACATCGTGGCTTCAGTCACACTTTTCCGACATATTGTCATATATTGTCCAACATCTTGTCCAGGAACTGAAAATGCGAAGAAAGGTCAAGTTGCATCAATTTGCCATCATTGTGAATATGGGAAGTGTTGTCGGATGCTCTACAGCATCACTTGAAATCTTGGAATTTCCACCCGACACAACCTGAAGCCCTGAAGCCTCAAGGGACGACAGCTGGCGCTCCTTTAGGGCCACAGCTCCCACATCTCCAATGTTTGGAAGCTGTCGCACCAGCATGGTGCTGTTCTCCCAGATCTGCTTGCGCAAACCTGGTAGCACCAGGATACAGCTAGCTGCTACTAGCTGTTTTTGGGGCTTCACATCCAGAATATGAGGATGATCCAAGTCAATGGGGCCGTGAAACAAACATCATTGACAGTTAAAAACCACATAATCTTGGATTGAAAGTATCAGCTGACAGGAGCCACCATCACAACAGTAATCTAAGTGCCAGACAGTTTCGCATCAACACGCAAGCTGCCAAAGCACGTCCTGCACAGCTGGTCACCCATCGTCTGGTGCGATCCTTGTGTTCAACCCTCTCAAGAAATGTATATACACATACGCAGAAAGCAAGCTGACGTCCTTCTTTCCGAGTTTCAAAGAGCTCCGAAACTACCCGCAACAAGGGCTCAGCGCGTCGAAGCACCTGCCACGCAGTGATTTAATCTTAGGTTGGTGAAGAATCAGAAATCGAAGCAGGATCCTTCCAATTCCTTCATCATTTTTATAATGTGGTAGCACCAGCCAGCATATAAAATAATCAAATCCATGGTTTCTATCCCTTGGAACCCATGGATCTCATTCTGGAACCTGTTTTCGCACTACCCCCCTGCAGCTGGCGCAACCTGCGACTGCTGTGATTTCAACTCCCAGGACAGCTGCGAACGCGGTGAGTCAGCTAGGGCCAGCATCAGCAACACCAAGACCTGGAAGCATCTGGCAGATTCAATGACCACTGTGCTGTATATAGTATATTAATATTATATAATAATAAATATATATATTATATATAGTATAGTATATTAATATGTATGTATTAATGTATATCTAATATGTTAATAGTTAATATATATATATATATATGTATTATATATACGTATAATATTATATCGATTCAAAGCATCAGTCTTTTTAGATTTTACGGTGCATTGCGGTGCAAAACACCGAAAGAACCATGATCAGTAACCTATCTATTGTTGAGATGTTGCCAGGTCCAGTCAATGATTGGTGGCTGCAGTCAATCTCAATTAACAATGATTTACAGACATCTTGAGATCACCTATGCATCATTTGCCAAGGTCAATTTGAGCACTCAAACAGTGCCTTCTTGGCTGCAGAATCCACAGGGCCTGCCAAAGGCCAGCCTCAGCAGGACGACTGGTCAAGACTCTACTGCACTGCTGAGATGAACATGAATTCCAGGATGTTCAAACACTCTTTACACTATACTGAGTATACTGGCTCACATCTTTCCTCCACGGGGGTTCTATGTCATAAATGTTCATCAATGTTCATCATCCTCGTCATTCACAGTATATCACGGCAAACCACCGAGACTCCGCACGTACCGCGTCCTTCTTCGCCAAATCCCTCAGCTGGGTCTTCTCCCCATGCCTGGGTCGGTACTCCGCAAAATCGGCGCTTTGGGCGATGAGCCACAGAAGCTCCTGTGATGAGGGTAGCTGGCCCAGACCCAACAAGATCAACAAACATCTACTGAATACGCTTGAATCATCTTGAATCTATCCGGTTCCTCAAAAAATATAAGACATGTGACATCAACTCCTATTAGGATTATCAGGATCTTCATCTAGTTAGTCTAGATTTCTTGTGACTGGACTATGAAATTGCCATCTCGAAAGGTCTGGCGTAGGAATGAACGTTCTGGGCACACGAGGGTGCAACATTATAACACGAAGAATCGAGAAAACCTGAATAGCTGGAAATCATCGATCATGATATATCATACATTATAGATATGTATCCATTGGAGAGGCGACACGCAGTATCCCAGCATCCTACTGGTGGAAAGCTCCTTGAGATCTGCCGGTGCCGGTGCTTGCTGAAGCCAACGAATGGTATCATAGCGCACGGAAAAACGACTGGCAACTTCACCTGGTTGGAGCCACTGCAGCAAACAATGTGAGTCAAGATTGATATCATCTTATATCCCATAGGATCCATGTATGGTATATATGCGAACAGTGGTATATTGATGGTAAATGTTACCATATATACCATACATGGATCCTATGGGTATATATATATATATCATCTTATATGTTGTATATATATATTATACATTGCATAGTAATGAATAATTTAATTAATTAATTAATTAATTAATCAATTAATTAATTAATATGTATATTTTTAGAGCCTTCAGGGATTGTTGGATGAAACGTAACAGGCTGAACCATTACTGACACATTCTTTGAACATGTTGGAACATCCAAAACACACTGAAGCCACGAACCAGTCACCAAGAGCCGTGGCTTGAAGCTCCGCCCCGTCACAAGTGATCAGCCCTGCAGTCACCAACTTCTCCAACTCCTGCTGGCTAAGGGCACGGAGAAACTGCTCCAGATCTGGCCCGTCACTTGAGAGCAAAGGATGGACACCGTTGATGAAAACTGGACACAGAGTTGCATAGTGACCTGGATCTCTTGCACATCGCACTGCTAAGAAAGTACTTTTCAACCAAGTGGAGAGGCTCTGAATGTTTGGTGTTGTCTGAGCTACCACTTCAGCAAGCAATGCCTCTGTCAAGTTTCCAGGCAGCCTGCTTTCCAGTGGCCGACCTGCCATGATCTGCTGCCACCGACCCGCGTTGCCGGTCTCTGTCATGATCACCGCAACACCCTGACGGTCAAACTGCGGTCTCCCTGCACGGCCCATGATTTGCAACATCTCCAACTCATCATACTCCTCCCAGCCATGATCCTTGTAGGCAGTGGTGCCTTTCACAATCACCAGCCGTGCAGGGAGGTTCACGCCCAAAGCCAAAGTCTGAGTGCAAAAGAGCACCACAATGGCGGATTGAAGGAACAGCTGTTCCACAATCTGTCGATCTGTCGCATTGAGGCCTGCATGATGATATGCCAGGCCATTTGGTACGAGGCTTCTCAAAGTCGAATCCGTCAAGGACATGGCTTTCTCTTTCAACAACAACTGAAGATGAGGATCCAACCATCCCGGACCTTGCCCTGAGCCTTCCTGTTGTAGGGACTTGGCCGCCGTTTCGCATGCACGCTTGGTCACACAAAAGACTAGGGTGGCCTTGCCATCGGAGAACTGCCGAATGATGGGTGACAAATGATGATTCAAAGCTTCTTGGAACACAAACTCATTCTTCGCGCTTTTGTAGGTCTGCACATGGATGGCCAAAGGAACCGGTCTGAAGTCCATCCCAAAGGTCTTCAGAGCACCATCACCACGATCATCTTGAAGCCATTTGGCCACATCGGAGCCATTGGGCACCTGCCATTGGAAGCCCAGAGGGATGAGCAAACATCAGCAGACCATAGTAACCATAGCAAGAACTTTGTCATCCAACAATTACATTACAAATTCTCCTGTTGATATCTTTAAGTTTATCCCACAAACATCAAAAGCTAGGACCTAGGAATTTGGGAGAACTATAATATCTATAATGAACTATCGAAACATACAGTAACATATAGTAACATATAGTAGCATATAGTAACATATAGTGAATTAGAGTAACATATAGTAACTATATAGGTTCTAAGTCAGATTTCTTCAACCTCTCCCATCAGTAACTCAACCCGGACTCCCAGGACTCCCAGGACTCTCAGGACTCCGAGCTGTGGCTGATACCGCCACGAAGCGAGGCTTCACCTGTGATGAATTCCAGGGATGTGGTGATGGTAGGATGCTGATCAATAATAGACATCTCTAGACTATAGATAACTATATATGTATGATATATGCATAGTCTATATAGATCTATATAATACCCATAGGATCCATGTATGCTATATATGGTAACATGTACCATCAATATACCCCCAATGTTAGCATATATACCATACATGGATCCTATGGGATATAGTAGTAAGATGTAGGAAAAAATGTTCAAAACTTAATGTAATGACTAATGATAAATGATCAGGATATATCAGGATGCTGTGAACAAATGTGAACAGAATTCCAAATAGCAATTGTGTTGAGGCGTTTCGCAGCTGAGACATGGACGCCGTAGCCACCATTTCTCAACCTCAGGCATGTGCAGTTCTTCAACAAAGAAACGCTGCTACATCCAGAAAAGTACGGGGTTGAGATTGGCAACACACGGGGATTCTTTGAACGTTGTCTCGTGTCCAACTGATGAATTCTACCTGCTGCACCTGAAACATGGATGTTTCACACCGTTTCTCAGTCCTCGCCGAGCTCGCTACGCTTGAAGCCTTGCGATGACTGCTTCCAGCAATGCACCTCTCTTGGGCATGTTCAGCATATGTACCTGTGCCAAGGAGCTAACATCAAAAGAAACACTTCTGGTGGTTGAGCCATCGCATAAATCTGATCAACTGGGGCTCATCATCCCCATAGTTGATCAAACATACAGAGATTGAAACCATCAACACTAAGTCTCTTTTGCTCAGATTGCACTTTTTTGCAACTTCCATGATTTAAAGTTTTTTTTTGCATTATAGTGCTTGTTCAAATGGCTGAAATCTCATCATGCCCAGGGCCCCAGGGCACCTCGTCCAAACACACCAGTTGAAGGTCCTCCTTGGAACCAATGTTTCTGACTACAGCTGGCAACCCGACAACATGGCATTTATGGGGTATGGTCGGTATGGTCATCCACCCAATCATGGAATCCACCCAATGTAGGCCATATTTAAAATACCAAAATACATGGGCCAAAATGAAGATCAAGTTACAACCCTTCTTTGATCATACCTTCCTGGCTTTGTGGGCTGTTCAACAGGACGTCTTCCATCATTTTCCTACCACACTTGCAAGCAAGATTCCACGATGCCAAATCCTTGAGATCTCCCGGCCTCTGGTGACTTGTCAACGGATTCCACCGACTTCCAGCATGGCAACCAATGAGAAACCAGGCCTGTCGCATCAACGCATCCCACCTCAGAAATCGGGATGGAAGATCTCCAACGAACCAGCCGAAGCTAAGTTAGTGCCACTGTGCGGCGAAAAAAAAAAATGTTTCCCAACTATCTCAAACGGTAAAACCAACCATTCAAGAATATTCATACATCAATCATCATCAATCATGATAATCATGAAACCAATAAAATCCGGTGAATGAAACAAAACTCAAAGTGACAGTACAAGTATTACGCTACCTGCTGCGCTCCCAAGGCGTCCACATCTCTGGTGTTGCAACGATGACCCGTGCTTTGGCCAATCGCGAGGTGCCTGCCACAGGTTATCATGCCTCCCAGTTAGCCAGTTAGTGGCAAATATAATTCTAATATCCCACATATGTCCCTGGTTTAAACGGGATTTTCCAAAATATGTAAGTGGGGCTCTGAATCATAAGCTGGTTATTACCAACTTCCTAAGTGGGATGTGGGATGCACATCAAAGCAAGTGATAAACTGAGAATATGATACAGTTTTTGCTGTTGTTATAGTTTATAAATTTATAAATTTATAAATGTTTATAATATACAACAGGTACCACTGTACCATCACAACAGTTCTTACGGTTACCCTGGTTATTTTTTGCCTTATGATTCCACTTGGATGATCGGTGGCCTCGGCCCTTTAGTGCTCGGAAGTCCTCGTCCCCAGTGAGCTCCACAACTTCCTGTGTGCACAAGTTGGTTTGCAAATCCCATTGACATCTATTAACTATAGATACATATCATATAATATGATCAGATTAGATTATATGACCATATATGTGCATTATATATTTACATTATATATTAATTATATCTACCATAAACCATAGTTAATTCAGTTACAAATCAACTTACCGGTGGCTATGGTCCAGGGGCACCAGCTTTTAATGGTTCGACCATCAACCATCACCTTGCTCACCCGCGCCTCTCCAAGCTCTCCGAAGCTTTGTTTCCATTCGCGCACCTTTTCTTGACATAGTGCCTGAATACAGCGGCTCGGCAGTGCCCCTGTGCCCCAGGGAGCTTCGAGATTATCTGACATGAGGCTGTCTTGGATTGTCTTGCCCTTGGACCATGGTTGAACCCTAGCAACAGAGCTGTTGTCAATTTCAACCATAAAAAGAAAACTTCGACTGTCAAAGGCATTATTGGTAATATTACCGTCAGCTCATTTCCAACCACTGGCTGAATCCTCCACAGGCTTGTTTTCATTTGTTTTCAAGCTGTTTCTGGGGTGTTAGGCTCAAGCAGCTCAGGCCTTCAAAGGAGCCAGGTACAAAGCTTTGGCCTTGTCGGAAGTTCGAAACCTCATTGCACCGCCGATTTGACAGCTGCAGTGGCTCAGATTTGTGCTCAACGAAACCATGAAGAATCTTGGCATCCAAAGACATCTTCTCGAACAACCCCCAAAAACAGCAAGTCAACTGGAAAGAGTTGTGCCGACATGTGCCGACCATGTTTGTAATTGTGGCACTTTTGCGATCACCCCCAATGCTGCACCATAGTTCTTCGCACTCCTATTTTTTAACGGTTGTTTCTTTGCTCGCCGCCTGTAATGCGCCAAAAGAGCATTGAAAATTGACGTTGGAACTTGCTAGGGTAGCAACTCCACAAAATGGAAGGCACCCGTCTGACCCTGACATCAGTGGCATGTTGGATGTTATGTCATTGAGGATGTCGCAATTTCAATTCGTACTTCAAACCAACAAATACCAACAGGCTGATGAGAGTCTCAAACAGTGCCTTGAGAACACCCCAACTTCAGCGACTTCTTGGAAGTGCATTGCTGACCATTAGGGTCCAAAATTACTGGTCAAGCCAGTCCTTTCCTACCAGAAGATTCAAAATCACACCAAAACAAGTCTATTTGTCGCAGAATGTACAGCAACTGAAGAGAGGGTCGAATCAAACAAAACAGCTTCGGAACCAACATACTTATTAGACTTATCCAAGCTTTCTCGTCCTGGCTATGTGGCATAGGCCAAAGAGGTTCAGCACTCGTCGCTGACATCGCTTTGCAAACGTCACGACTCACTCGCGGAACTCCGGGCAATGCCCACAGCTGTTGGAAACCGAGGTTTCTGTTCAAATGTCTTGCAGTATTTTCCTTTGAATCTTGGTTGTACAGTTGTACATCTCTCCATTTCCTCTGCTTTTGCCCCTTTTGAATCTTCTCTCACTATCTTGCAAACAATGTCTAGTCTAGCTCCATCCCCAAATTACAACCTGGCGCTTCACGCGCCGGGCTTCTGGATCTGTGCCACAAAGGACTGGCGAAAAGAGCAGCAGCACGCACGGTGGAAGAGGAATGGATGGTCCATAGGAATGGAAGAGTTGAATGTATTGTACGTGTTGTAATATGTTTGTAACCACCAGCCAGATCATTTATCTTGAGGAATATTGGCTTGAATATTGTAGTAGTTATAATCAAACAAATTCATCCAAATGCGTTCCGTGAACCTTGGAAATATCAGATGGATCAACGTGGTGAATATTTTTAGAGACGGTATGCGACGGTATAGAACAACAAATGACGTCGAAATACCTCAAACATGACCAGCATGTCTTGTCGCGACTGCCTCAATGTCCTTCGCAATCTTGCCAGAGTCCTCTTTGAAGCATCCAAAGAACCAAACATGGATTCAGACGCAAGAACCCCAGAAGTCTCACTGTATAATACTGTGAAGGTTTCAACCTCCTGATGCGTTTTGTCATTGGGGATCATCATCCCAAACATGGTTGAAAATATGCAAACCATCTATGAAATCACCACATATGTTTAGTCTAAGGGTGTAGAAGGATGTTCGGTGTGGACGATGTCTCCCTCTCGCTGTAAGAAGAATACTGCAAATGACGGTTTGGAACACGTTTTTCATAGTGTCTGTCGCTTTTGCAGGATGACATCAGATCTGTTTCTGGTAGGAAATATGATCCCAGGCAGGATGAGAAAAATGTAATCCGGTTTCTTTGCTGTAATGCCTACCTATAGAGTTGGACAATCCACAGTTTGCATCTATCTGTAAACAAGTTTCTGGGAAAACATTGGATTTTCATCGATTTTCCACATCATTCCATTTCTATATTAATTACTTTGCGATACTTTGCCCTACCGGGTTTTTAGCGTATTAAAACACGTCAAAACATCCAGTGGCCCCGATTCAGAACGTCCTTGAGGCCATCCTTGAGATGCTGAGGAATGCGGGAAGAGCCATTGGCAGCTCCAATCAAGGCCCCCATGACCATGCCTCAGGGCCCGCAGGGCCAGATGTATCCAGTAGTCCCATTGGAAAATAGGTTGGTTCTGTGAACATTCAAACCATTTAGACTTGTTGAAAGACTTAGTATTTCGATGATTTTTGGAACATTCAGTGAGTTTGGACTTATTTAAAAAAGGAAAACAATGGAAAACATACACACACCAGGAGTCGCATGTGTGCGAAAGGATACCTAAATAACAAGGGTCATTGATCATGGCTTCTCCTGGAAGTTTCTGAACCTTTGTATACGTTCTCTAAGAATTTCTTCCTTTGGACCCCTCTCCTTTCTCGCGCCTCGTGCCACATTCTCGCCACCACAATTGGCGTTGGCCAGCACGGCAGTCTCGAAATCAGAGCCGTATTTGTAGGTCATCTGCAGTACAGTTGGAAAGTTGGAATCCAAATATCAGGCCACCACGGGATCAGGTCGACTCAAGCATGCCGACAAAGATCTTCCAGAAACGCTCTCCTCGGCGAACTGTGGAACGGTAGAAGTGCTCTTTATGTGGGGTATTGTGGGGCTTTATCATTCTTTATCTTGCCATCAAAACTTGGATCAGGTCTGTTTTGGGGGGAGTTTCTACAGAACCTACACTATAATTCATCTATAATCACTATACAAATGTCATCAAATGTCACAGATTAGGTGAGCAGTCCAGCTTCCATCACATCTGCGAGAGCCTTGCCGTCAATGATCTGCCGAAGCATGTCGGAAAGCCTTGGGACTTCTTCCGTTGAGTCCGTGAATGGAAGCCGTATGGAAGCTGTATGGAAGAGCAGGTAGGAGCCAGCTCCACATACCGACAACCAAAGCTAGGCAAAAAAACAAAGAAAGGAAAGAAAGTAAAGTAGTACAGTATCGAAAATTCCAGGACATTCAACCATAACAATCTTGCTAACATTGCGGCAAGAAACAACCCAGCATATTCTTGGCAAGGGCGACCTCAACATGTGGTGCTTCCCTGTATCAAGATATCCACTGCCAACTTGACATGTCTGCTCTCCCTTGTCCGTTTCACCGTTGAATACCCAACGTGCCCAGGGAATGCAGTTGTGGTTCTGGCACGATACAGTCACACGAGAAGCTCACAGAGGAAAAGTCTCCAACCAATGCTGCCAACACACTTTTTCGTGTAACGGAGACAGCGCTTGCGACCTGCTCACAGTCTCTCTGTTCAAAAAACGCTTAAACTATCTTAAACTTAAACTCAAGTCATCTCAAAGTGAAATTCCAGTGGTTTCAAGGCTCCAGAGCTGGGCGCTGCACTTGCTTGCGCGCTTCATCTGGAGCCAAATGTGCTGTCGCTAAAGCCACTGGAACCTGCCACTGATGGCAACATGCGCAAATAATGAAGTCAGCTATCAATCCATTCCTTCTGTTGCCCTGAAAAAGGTCTTCAGTCAGTCTTCGGCCGTTCAGTATTTAGCTTTTTTTGTGGTAGCTTTCCAGCACTGGATGCTGAATCAAATCTGTTGCTCTTACCCTCATCACTTGAACGCTTTCGAGGCACTGTCATAGGAAGGCCGCAAGTTGTGTCCACGTTGTGACCTCAAATGGCAAATCATGAGGTGCTTAAATCGTCCTTGCTGGTCTTTCGGACTCTTTCATTCCCTTTGTATTTTGAAGTTATGTTGGACCAATCCAACATTTAGCTGCTAGCTTCTGCAACGAAGCAGCATCTGCACGGATAGCTACATCTGACTGCGACATGATGTCAAACAGTTTTGTGCTGTTTGATTGTCGGCTGTCATGAGTAGGGGTGTGACCTGTGACATAGTGTAACCACCTGTGTGTGTGAGTGTGTGCGCGTCCGTTTGCCTCCTGTTGTTGACCCTGCCCTCGCAACTAAGAGGAATGATTGTTGCTTCTGATAATTATACAGCACAGGGCTGACTTGAGGAGAAACCTCAACAGACTCGGTAACCTCCCAGCATACACCAGAAATTAGTACAATCAAGTGAAAATGCCCAGAGCTACAGCAAGCACGTCCAACTATCAAAGAAGCTTTGAGGTTGTCATGTCCCTTTCAGAAACTTGCAATCATAGGTATCCAGGTATCCAGGTATCCACATGTATCCAGCATTTCATTACCACCCCCAACTTCATGCCAACCTTCCAAACTGCCATTTTCCCGTGCCGAGGGGTTTGCCATCATTGTCAGGACAACGTTCAATGGGCACTCCACGCCTGAGTTGGAAGGCGAGCCATGGCAGCTATGGTCTGTGAGGATCACACAGACCAGGACCAGGTGGATAGTTCTTGAAACCAACAACTGAGACTTAGATTTCCAGCATTTCACTGGATTTCACTGGGGGGAAGCTGAGTTTTTGAAGTCTGTCATTACAGCGTCCGCCAAGATTTCCTGGTGAAGTCTGAGTCTGGGATTCCCGGCTGCTTGTTGGCAAAGAACATGCGATGCGTTGTACTGATGTAGCCTCTTGTGGGTTAGCTCTTCATCCAATCGAGTCATTGGGGGGTGTCCACGGTACATGGGGATTTGGTCCAGGGATATTCTCATGGCTAGATATTAAGATGGGGATACATTCGGATACATCACCAAATAACTTTGAAACATTCACCAGATAGACCAAATCATACCAAATCCAATCTCATATAGCTATAGGCTACAGGCACCTTCTTTACATCTCAGCTATCCATCAATGTGATCATGTATCCAAAAGCACACCATAAAATCTGTGGGCAGAAAGGAAACGACTACACGTTGACCCGCGCCCAGCTGTTCCGATGTCCGAGAAGCAATCGTTGTAGGCCCCGGGAGTAGTCATGAAGGTCACGTAGTTGTCACGAAGTCTCTCCTTCAACGGATCGATTCAAAACAGACAGCGGCAGAAAGATACAGTACCTGGAACGCAGTAGTTTGCCTGTAGTCTTCAGATGTCTTCGAATTCAGTTACTTCATGCCAGCGGCGATTTTGCGAAAAGAGGCACTTCACTTTTTCGCAGAACTATTCGTAGGGTGCAAAGTACCAGAAATACCTGTAAAATGCCGTTTAAACATATCAAAGTGCCCTAAATATCCGCAGGTTTCCGGTTAAAAGGCGACTTTCCAGTGACCACGAAAAGGAGAACTGCGCGACATCACCAAAAGAGACCAAACTAGGTTTTCTATAGGCAATCACACAAAATGGCAAACGATTTCCACCTAGAGGAAATATCAACAAACTTGCAAGAAGCAATCAATCAAGTCACAAACCAACAATAAGATACTATAAGTCTATTCATTAACATCTTTTAACAACGAGTCCAGTTAGACTAGCACTTTCACCCCAAACAACGCAGTCTCCGTTCTCTTTGCTCCAAGCTTCTGGGACGAACTGTCCACCGGCTTCTGCAATCGTCGTGTAACACAATCGCACCAGATCCTGGAAATATCTGGAAATCCGCAGGTTCCATCGGATTCCATCCCGAGTGAAACGGCGGTTTTCATCGGTTTTCGCTATCTTTGGGACTTTAGCATATAACATGGTGTGACGTCATACGACTGTCATAGGCCATCTAAGTTCAGTTGAAGCCAAGTCTCGGCATCCACAGTGTTTTCACCTCATGGCTTCGGGATGGAGAACTTTCTGATTCCATTGGACCACATGGAATCATGGAATATCATGGATACGTCCTGCATATATCTCCAAATCATTCAACATTAGCTATCCATAGCTATCCGACATACTTCCAAACCGGCGTTGGGCATTCTCAAGTTTGATGCAGACTGGCAATGGAACCGGATTCCTTGATCAACTCGCTGAGCTTCCAGGCCTTTGTCCAAAGTGCAGTGGTAGTGGTGCGACCTTGCCCTGGCAGTCGGCAAGTCATGACAGTCATAGAAAGTCTGCTTGGAGAAGCCTGCAAACCGGCCCAAAGTCAATGAGTTCCCCGTAGTCATTTAAGGCGTCTTTTCAAAGCACGAGAATGACCATCCCCAAAATGCATATCCAGCAATGCTGATCGAATCGTGTCTCAAACCATCACAGGCGCACCTTTCAGCACTGACACCCAAGAAGAATCGTATCTTGACTTATCTTGACCACCCTCAGATCCCGAAAAAAATAACCGAGTTCTTGAAAGGAAACTACAATCCAAGCAACCCCGCTTCGGGGAAGGTTCCAGGGTACCTATACCTTGGCAGTGTCACACCGTTGTCACACCTGGTCCAATAGGGCTTCTTCCCATGGGCAATCACCGAACCGATGATGTCACCGTCATTGCTTCCACGCCCAGCTCCTGGCATCCCAGGAAACTGGGCCACCGCTCGGAAAATCTCTGTTAAAGACTATATAAAGGCCACAAAAAAAACATAGACTCAGTTCCAACAACCATTAGAAGCCATTCAAAGTTGATGAGGGATGATTGGGATGATCGGGGACATATATATTCTAGTTACCATCATTTATATTGCAAAAGCACCGTCTTTGCCATTCTTTTCAGCGCCCATCAATTGGCCCATCAGCGTCCTCCAGTGTTTGAAAGAGCCATGATCGATCCACGCAACTCCACTTTGGGTTTCACCTTTTTTGCCGCGGCGCCAACCAGAAATGTCAAATGATAGCAGTGTCAAAAGTCATGGGAGGCCACTAATAGCAGTGGTCCAATTCTCATTGGCCAATTCTCTGAGTCCTCGGCATAGCCAGTGATCTTGCCGTAATCTGATTGCACTTGTGCCTGTCCTGCGGCAACGCAGCTGCAAGTCTGACGCTGTCAGAATCGGAATGTTGGACTCCCTATTTGGTGGATAAAATTTTGGCCAACTGCATGAACCCTATTTTTATCCTATATGATCTTTTCCATCCATTTCATGGAAATTATATCTTCATCGTCCCTTAAGAATCTTGGAAACATCAAGAAATCTCTCCTCCGTAGTACCAGTGAGTTGGCATGGCAATAGCATCTGCGATGTGCATGCCCCACAAGGCTCCAGCAACCTTCAGGCGACGGCCCGGGGGGGGGGGACTTGGGAATCCGTGCTTCTTCGTGGTTAAGCTATGTAAAGGAAGACTTTACCCGGCAAAATCATGGAAACGTAAATTAGACCACCATTTTTATAGAATTTGGCCTTTGCATCTTTTTGGGTGTTGCATGGTGTTGCTATAAAGACCATTTTCACGAGTTTTTGGGAATCTGACACTCTGCACATCCTGAGGCCGAGCGCGCGATCGGCAAAAGTGGCGGAGAACACCTCCACCGGAGCTTTTGCCGCCATCTTTCCTGCCAGGAGAACATCCGAGCCACTTATAGGTTTGAAGTTGACCTCTAAATGTAAAAGATTGCAAAAGAATGTAACAGAGATCTTTCACAAACCGTACCTGGATGTACATGGTTGTGTAGTATTGAGTGCCGAATTAGACTACAGGCAATAGGCTGCAACTTAAACCGTTTCCAAAGTCGCGCCTGTCTTCGGTGTGGCCAAGTTGCTTGAAGCAACTTGACCCATAAGTTCGACTATCAGCTGCAATGTGCTTGAGAAAAGCAGCAAATACGACCAAGAGCATCATGTTGTTCAGCGCCGAGAACAATTTCTAGACCCTGCTTGTCATCATGAAGACTACTCAAATACTATGGGACATACGGGACATGCGTGTCACAAAGTTGATCTCCAGGAATTCATTGGTCGCCCTGTCCCCTGAGGGCTCTGCATCCCCAGTATGGCCAATTCAAAGAGCACAGTCTTGCCCGCGCCCGTTGGAGCAGTCACAACCATGTTGCCATGACCCAGGTAGAGTTCCTTCCAGCACTCCGCCTGGCACTCAGCGAAAGCTGGACGCCGTTGGGAAGCACGGGGTAGGTACAGGGGTACCATCCAACTCTGATTGTTTTCCCGGCAGCCCCAGGTGGCCACATGTAATTATGGCAATCGATGTAGAAGTAGGTAACCATAGGCCATAGGTACCCCCTGGGTCCCTGAGACATCCTGAGACCCATGGGACCCATGGGACCCATGGCACCTGCACGGCGTTGAAGTTTTCAAACTTGAAGCAAGCTGCATGCTCAGACCTCATCAAAATACATCTGGAATCCAGACTTCAACCGCTCAGCCACTGCGACACCCAAACTTTCACCGCTCCGCTGAGCCCAGCTCGAGAGGCAATCTCGGATACGCCTCAGGTGATGGGTTCCAAGTCTTGCACTCTTGAAAGGAGTTATGCAATCCTCAAAGCTTGAGTAACTTGGTGCTTTAATATCTGTCATCCACCGAAACACCAAGCTTGCCCATACAAGGATGAAGCAGAGACCATACGAGTGAGTTCCGCATGCTGTTTATTCTGTTCCAAGGGACACTCCAGCGCGATGCGGTGCACCAAAGCCTGCATGTTGTTACACAAACGGACTACACGATCTCAAACGTCTAAAATCGATGGGCTATGCGTGGAAAACGAGCAAAATGCTGCAATTTTGACCAGCACAAAGAGTTCCATGATGTATGAGATGTTTTTTCCCCACCTGCCAGGTGAGGGTTGTTAGATTTTATGTCAGTTGCCTCCTCCTGCTCCTCCTCCTGCTCCTCCTCCTGCTCCTCCTCCTCCTCTCCTCCTCCTCCTCGTCCTCCTCGTTGTCCTCCTCGTCCTTGCTCAACTGCGACCCGCGATCCACAGTGTTCGCTGCCGGACCTCAACCACGACCATCCACGCCCAGTGTTCCCTGCCGGACCTCAACCACGACCATCCGCGCCCAGTGTTCCCTGCCGGACCTCAACCGCGACCATCCGCGCCCAGTGTTCCCTGCCGGACCTCAACCGCGACCATCCGCGCCCAGTGGTCCCTGCCGGACCTCAACCACGACCATCCACGCCCAGTGTTCCCTGCCGGACCTCAACCGCGAGTATCCACGCCAAGTGTTCCCTGCCGGACCTCATGTAGGAAGATATGGGACAAAGAATGTGCAGAAGAAAGTTAGAAAGAATGTCAGAAAGAATGTCAGAAGATATGCCAGAAGATATGCCAGATAGAATGCCAAATAGATTGCCAGATAGAATGCCAGAAGATATGTCAGAATATATGCCAGAAGATATGCCAGATAGAATACCAGATAATATGCCAGAAGATATGCCAGATAGAATGCCAGATAGAATGCCAGAAGATTTGCCAGATAGAATGCCAGAAAATATGCCAGAAGATATGCCAGATAGATATGCCAGAAGATATGCCAGAAGAAATGCCAGAAGATATGCCAGAAGATATGTCAGAATATATGCCAGAAGATATGTCAGATAGAATGCCAGAAGATATGTCAGAATATATGCCAGAAGATATGCCAGATAGAATGCCAGAAGATATGTCAGATAGAGTGCCGGAAGATATGCCAGATAGAATGCCAGAAGATTTGCCAGATAGAATGCCAGAGATATGCCAGAAGATATGCCAGATCATATGCCAGAAGATATGCCAGATAGAATGCGAAATAGAATGTCAGAAGATATGTCAGATAGAATGCCAGAAGATTTGCCAGTAAGAAAATGTATAAATGTCATGGTGGGGATCACACGAAGTAAAGTAATTTTTGCATTGCGTGGACTTCCTGCCCGAAAAGATCTGCTAAACAACTCACAGCTGAAAATTGAGGACGGCTTTCCCAATCAGGCAGCAACTCTGAACCATATCATCATATCTACCCAATCAAGCCAAGAAATCTTGAAGAACTCTACTGCATCTTGTCACATCTTTTAACTCTGTGTTCAAACAGGTTGGGACGATGCTTTCACAAAACATAAAAGGAATTCATCACATGATTTCTCCCTGACGGCATGCCTTCATCTGTTGGCGCGTCGGAGGCAAACCTAGGTGCGTGGGAGCGACAAGCTCTATCATTGCTTCGTTCTGTTGCCGCCCGCTGGGCTGAGGCATAATCTTCATGGTGATCGGCGTCTACGACATACTTTGGTATGGCATCGTGTCGTCTTCTATCATTGTCATTCTCATTCAGGATCTGATGCAGTGGGTGTGGAACCAAGCTGCCTATTCAATGAAGCGAGCATATCCTACAGAATCTCAAAGATAAATCAGACAGGGGCATTCTCAATTGACCGCCATATGATCTCTGCTCGAAGATCTTGAGACACCTGATATTTTGAGGGTCAGATTTGATCACCATTCTACAGTCTGAGCCGAGGTGGTCGCATCAGTTTGAGATCGTTTGACACTTTCCCATATCCAGAGCTAGATATAGGATGATATAGGCCAATATGATTCCTCTTCATCAATAGATTCCGATGCTGAGCCCCAAACAGCTGGCGTGGCTGAAGCTTCCCCCCAATGTGATGTACCTCCATGGTTTGCGGTGACTGGCTCCGAAACGCCCAACTGCACAGAACATCGTCCAGAACGAGTTCATAAAAGGGTAACGCATCATACCCTGACCATACCCTGACCTGTTGCGGATACAACTGTTAGAATCAGAAATCCGCCTGCCGTCGTCCTCGCTCCACTGGAGACTTGGTGATGGCATCAAACCTTGTCACGGTGAATCCCAGAGGATTGAATAGGATTGACGCACGGTAGACAGCAGTAGCCGCTACTAGCCTATCCTGAACTCATGACCGCTGCAAGGACTGTCTACTCATCCGTTGCTGACAGAGATCTTGTACTACTGAAATACTGACTGGTAATTTGCTGACTTGGATTCCACCCCTTCCATGAAGTCTGCAAAATCAGAGGGTCCTTCTCCCTGGTCTCCAACGTGCACAGCTTTTCAACTGTGTCTGGACAGAGCTGCCGACTGATGTCTTGGTGCCTACGCTACAAATGTCTTGACCTACTCTACTCCTAGTCCTACATGGCTGTAGTGACGGTGTTCTGACCCACCATCAGGGAACCCAAAATCATCAAGCATGACTTTCCAGTGTCGTCTTGGGACCCAAGTGAGTCAATGGCACACCATATTCTTTGCACAGCAGCCGCAAAACTGAATTGCTTGGAGCGTTCCTGTGACGAGTTGTGGAGTTTCTCTCACCGCTGCAAGTGCAACAGTCCGTTGAGCCAGTTGGGGCGGCTACTTGTTATGGTCTTTCTGAAAAGCAATTTCTGTGTAGAGACACTCCACAACTCCCCGCATCTTTGCTGACCACCTTGCGAGGGCAAAGTGATCTGTGCACGCGCGTGTGAAGCGATGGACCCTGCTGTTGCCATTGATCTGCTGGAAACGGTGGCTCCTTTGGTCGATTGGTCATGTAATGCTGGTGGCGATTCATGTCATTCTTGACAAGGGCAACAACTCTTACACATCGTCTCAAAGAATGTCGATGCGAAAGGCTGAGTTGTGATGACAACGTTGCTAGGAAACCACCAACGGAAACCGGCGACCACAGGGTGACTTTCCACCCTGTCTGTTGGATGGTCACGAGCCAGGAAATCGAAGGGCAGCTACCAACTGCTCCCCTGTTTCCGGAAGCAAACAAGAGGACTGACACACATACCAAAGGTATTACCTTTCCCAACAATTCCCTGAAAAAGCACTGAAAGTCAGGCGTGTGTAAAGTGTATAGCTGCAAGTCAGTGGCAGTCCTTCTGGCGGCGGCTCTGCAGTTTCATTCAAGGCAACGGTTACGCACTCTAGAGCAACCTTCTGCGTTGTTGGAAGATATCTCAGCATGCAATCGACTCAGTTTGCAGCTGACAGAAACGGTTGCTGCGGGGATCAGGATAGGAACTCCAAGATCTAGATCATGTCTTGATTCTATGCTGAAGATGTGCAGGAAATGGACCAGCCTTCTATACCTTCCTCGCACATCGTTCAAATTCTGGTGCAAGGCCCTGCAAATGTGCCCAATGCAACAAACAATTGAACCATCTCACCTGCGAATCTTTGAAGCCACTCTGTACTGGGACGGTTTAATAGATTCTAGTCGTGATGATCAAGTTCTGCGCTTTCCAGCTTGGAATTCACCTAAGCACCTGCAGGACCTTGAGATCAAAATCAATGCGGTTCAGCTGATGGCTGCGAGATTCTAAGCATGCAGCAAGCTGAAGCGCAGTTGACGCTGGGAGGCAGCGACGCGGCACCCGTTTCCAGGAAGAAAAACAGCAAATGGGTGGCAAAGTAATAATTTTTACAGTAGTCTTCAGCGCTTTTTTTGGATACTATACTGACATATAATTAATGACTACAGACATCTATAGACTAACTATATAACACAACTATATATACAAAAATCATCATCAACATCCTTAGGAAAACTTGCTTGATTCAAGCGGCAATGTATTTCAGGAAGAACCTGACAGGTGACGCCGAAGCAGCGGCAACACATTGTGTGGTGCACCCTCCAAGCTCTACGGTCTATGCACAATGAAGTAAAAAACGAGGTAAAAAACAATGGAACAAGCTACACTGTACAGATCTTGCAGCCACCCTTCGGGAAGTTTACTGAGGTGAATTCTTGAAACAACTGATCATCAGGGCCAATAGTCTTCTGGCTTGGGCTTCGGGAAAGCCTTTGGCCTTGAGCACCTTGCAGTACTTCTCTTCGTTGTTTTCAAGCTTGTCGGCAACTTCCCTCTTGATCTCATCTGTCGGCATGTTCGAATCGATCACGATAACGTCCTGCAAATCTGCCACGGATTCCCAGGCCTTTCTTATCCTTTCTTGGCCTTCCAGCCCACCTAGGGGATCCAGCTGTTCGAAAACTCCAACAGCTATGTCAAACCCTGTCCTCGCGACCCTCATAGAGACTCTCATACTTTGCCAGCAAATTCCGCAAATACTCTGCAGTGATGTCTTTCTCAAACCACCGGCCTTCCACTTTAGCTCGATTCTGTATGCGCGTCATGGCTGCCTCACCGTTATCTTGAAATGAAGAATGAGTGTTGGTGCGTAGCGAAGATCTGCATCGATAGCAGCGAGCTTTTCCTCAAACTCTTTGAACTGACCTTGACACACAATGCGGCCTAAAAGTCAAAATGACGAAGCTGCAAAACAAAAGTGTTACCTCATGCAACTGAGAGTTTGACTCCATGTTCTTTTTTGTGATTCTTTTTGTTGAATTGCAGCAACTCCACTGCATTCTTGCAGCCAGGCAAACTTCACAATGCAGCCGATGGTCTTACACACATGAGTTTATCATAGTTGATCAGGCCACAAGGTAAACGAAACACCCTCTGTGCTTACTAGAATTATTTTTCGTTCCATTTCTTGAGTACAGGTCAAACAGATATCAAGCATCGATTGACGTGCATCTATATTCTAAAAGTTAGTTAACATAACTATACAAAACTGTACGAGTACATCCTCTAGACTAACATGGCAAAGACAGACATGTTCCAGGGCAAAGGTTTATATGTCACATAACCGAGGAGTTTTCAAGGATAGTACCAATTGCCAAGTTAGTCTAGTGGAAGGAAACAGTTTCAGGCATTGGCACTGTCTGGCAAATTCCCCTGCTCATGCAAGGCCGCACAGAACACCTGCACCGCGGAAGAACAACACCTCTCTGTGATTGCATGTGCGCTCCTGGTGGTTGCAATGCTTCTGTGGTGTTCCCATATTGTCTCTTCCAACTTGAGGACGGGATCAAAAGAAAACTCTGTGGAGCCAGGTTTGTGCAAGTGATCGTAAAAGTCCTCAAGCAAAGGCCACCAGGTGTTATCAGCATCCTCTGCGACGGGCTCTCGAAAAATCTGCACTTCAGGGGGCCCAAGTGGCATGGACCTGGAAAGCTCGTCCAAGAACGTGGTCTTTCCACATCCAATGATTCCATCGCACACAATCAAGAAATGATTCATCTGTTTCGGCTGTAACTGTTGGATCCGGAGAAGGAAATCCTCAGACAACTTGTTCAACTGTTCGTCAAAGCTTGCAGAAGTGCTCTTGTCTCTGGTCTTGGCTGTGATGACACGATTGTTGCCTCCTATTGGGCTGGTGTGGTGAACGGTTGGTCGTTGGCCATCAGTGGTCTCCTTCTCCACGGTGCGGGTCACCTGTGAAACGACATAACTTAGAGTGAGGTCTTCTTCCTTTAAAAATCTAGCCAACGTCCCGGAGAAGGGGTTTGAGCGCTTTGGGTTTTCTCCATCAAGAACAGCACAGTGCTTCTCACAAGCGTGGAAAATAAAGATCTCATGACCGCTGGCAGACTGTGACAATTTGTTCAGTTTCTTCCAGAGTCTTTCCCTGTTTGTACATGTTCCACGAGAGCAAAAGCTGGAACTAGCTCTTGTTGAGTCATCCTCTGACGATGTCTGGCAGCAGTCCAGAGTGATCAAATGCAGACATCTGTGAGTCACGAGCTTACGTAAACTCTCAACGATTGAGTCGACAGGAATGTAGTCTTCCTTGCGGTCTGCATCGGATGGGACCAAGCAGAGAGAACCATTGTACCAGACTCCGTGTCCTGAAAAATGGAACCATGTGAAGGTTGCACCTGTCCGGACTGCGTGAGCAAGGCGATCAATGGCCTGAAAGATCTCTCTGCGGGTTGCATCGTAGAGCTCCAAAGTAGCTCGACCTGGGAATTGTCCTTTACGCAGGGCAGTAGCCATTTCCTCCGCATCCTTGTGGCAACTCAGAAGCTCCTGATGGTTCAAATAGCGTCGGTTGCCTATCACCACAGCCCTGCATGAGTGACGTTTTGCCCAGTGCTGTTTCCGCCGACTGCTCTGTGGGCACTGAAAGATCATTTTGTTCATTAACATCCTACATAAACTTGACAAGCAAATGTCAGCAGCGAGACAGATGGTCAATTTCACAAAGAACAAGCCTGCATACATTCAAAAGTCTAAGATACTCTATAATAGCAATAAGATGCAATAAGCATAGTGTAGGAATTGGAAACCACACTCAGAAGAATCTCAGAGATATGTGAAGCAAAAGTGAAGTTTATAAAACTCTGCCGGTCGAACGTGGTGGTTTGCTTTCCCTGGCTCGCGACCAGCGCTTGGGCACAATGCCAAGGAGCTCAAGCTGGTGGCTCAAACCTGGTCGATGTTGCAGTCTGCACATGGCCAACCCACTTCAACCAAGGACTGTTTGTCTGGATTCTACTGGTTCAAAAATGTTAAAAGCAATTTAAAAGTTAAATGTAGAATGTGTTCCTGTCCTAAAACATGTTCAAACAGTCCTGCAGAATGTCTTGAAGCAGAGCATATGCGAAAAGACAACACATCGAAGCTTGGCATTCCAGGTGTCATGAAAAGAACAGAGCTGGAGTCCGGAGAAGAAAATTTATAAATTTATGTAAGATGGGAACTTCGTGAAACATAGCTTTGTTCAACAGCATCAAAAGAGTGGATGACCAACAAATCCAGGACGTACCCTTGAAATTTCAAAGCTAGACTGACGGAAAACATATCAGACATGATTTGGAATTGTGGCACTTGATAAAGCATGTTCCACTTTCTGTGACTAAGTCTTCTGCGATGACCGCGCCGTTTGGGAGTTCGAAGTGGGGAGAAGAGCTCATCGCACGACATGGCAGCACTGGTTGGGCTGCAGTATGTTGGAAAATGCCAAGTTTGGACAAACACGTCAGATTGTTTCCAGGTTGTAGGGAAAGGCCCAAATTGTTCGATGCCTCATGCCTGGGCAAATAGTTCTGATTGCTCCATGTTTCCCTACGCTTCCCTTCTTGATCCATTTCATCACATGTGCCCATTCACAATCCATGAATCAGGAATCGCAAGGCTCATCCGCGCGCATCCAACATTGAGCAGCAACTCTGCATGGGTCAGGCAGGTTTGACGTGCACAACCGGGTATGCGCAGCTCCATGTTGAACGTGGTCCCAGGATGTCCCAGGATGTCCAGCAGGATCCGCACCATTGGAATCATTGGAATCTTCCAGGGCTGTGCGAGGAGTGGAAGTTGACAAGGCTGTGGCTTCAGAAGACTCAAAAGAATCGGACAAAAAAAAAGGGGGTTCCCTTTCTGCACGTGATGGCAAGTGTCGATATTTTGGCCCAAAGGTATGTGTCTTTTGTCATTAATTTTGCTTGACTTGCACCAGCCAGCTAACCACAATTCAACAGCAACTGCAGCCGTGGGCCGTCGCTGACGCTGACAGGCCGCAAACCGTTGCACTTGACTTTGTACATTCTTCAACAATCCGTTCCCTCCGCAGGCAAGGCCAAATAAGGGAAGCACACTTGCTTGAGGTTTGGCAAATCTTCCGGGGTGAATAAAAACTTCGAATGCCTTGGCCCTGAGAAGGCACATCATCGGTGACTGCACAATCTGCACAGCTCACGAATCTTCATCAAGACCCATCCTCAGGCGGGGGAACACAGGCCCAACAATTCAGCTGTAGTGTCTTAGATCAAAAGTCAAAACCCAGCTGTATCTCAAGCGTCATTCCACTACGGGTTGTAAAAACTGGAGGAGTTTGAGGTCCTAACCAGATTTTGTGGGTCATCGGCAAAATAGTTCTCCATGAATACTATAATAACAGTGGGACCTACATGTCACAAGGTTGATCTCCGTGACTGCTGGAAGAAATTTCTATTCGTTCATTAGCAAGGCAGATCTTGTACTACGCACTACCGACACTTTATTGGGACACGATTCTGAAAGAATCCTCAATGTCTCACATGCAATCGTGTTGGTGTCAAAGACCTTGAGACATGCTCCTCTTTGAGGGACCACCCCATGTTACCCATCTGACCTTGGATTCAATCCCTCCATGAAGTCTGTAAAATCACAGGCCCCTGGGGCCCTTTCTCCCTGATCCCCACAAAAGTGCAGCTTTTCAGTTGCGTCTGGACGAGGTCCTGACTGATGTCTTTTTGTGGCCTAATCTACTCCTACCGTAGTCCTACGTGGCTGTGGTGATGGTGTCATGACCCATGGGAACCCCAAAACCATCACGCATAAACTTTGGGGTCGAATCTACAAACAACTATAGTTGCGTTTTGGAGACCCCAGTGAGTCAATGGCACACCATATTCTTTGCACAACGGCCGCAAAACTGAATTTCTTGGAGCGTTCCTGTGATGCTCGAGTTGTGGAGTTTACGAATGAGACAAGTATGACAAGTGCAACAGTCCGTTGAGCCGGTTGGGGCGGGCAGCTACTTGGTACGTCCTTCACCAACACATACCAACACTCTTTGTGATGATGATGTATAACTTTCCCTAGTGGGATATGTACCAACCCCGTTCAAGAACTCAAGCAACTGGAGTATATATTGTACTGTAGTGTATCGAGACCAAATGTGAGAAAGGCCGGGTAAAGGGAGCTCCTGGCACTGCCGCCATGCGGGCCTTGTCCGAAACTGGGACCTAATCAATCAATATAAATCTGCCCAATCAGATCTGGCAGTCATGAGCTTGAGAAGTTTTGGCAGTCGAATTTGGTGACTGGGAAACAAATTCTGTGTCACCGGAGAAACTCCACAACTCCACGCATCTTTGCTGACTACCTAGCGAGGGCCAGGTGATCTGTGCGCGTGTGAAGCGATGCGCCCTGCTGTTGCCATCGATCTGCTGGAAACGGTGGCTCCCTTGATTGATGATACTGCTGGGCTGCTGGTGGTGATTGGAATTATATTTATATAATATAAGCATTTATATGCTGTCTTTACAAACGGTGGCAGGGAGCCCACCAACGGAAACCGGCAACCAAGGTGGGTGACCCACTGTGCTCTGTCACTGTCTGTCGGATGGTCTCGAGCGCAGCTATCAACTGCTCCCCGGTTTCCGGAAACAGCCAATGGGACTGACAAATATGCCTTCTCAAAACCACTGAAAGTCTGGTCTGTCTAAAGTGTAGAGGTAGGTTCAGTCCATCTGGCATCATCTGGCTGTGGCTCTAGGGTTTCAAGGCAACGAAGTCTGGAGCAACCTTCTGGTTGGTTGGAAGATATCCTGCCATGCCAGCAACTCGGACTTCAGCTGGCAGAAAGAGTTGCTGCTAGGATCAGGATAGGACCGACTCCAAGATGAAGAATTTGCATCGGTTCTATGCTGAAGATGCGCAGGAACTGGACCAGCGAAGGTCCTCTATATCTCCCTGGCACATCGTTCAAATTCTATGTACATGGTACCAGGCCCTGCAAAAATGGACAGCGTGCGCTGTTTTAACAAATCCTTTATCCATCTCAGCCGCAAATCTTTGCATCCACCCAATGCCACGTGACATGGAGCAAAAATTAGGGTATCCCCAAAACTGGGATGGTCAAATAGTAGAAATGATCAAATTCTGTGTTTTCCCTGTTGCATTGAATTTTCATCCAAACACCTGCAGGACCTGCAGGAGCTCTCGGTGAGATCGGACCAGCCGAGCTCATCAAAGCCATTCAGAATCATTCAGCTCCGCTGGCTGGGAGGTTCTACCCAGCAAGCTGAAAGGTGGACACTTGGAGGCGGCAAATTGTAGAACTAATTTTGATTGAATTGGCATGAAATGACTGTGTATTTGAGAAAGCAAAACTTCACAATATGGGACATGGATGAATGCCGTGGTGCAACCTCCAAGCTCCACAATCTATGGCACGCGGTGTAAAAAACAATGGAACCAGCCACACTGTGCAGGTCTGATAGCTGGAGAAAAGCTCCTGGAATTAATTACTGAAGCAACTCATCATGAGGGCTGGCAGCTCTCTGGCCTGGTCTTCTGGGTATCCTTTGCGCTGGAAGAGCTCGCAGTATCTGGCTTGGTTTTGGTGAAGTTGATCGGCAACTGTCCTCTTGATCTCATCCGTCGACATGCTTGCATCCACCGTAATCACGTCCTACAAAAGTTGAGAGATAGCTGGTGACTGTCTAGCAAAACAATCACGCCGAACAAGACTCAAAAAAGCTGTACCATTCCGTTCATTTCTGTCCCTGTCCTCCCGATTCTTGTAGAGGCTATCATATTTCACATCCAGCTTCTTCAAATAAGGTTCTGGCATGCCCAGCTCAAAATGGCGGCCTTCTTGGGCTCGCTTTTGTATTCGGGGCATCGCCTCCTCCACTGGCATCTTGAAGTAGAGAATTAGCGTTGGATCGTTGCGACAATTCTGGTGGACACGTTCCAGCTTCTCCATGAACTCCTGAAAGCAACCTTGAATCGAGCATCAAGATGAAAACGAATATGTATGAAAATTGTGAACATGTGTATTCATGAATCAACCTGTTGCGATCCTTTGAGGCATGAGATTGTGCCTGCCACCATAATATAAACACACCCACCATAATTTCAACACACCCACCTCTTTAAATCAGCCGGTATGAGGGACTAGATGAGGTGGAGCAAAAGAAAATGGCTCCGACGATAGAAAGAAGTTGTAGGAATACAAGGCTCACTTCGTGACTCAAGCATGTAAAATCATGTAAACCCCTCGTGCTTCGTGCAGGACAGCCTAATTACATCTAATTACCGTGTTGTGGACAACTTGCGTATTACAAGACAGATTCGAGGAGCGCCCCGGGAACAAGCAGCACCATGTCCCACAGTCTGACCAAGAGTGGATTGATGACATACATTGATTCCTTTGAGCAAAAACGTCCATCTTTCCCGCCTAGGAGCGATCCGACAATATCCCATCCTCGAGCAAGGCTTTGCAAAACACCAGTACAGCGGAAGCACAGCCCCGCTCTGTAATAGTGGGTGTGCTTCTGTTGGTTGCAATGTTGAAGTGGTGTTGCCAGATCGCATTTTCCAATTCGATCACGGCTTCGTCTATGGATTCTCCTGTTCTAATGGCATTGTAGAACTTCTCGAGCAAGTGCCACCACGTGTTTGTTTCATGCTCTGGGACGGGCTCCGGACAGATCTGTATGCCGGGCACGCGCAAGGACATGGAAAGATCAGCCAAGAGCGTGGTCTTTCCACATCCGATGTTTCCATCTAATACAATCAAGAAGGGATCATTTTCCCGTGGGGTTGACATATTCAGAAGGTTGTCAAGCGTGAGCAAAGCCACTCCCCCAAGTCCTTTCATCATCAGCTTCTGTATTTTTTGTTCTATATTGACGCACACTTCATCTGCTTGTGTAGCAGTTGTGATGTTGCGAAAGAAGCTCTTTGGGCAAGAGCCGAGGTGGCAAAGCGTTGGCACCTGCTTTTTGTTGGTTTCCCGGGTTTCCTGAGTAACCGTCTGGGTGACTTCTCCGATGAAATAGCCTAGTTTGCAGTTTGGTAGGTGATCTTCTCTGTCCGGAACGGCACAACACTTCTCACAAGCAAAGAAGACTACCACCTCATGTCCGCTAGCAGATGGTGAGAAGGAATAAATTCTCTTCCAGAGTTCTCCTTTCTTTCCACCCATTTTTCCACGACAAGAGGTGGAGCTGGAGACATCCGTATGGTCTCGCAGCGTTTGGCAGCAATCCAATGTTATGATGTGCAAGCATCCCTGAGTCTCATGTTTGCTCAAAGACTCCAAAATTGAGCTCACCGGAACATTGGCTTCAAAATAGCGAGAATCAGATGGGACTAAGTGGAGATCATCTTGGTACCATATTCCATGTCCGGAATAATGGAACCATGTGAAGCGCGCACCGCTCCTAACCGCTTCACTGAGGCGGTTGATAGCCTGAAGAATTGTGTTTCTGTCTGCATCATAGTACACCTCAGTTGCTTCACCTGGAAATTGCCCTGATCGCAAGCCTTTGGAGATTTCCTCAGCATCCTTGTGGCAACTAGGCAGCGGCTTGTGACAATCGTAGTGCCAGTTGCCAATCACTCCTGCCACTGCAGCCATAAGCTGCCACTCTCCGACTTTGTTCTTGGTGACCACTGCAGCTGCTGACCCGATAGGTTCATTAACATCCTACAAAAAACACTTGAGCACAGTAAACGTCAGCGCGAAAAAATGTCTCCAGCTATCAACATGATGTCATGCAACAACATGACAACAAAAACGGAAAACTGAACTTCCAAATCTCACATTGATTTGGCCACATCTCAAACAGGTCAAGTGCACAAAGACTTGGCCGCAGAAATGTGTTGCTGGTGGCTCCCCCTGATCATCGCTTGGGCACAACATGGCACAACATTTACCAAGTGGCGAATTGAAGCTGGTGGCGACCTGGTGGACACTGCGGGGACACCACCAATGAAAACAGGCTTTTTTGCACAGGCGCAGCATATCTGATTCCTGAAATTTCCTCAATGCCTGATGGGACTAATGATTTGCAACATTTAGCAACTAATCGTGAAAACTTGAAATCAAATTCAAACGGTTCCAGCATCTTGCGGCTGGGGAACACGTATCAGGTTATCAGCAAACACAAAATTATTTAAGAGTGAATTAGTTGGGAAACTCATCAAACAGAACTTTCCAGAACAGAATCACCAAGACATACAGACATGTATAACTCAACCCTGCAACTGTGAATACAGAAAAATGGAAGGTGCAATATCAGAGAGATGATGGTGGAATGATTGCTGTGACAATGGCAGAAACATGTTCCACTTTCCCCGGCTAAGTCTGCTGCGACCGGGGAACGCTTCGGAGTTTTTTTTGCGGCGAAAAGAGATCATCGCCATGGCAGCACTGGTTGGCCTCCAGTTGAAGAACTACTGCGTTTTGACCAAGACACCCAGATTATGGTGAAATATGGTGAAATTGTATGAAAGGTGCTTGATGCTTGGGCAAAAAGAAAAAACTGCTCACTTTTTTTTTGGGCCGTTTTTCCAGCCATTTCATCCCAGGTCCCATGTCTTCGTTTGCCAATGGATCGTTTTTGGGCCCACGAATCGCACCAACTCTGCATGGAAGTCAGGCAAGTTTGAAATGCACACGTTTCTTAAAATGGAGAGACCTCAAAATCATCCAAGATAGTTATTGATTCCAATAATAGTAGGCAAAACATGGCAAAACATAAGAAAACCAATCTCGGGATACTCCAATGGTGAGGAACATGCGAATCTCCCCGTTCGAAGCTTGCGGTACTTTTGACTCGAGCGGCTCTAGCGTCTCCAAATCCGCACCGCCGTTGGATTCTTCCAGGGCTTATGTGCGAGGAGTGGTGGTTGGCACGGCTGTTTTATCAGAAGGCTTACAAACTCAGGGTTCACCATTTAAAGCAGGGAATAACGTCAAACTTTCGGCGCAAAGATCTGCAAATGCTTCTCTTTTGGGGATGTACAAACCATCCTGCTGTTTGGCCCAAGTTTGATTCACAAGTCCCCATTTCAGATCTTGCCACATGGCTTTCCCAGGCATCTTCAGTGTCATATTAAGATTTGGAATGGTTGGAATGGTCTCAAGCGCTCATGGACAAACTCACAACATCTCACAATCATCTTCCCTCGTTTGCTTCCTTCGTTTGTGCTGATGACATATTATAATTGACGTGATACTGCTTGCACAAGCCAGCCAACCACCATTCAACAGCAACTGGGGCCGTCGCTGACGCTGACAGGCCGCAAACCGTTGCACATGACTTTGTACATTCTTAAGCAATGCCTTACCTCCGCAGGCAAGGTCAAATAAGGGAAGCACACTTGCTTGAGGTTTGGCAAATCTTCCGGGGTGAATAAAAACTTCGAATGCCTTGGTCCTGAGAAGGCACATCATCGGTGACTGCACAATCTGCACAGCTCACAAATCTTCATCAAGACCCATCCTCAGGGGAACGTGGCACACAAAACACACACCCTTTCTGCAGGCCCTGCCCAGTGAGTCTGACTCATCGAGGCAAGAACTTTCGGTGTTACACCGGAACTGAAACATGCTGGTTCATAGGATTTCTTCCAATGGATTAAACAATGCCCATGATATTGCATAGTATATAACATTATATAACCCCATATGTTAAACAACCAACAGGGCTTTGGGACAGTGATGATTGCATATTATTGCTTGGGACAGCAAAAATCTCGTCATTTCTATCACCAAAAAAAACCGTTGGGCGAATCAAGGCAGCTACTGTGCTCCGGACTTATAGGACTGGTGCGCCAACCGACGGTTCATGAAGTTGTCCGTGTCGATGGCCTGGAAGCCAACTGGCTGTCTCAACATCCACAGTCGATTGGTTTAGGGGAATTATTACAGGAAAACTATGGAAAAACCGTGCGTTTACAATCAAAATCATCAAAAATTGGGGGGTACTGTAAATTTATTCGCTCAGTGCCACATTTCCAGGAGCCGTTGGCCTGTGGAACTAGACTCTTAATTAGACTTTGATGTTTCAAGACTTACTCCCCTAGAGTATTGATGAACAGCTCCTAGAATCATCTAGAATCTAAGAAACAATAAAACACCTTGCTGTAGAAATGGATCTACTCATTTTCGGTGTCTCCCTTTTTGAGCGATGGGGTGGCCACCATCCCAGTGAGGCCAGTTTGACCCATCCTGCGGAGGTAGAAAATCATCATCCTCCAACCCCTCCACGGCAGGTGGAAGGATAGGTCCAAGGGAAGGTGACAGCATTTCCTTGGCGGAGTTGCTTGCGGCTGAGGTCATATGTTTTAAAAAATGACCGATATCAAAGGATGTCACTTCAGGGTACAACATGAGGCAAAGGTAGTATTGTTTTTGCTGGCCTTTCCTGTGGACTCCGTCGATTTTGAAGATGGCAGAACTTACAAAGTGCATCCAAATAATTCCAAATGCACCCTCCAAGAAACATCTCAACATGTTCTGTCAACATCTGTCAAGCAGTTGACCCATCAACCTCAAGCGTCGAAGTTTTGCCTTCGGCTGTTGAATGATTGACTATCACGAGTGAAACCACTAGAGGGAATCCATGGGCATCGGTGGCAGGGGATTGTTGGAAAGGTGAGACTCTGTCCGCAGCAGTTGTGCTGGGCACCTCTGTCCTTAAACAATTGGAAAGCAAACCATGGTCTTCATGTGTGGTGAAGAATGGTCAATGTAAAATAATGCGACCTCCATCGTCCTCCAATAACTTATATTTCTCGATTTCATTGTGGCAAAGAAAAAGCGAGTCCTCAATGTTCTTGGATATAAAGAAGCACCATGGAACCATTTCCAGGATTTTCGAGCTAACAAAACGATCAGGTGATATGAAGACCATGGAATTCATTACATTTCACCACTCATCTTCTGTCGGCTGTTGACGACATCGTTTCGGACACTTCGCCATCACGGCTGATGCCTCAGCTATTGCAGGATGGTACATTCAATACTGGAATGGAATAGGTGCCGGGCATGACCACACATATCAAAAAAAAATACATCATCCATCATCATCCAGCATCCGTTTGTATCTGAATCTGGCAGTTTCAACCGGTTTCAACCCATCCCAGAGATATCTGTCGGCTTGAACTGAAAGTGTGAGAAAGAAATAAATTGCTCGCTTGGGGTATTAAGATCTTAATCATATATGTAAAGCCACCATGCGGTCATACGCTGCGACACCGAAGGTTCTTACTGAGATTGCTCCATACATCGTTATGGCCCCCAACGGAGCGGGGGGCACGGAGAGGACACTGCAAGACCCACCGAAGTCTCGCGCGAATGCGACCTGCAACAAACCATGTTCCCTGCAGCATCCCATGTATTGTGCAGAGTTCACAACTCAAAAAAATAAGAATCAAAAATATCAAAAGACATCAAGAGATAGTTTCAACATGTCTCAGCATGTTTCAGCATGTCTCAGCTAACTGAGCCAACTGGTACCGTGAAGGCTCTTTGACATAACTTGTGAAAATGACAATGAAGGTGAGTTGATGTGCTTTGTGCTCCCAAAGTCAACTCAGAAGTGACACAACGCACCTGTCAGTCCAACTTGACTCTCGAGCGAGGCTCGTTTCTTCTCAGACTCCTCAATTTGACCTTGCAGCACTTGAACCACTGGATGGCGGCATGTGTGTTCTGTTGGGGCTGAAGTTTCAACCCTAAGTCCTAACCCTCCAAACCAAAAGGGATGTGAGATTGTGACACTTGCCACCGCAGTTTTGGATCATGGGGGTCGGGGTTCACTGCAACCATGGAAAGCCATTCACCACCAAACGCACAACACATCGCACGTCATGTGTCATCGTGGGCCCTGGCCAGCTCGCAACAGAAGCTTGTCACGAGTCTCGATCTCACCCAACCTTGGCTGCCAGGAGATGGCATTCCTGGAACACCCAACAACCAGAAATAGATCTGCTGTTTCCCCAAACATGCCCCATTTGTTATCTATTGTTATCTAGGGATTCTTCACTACGAGAAACAACCATGTATTTCTGGTTGTTTGGGCTTCCAGGTTGAGTATGTTGAGCATGAAGTCTCCTAGAGTTTGCTCAACATGGAGTAGTTGCGATGATTTGAGTGTCTTCTCTCGTCCCTGGGCCACTCACTTTTCACAAGTGTGGGCAATCTCCACCAAGTAAACGGCCACATTTCGATGCTGTTGCCTGTCCAGAGTTTCAGATTTCAAGTGATTTCAATTTTGATCATTTTTGGTTGGCGCATGCTGATCTTTATTAACCCCATGTTCTTGCCTAGAGTCGAGGTGCAGTTGTGAGTTATGACTTATGGTTTGCAGCCCCCATGCAGCCCCCATATTGCTTCAAAAAACCAACAGACACACAAACCTTCATTCCGATATTGTTCAGACCGCCAACTTTGCGTGGAAACCGCATCTGTCGAACGTTAGAGTTGGAGAAGTTGATTTGTTGAACTGTGGAAATACCCAGGTTCTCAACCTGCAAATCATCCTGCATCCAGGTCTCGTTTGCCACCAAATCGCCAGCGGTTTCCCAGGCTGCCAGCCGGGTTTCCCAACCCAAATTTCAGCTCCATGATTCTCACCGAACGTTGCAGGAGTACCTGAGGACTGAGCTGATATCGGTTCATGGCCTCCGAAAAGCCCACAGGAAACCCCTGGTTTTCGGCTGAAAACCATCTCAGACCATCGATTTAAGTGGCTTATTTCCACTAGTGACTAGTGACCAGTAAAGCATTCAGTTTCCTATCCCCCAAATCACCTGGTCTTTCAAACCTCGCACATGGCGATCCTCCGCTACTTCCGGCAAACCGAACAAAGGAATTGGGAATCGTGGGGAAAAGTGGGGAATAGTGGGGAAGAACATGGAATAACAAAGGTTTGAATGCAGGCAGTCTTCCAAACCGTCGTTTTCCCTCGGAACTCGCGGCCTTCTTTCGTTTGAAGTCTCCCAAATCACCACAGGTCTGTGCCAAGGCCTTGGAGCCACAGTCCACAAATTGCGAAACTGAACATCAATCAACTGTGAAATGGGTGTGTTCACATTACGCATTCAACATCTGGGGATGCACAAAGTGGTGTATATCATTTATCTTATTGAAGTAATGTGCTTTCGTGCTGCCTGATATCTGATCTTGAGAAAGGCCAATCACTGATGTTTACACTCTCATTGATAGCTGTGCCACTGGCAGCCAAGATCACACCCACGTTGTAGTGTTCGATGCCTGAGGGCGCACTGTTTGCTGTTCGTGACTGCGGTGTAAGGAAAAATCAATGTCGAGCGCAATGGCCTCTTGATTCCTTTATGCCATCTATCTTAAAGCTTTCACTTGGCATAGTCCATTATTATCATTATTTATGTCCATTGCATTGATTATTACATTCGTTTCGCAAGACACATCTGTTGTCACATCAGGCTTCTGCCTCCAAACATCCGAAATCATCCGAGTCTAGGAAGCTGGGGGCTTTGTTTAGCCTACTCCAACTGTAGTGACCCAGAGTTGGGTTCAATACAAAATAGGAATGTCAACAAACTCCACAAAGAAAAACTTGAGTTCAGTCATGGAAGGTGGGATGGCAGGACCCGAGGATCACATGTACAATTTTCTACATCGACCTGGGCACAGGTAGTACGAACGAATTGGTCTTCCAAGCCCAAGCACCATTAAGCTTCAATCCAAGCACACTTGTGATATCTTGTGATAATGGCTATAGGATAATCCACAGACCATTCACAAGTTCTTCCAGGCTTCTAACCTGCCAGTTTTTTTTATGTGGTAAACTATGGTAAACTGGTAAACCTGTTTTTCAGAAACCTCCAATTTCTTATCATTTCTGGCATGATGCTTACCACTGTTACCACCCAAAATGGTGATTTTTTGGGGCTGGGTGTCCTGGCCGAAGCTTCGCTCCATGATGCTGACGGACTTCTCCAGCAGCTCCTGGAGAAGTCCGTAGCTGGACGGTGATAGTGACTTGGCCCATGATGTGGAATATGTCATCAATCCTGGATGAATATATGATCAACAACTCAACATGGTCTATATATTATATATATGATGTATTAAATATAGATGGCAATAAGTTAAGGAATATGGTGGTAATGAGAAACACATTGCTGTCAATTGGATAGACAGGAAAAAGGGATCGATATCTCTGTGCGAATCAGCAAGAGCAAAACAGAGCTTCCGCCAATGGTGGAAGTTCTTGTGCACAGTTGAGCAAGAACACTAGGTCTCACTAGGTCTGGCAAATCTGCAAAAGTGAGGTCCTATGCATATACGTGTATATAATTGTATATACATATATGTGCGACGGTCAAAACTCAATTCATGTGGTGAGGTCATGGCATCGCTTCATAAGGCCCCCTATCGCTACGCACAGTCCCAGCGCCCTTTTCATCAACTAGGCAGAATCGCTGCTAGAAGAGGAGGATCCAGATGAGGAATCGGATTCTTATTCCTCTCGCGATGGTATCTCCAGGGAAATTCAAACTTTTACGTGATCACCAAGGCTGACGTCGACAGCTTCAGCTAGACACCAGCCGGACTCACTGCAGGTCATCTGACCTCGGAGGCTGCCCTTGGCTTGTGTTGGCTTGTCTTGGCTTGTCTTGCCTGTGCTGCCTTGTTTCCGGCGCCTTTTTTTCTTCACCCCGCCTCCTTTGCAACCTGATACCACGCCAAAATGAATCGGCAAAACTCTGACCAAATGAACCCTTTAAGAACTAACCCATTAAGAACTTGAGGGTACCCTTGTTCATACTTCCCATATTTTTCCACCTATAGCACAAGTTGTATAGTTTCAAGTGACCATGTGGGGTGCTCCCTAATTTCATGGATTTCAGGTATCGCTCTGGGTATCGAGGGGTATCGCTTCGGGCATCGCTACGGGGACCAGAAAATGTATGTTTCAAGTGACACGAAATTCTGACAAGCTCCATGTTGCAATTCTACTCCTGGACAGTGGCTTTGGAGAAGCGTCCGTGACCGCACAAGGATGCTTTTTCAACATATCTCAGCACGGTCACTATCTGAATCAACATCATCACCATCACCATCATCATCAGCATCATCACCATCATCAAGTTCATGATGCGTTATGAATTAGTTTCTTGCATACCTTATAGATCAACATACCACAATATATCAACATTGTTTAATGTAACTATCTCATATATACTTGACGACAGGCCATCTTGCAACTACCCAGGAAGACCAGCCCACTGCGATTGCTCCAGTGTCGCACTCTGACATCAAAAGATTGGAAAGTCATGCGCCCAACAGGAAGGTTCAATCATAAACAAAGTCTAAAAAGAGGTATCGCTACATAAGGCCCCCTATCGCTACACACAGTAAATCACATATTTTGAGTAGTGATGGCGGATCGTAATTGAAGCCTTTCATAGCGTCTTTTGACCCTTGCTCATATATATATATATACCAAGTTAAGTCATGCATTTCATAGGTTCGATTCAATGGTTTCTTGGAGGTTGCAACCTATCTGCGACATCAGGGTGTCGTTTTTTTGCGCCTTCTTGCGGTGGAAATCGCGCAAACGGTCATAGACCATACTCAAGCCAGTCAAGGAACTGAGCCTGCAACCAGTTCTTAAAGACCCCAGAGAGATTGGACACCCGACCAAGGTTTGACACAGCCACCATCAGGGAAATCGATTCAGAAACCTTATGGAGAAATGGGTATGGATCAATACCTATTAATACCAGTTTTAGGGGAATGAACATCCATTTACCAGCTATTTTGATGTTCACCAGGGGTACAAGGTTTTGAGACACTGCCAAATTTATGATCCTTCAAATTGTTTTAGATGTGGGTTCTTGACATTGATCACATATCAAATAATGTTAACTATTCAAACAAATACATACATGAGTATACCTAAGTGACATATTTTCCAACTTGGACATCTGGAAGAAACTGAGATTCTAACAGCTCCCAGTGGTCTGAACCAAAGTGTCTCTCCTGCTGGCAAGATCACATGCAGTTAAAGAGAGAGACCAGGACAGGCAACTCATAAATGAGATGTTGCAGTCTTGTCCTCAAGATTTCATTTAAAATCATAAGAATGTCCTGGTTTAATCATATCATATCATATCATATCATATCATATCATTTATCGTGAAGAACAATAAATCAAAAACTCCACCAACTCTACCCTCCAAAAAACATCTCTGGCTGGGAAATCCACTCTCGAGTCTCTCTGGCTGGAGGTCTGAACATCCGTGGCCTTGGGGATTTTCCAGCAAATCTTTGACGACCGGATACCGGGTACCATAGATTCTTAAGCTTTAATTCCCCTATCCCATCATGGATAGATCGTGGATACTATCATCTACCATCATAGATGTTATACTATCATAGATCCAATTCATCAACAAAAATGCTGTATATCCTAATATTGTCTATATATAAATCATGGGACCATTATTATACAATACTAATAATATATATATATAATATATATAATTATATGCCATCAACATTATTTAATAATTAAATAATAATTAATATGGTCATACTAACCTTGTAACATCATGGTGATGATATCTGTCCTGGATGTTGAGAGCCTTCTCGAGGAGCTCCTTCTGGTGATAGACGTTCCCCAAATCGCCGTAGGCGTTGCCAAGGCTCACCTTCTACTCCCAACAAATGCCATTTTTGCAGCTCTTTTTGATGGGAAAAAAGGTGAGAAATCCATGAGAACCCATTGGAATTCAAGATGCTGATTCAAGGCATCCCACATCCAATCTACTGAAGGACGGAATCGGCCCCCAAAAAGCCAAGGAACCAAGGCTTTCGCTACTTCAGCATGCTCGGGTCCGAACTCGCGTTGCCTTGGCCAGGCCGGACTCCCCCAGTTCAGTGCCCACTTGCGAAGTGGCAGTCATAGTTATAGGAGTATATAGGGGTTCTATTCCAACTTATGGGAGTTATTGCCACATGATTAATTATACCATATTATACCCCTAAAAGGACCCCCCAACTGCAACCCCCAAGTAAGAAGCAAAGCATCATGATCCAAGTGATATCATATTGAAATCACCAGGTGATATCCTTACCACAGAAAGATCCTGAAAGTTTAGTTTTACAGGTCAACATGGGCCAAGAATAGTACACATGGGCGCAAAGACAGCTGGTATTTCTGTGTTCGAATCCTCTCAATAAATGATGATTCTATCCCCATTGCCACACTCCTGGTTTTGCCAAGATATCTGCACGTTTGGACTTACTCATTGGCTGCACCACAATTGTTTGGCGATATCATAGCCATGATCGTTCCACTATTTTGTTTGTATACACAGTACATCTAATATGTATATATATATATATATGATTATGTATATATATATATTTAATATTATTATCATATATATATATATATATATATTATACATCTCATACTATTGCAGGGTACATCCCTATCTTCCTCCTCTGCAAACACTCTGCTGAGTTCTCAGACTTAATCTTCAACGCTCGTTCCAGAAGATCTCGCTTGGCCCCAACATCACCCAGGCAGCCATAGACATTGCCTGGCTTTTGAATTCAAGCGTCCAACATCTCTAGGGGAGGATCTTTTTGCCACTGAAAATTACAATTAGGATATTGGAGGATCAATACAATATGTCTGGCATATATTGACATATTATATGTCTGGATATCATTGGCTATAATAGGATATGGATGATATGGATTAATTATTATTGTCTGGCATATATTGAGAATTTCAGAGAAATTCCATCCAAAGGAAAACCCACTCCACAATGGCAATATTGGACATGTCCCTGGATTTCTTCAATGTCAAAGCTCACCAGACTATGTGTATGGGGTCTTGATGGCAATCCCGAATCAAAGGCTTACTAAGTTGAATAAGTCTGCTCAAAAAACTACACCAAGATACACTAAGTCAATCTGTCAGGTTCCATTTTTCCTTTTCTATCCTTTTCTTAAGCTTTCAGATCTTTCAGATGATCCGAATGCAAACTGCTTCGATCATCTTCGATCCACCCTGTCACTGGCCTAGATTCAGGAGGGTGTTGGCCACAGCTCGATGGTCATGACCTCCATGCGAACATGTTGATGGCAATTGATGGAGTCAATTCATCCTGAAAAATTCCATGTTAGTCAACTGATTTTTCGTGAGTCACAACCCAGAAACTGAAGCACCCAGGTCACCAAAGAAGGCCTATCCGGCTATCTTTTTTCAAATGTCGTGGAAAAATCCATCTGCTCAGCAGCAGGCCATACTCCTGCTCGTTGATCTTCAAAGCCCGCTCCAGGAGGTCACGCTGGGCAAACGGAGGACCAACATGGAACAACCCTGCAGGATATGGATCCATGGTATATTTTTAGGTATATTTTTAGGTATATTATGGACCAACATGGATTAACATGATGAACTGGATCTCTGTCAGTCTTCTTGAAACTTCTTTGTCAGCCTAGTAATATACCACAATATACCATAATATATTGGGATGGTATGGGTCAAAAGTTCAGTACTAACCATCCATTTCAGGGCTATTCCAACGGGCTGAAGCGAACAAAAAACGATGAGGCACCTGTCCCTTGACGTCCCCCAAAGCGCCGTAGGCAAGGCTCAGGTTCACCAGGCTGGCGGACACCTGGAGAATCCCCACTGAGAACAGCTGCTTCAACAACATCATATCTCAGAATCAACAGATTAAAGGAGCAGAATCAACAATAACGAGTCAGAACAAGTCATAACGAGTCATAAGTCATAACTAGTCATAACTGGTCATAATATGTCATAATATGTCATAACCATCATGATCCCTTCCCCCTTGTCACGAGCCATACACATGCATACACAGAAACCCCCCCAAAAACCCAGTGATGAAGACAAATCCTCCGGATGCACCATGCTGCGCCATGCAATGCACCTTGTGACTGTTGGCCCCAAACTCCGCTTCCATAATCCCCAAGGCGCGCTCCAAGATGTCGCGTTGCGTCTCGTGCTCGCCCAGCCTACAGGATGGCCCAAATCAAATTATATAGATGGATGATGGATGTTGTCAGTGCATCTGGCATTTCATGGCACTAGCACACTGTATTACTGTATTACTGTATCTGATCTTGTCTAAGTGACAGAAAATGTCATCCGCAGTTATCCCATCTCTCTGCTGAGTACCTGGGCACCGCAGGCACCGCACCTTCCATAAACGCTGCCCAGGTTCACCAAGGTGGTTGCCACGACATGATGATCTGGACCTGAGTCTTTCTTCTCCTACGACCTCAAAAGAAAACATAAAAAAAAAAACATGCAAATAATATTGAATAGTCATGCATCACAAAATAATCAAACTATAATGAAGAATCAATTCGAATTGCCGTGACTAAATGCGCACATCCGGATGTTGGAGTTTACCAGCGCCCTGAGAGCCACACCATACTCTCGTTCATTGATGTCCAGGGCCCTCTCCAAAAGTTCTTTCTGCTTTTGGATGTTTCCCAAGCGATCGTAGGCATTGCCCAGATTTGAGAGCGTGGTGGCCACATCGCAGTGGTCAGGCCCAAACTCTCGTTCCTGGCCGTCACAGCCCCGCGACAGCCCCGCGACGTTCTCCCCGGCTGCAATGACGGTCCTGGATTTCCAAGGCCTTCTCCAGATGAAGCCGCTCTTGCGCTGCATCTCCGCAAAGACCATACCTCAAAGCCAAGCCAGGCAGGTGGATTTGATCCAAACAAATCCAAACGATCCATCTTGATGGATTTGACATCCAATTAATTAGATTGGAATGAATGGACCATTCTGGAGTGTGTAGAGTGTAGAATGACAAGTTGAACATGGTGAATTCATGTGGATCTCTGGACGAGCTGCGCCACGCCGAGATTGTGCAAGGCAGCTCCCACCATTGCGTGTTCTTCCCCGTAGCGGGTTTGCAACCTGCAAGCACTGCAAGCACTGCAAGCTGGCCAGTTTGCATCGACTTCAGCTGCTGAAAAAGTGGAGAAAAGAGTTGAAGTGCTCATGACATCCATCACATCCATGACCCGGGAAAGGCATTGGCCGGTTGGTGGAACCTGAGGTCAGCACTCACTGAGCGCCACAGCACCCATGCGGACTGCTGCTGGTCCTGTGACACGTCCAACCTTCCACCTTATCACCTGCTGCCAGGTACAACTCCAAATGCGTCTCTGAACCTAGGAAACAATATATGATATATATCTGGGTAAATTATAATAATTCACTAACTTGAATAGTTCGGCCATTTGGGGATGATTTCCCTTACTAACCATGATTCCAGTGAGGTCGCAGTGAGGTCGGTATAATTTACCCAGATATATATATATATAACATTGATAATGTATACTTACCCATATATATATATGTTTATAACATTGATAATGTATACTGTATATGATCATGTTTGGCAATCAGGATCTGGTAATCAAGGAAGGGCAAACTCCAATGACGAGCCGGTCCTTCATAGTGATGCTTGCATGTCGGGCAGGCCAAATCCAACCTGATCGTAGCATTTCCAGGATCACTGGACCAGTGGCTATGCAAACCTATATGCAACATTGTCAGTGGAGGTGAGTCTCGGACAAATAGCCACGTGCTCGAAAAGCAGCTTCGATGCAATCGATGTGAACGTACCTGCATGGCAAAAGATTCTATCAGATTTGTTTAGTGCCAAGCTGCATCTTGAAATAACTTCAGGTTTCCCCAAGTAAAAACTTATATAATTCATGGAGGTTTCCAATAAACAATGGGGGTCAATCATTGAAAAACCCCCATTACATAGTTATAAAACTAGGAAAACAGGTAGCCTAAGTAAAATGATTGGTCAAATCATCCAATCATTGGACCGGGTAGCGCACTTGGCGGAGCCACGACACACGCACGGACTCAGAAGATCTCCTCCTTCCTGGAACTTCGACCCTGGAACTTGCCACCCAAAAAGAGTGCCTCAATAATCTTAAGAACATCTATAAAGTGATTTCTCAATAAATACATATATGTTATCTATATATACATAATATGTATATATATATATGATCATTGGTATATATAATTTCAAGAGTTATATCAAAGTATACATAACAGTCATGCAGATTCCAGGTTCTCCGCAGTCCCAGTCCTCCAAACAGATCCGACAGCATCGCCCTGGAACCTCCTCTGCCACCTCGGGTGGCTGAGAAGTCTCCTGGCACCGTTGCCCGGGTGCCCAGTTGAGAGAGTTCACATCCAGATCATCCAACACATGTTTTCTTCCCCATGGTTCTTGCTGTGGAAGAGTTTCAGAACCTGAAGCCTTGAGCTTCAAAGTGGAATGGCCAATGGTTTCAGCCGAACAAAAACGGCTGAATGGATTTTCATTGGCATGGCTGAAAAACCAGATTGGGTTGATGTTTTTTTCCACACACATCATAGATCATCACGTGGCATGTCACAGCCAAAATAACACGCCCGAAGCTCGCCTGATCAATGCCTGGAGTCTCGCCTGCGCCATGGAATCACAATGGAATCAACGGGCATGCCCATGGCATGGCATCTGGATCATCTGGCGAAGTGGAATACATATTTTTTAAAAAAACATGATCCATTGCTATAATGAATCATGAACTTTTTTAGACTAGCTTTTGGGGTGCACAACTTAGTTAATTCCAATCAATTCCAGCTTGATCAGCTTCACGCCTGACGCATTGTCGGCCTCAGGCTAGCATCCGGGATGGGGGCTGTACACTGGGAGGGTTGTGGATAGTTGATGTTTTCCTCTGGCAATCCAACAGCTATGGAAAATAACAAATTTCTGGATGATGTAGCTGATGTAGCTGATGTAGCTGTTCAAAATTGTCATTTTCCATAGCTAAGGATTACAATTTTCCGAAGTCAAACCCTTCACAGTTTGACAACCAATAGTTTACACCAATACATCCACATTTTTGCAAATGGTTGATGATAGTTCTGGCTGCATTACACAACTAGTGCACAAGATCTGGATTGATAACATTTGATCTCAGGCTTTTTATTCCAGTGCATTATAGTATATTGCATACATACGTATATGCGGATAATATATTCAGCAACATGTTTAGTCCAACATCATGCTGATAAATCCATCGAAATTTTGCCCCTTCCCCTTGGGTTGCTGCTTGCCAGGACGTTGACAGCTGAGGTGTCCAGACGTGCCAGAGCCGTCGACATGAAGTCCAAGCGCTTCTGCAAAGCTTTGCCTGGCCCATGGCATCACCTTTTGGAGATACGAATCACATGGATATCACCAGGAAGTGCTACAACAAAAGGGTAGGAGAAAAAAAAACATGATAAAACACATGTTTTTTGTTTGCCGTAACTAAGAACTTACTTTGACCCAGAAGCAGTGACACATGCTCGATATGTGCCTGAAACACACATGTACAACATACCTCAGCTGGGGGCACAGCCAACATACACTTGGATTACTTAATGGACACAGAGCAGGGATTTATTAACCGAAGCTACTGTACAACCACTAGACTAGAACATAGAACCAGCAAACAAAGTGAAGATAGAACACGATTTCATTATCTGCCACGATTACAGATTCTGAAAGTCTGACATCATGGCTGGGATGAATCTGTACTCGTCATGGGCTGGAAACTCCTGGAAAGTCACTCATCCAATGGTGCCTGATTTGGGATAAATATAGGCACCATTGGATGTCCATCAACATATGACCTTCCTGAAGCTGAAATCGTTTTGTCTGAAATCACCTATTGAATAGTTTCCCAGCGCATTAGCCTTTTTACCACAGAAAACAACATGGTTTTCCACAAGGGATTCGACAAAATTCCAGATTTTGAGACGACTTCGTTATCGATAGTTTCCCAGCAGTTGCGACCACATCCTCTCGTTGCCACCCACCAGGGGCTGACCACAGCCGCACAGGGAAGGCAGCATGACCTTGGGACACGCCATTGGGATGATCCCAGGCATCAGGTCCACTGGTCCACCATCAAGGCATGAACCGAAAAATCAAACGCTTTAAGATGCTTTAAGATGGTTTAAGTCATGTACCTATGTCTACCTTGTTCCACCAACCATTTTGAATACCTGGGCCATTTTTGACATTCAAAACACCACCATTTTGTACCGCGGTATTACGAGCTCGCTGTGGATTCCAACGTTTCGCTCATGGCGAGAACCCAACGGGCCGCTGAGGCATCATGAAGCGAAACACACGGCTGGCGTCATGAGAGCTACTAACTTTGGTATCTCATGTTTTTCTTGGGGTAGAGATGAGTATGTGGCTTCCAGATTTGGGGAAAATTGCCGAGTGCAATGTTCACACCATGATGTCTGCAATTCTAGCAAAGCCACTTCTGTTGGATCACAAAACAATTGGTCTGGGGAGTGGTTTCGCAAGGAGTCAGACTAAAATGGTGAGATTTGCAAACGCATTTTGAGGCCCTTATGTCTCACTTGCCCAAGTAGACATCGACAAAATGTACAAAAAATGGTCAAGGTGACTTCCAAAAAGTGCTTTTCTTTTCTACATGCCTCAACCAATTGATAACCATCTTGATTGAAGTCAAGCCTTGAGCCAAGATTTCACATGCTTCCGCTGTACTTCAAGCCTGCCAAGTCAGAGAGCTTACTCGGCTTACCGCTCTGGGTCATCTTTCTGGATCTCCAAATCACAACTTTACATTGCACTGCCGGGTCGAGGTTGGGTAGCGCAAACATTAGCGCAAACTAGCTATTCTTACGTATTCTTACCTAAGTGATCATAGGTGAATTGATTAAACAGAACAGCCAGAACAGCTGGCACCCCATTTTTTTCATCAAAAAATCTCATAGAGAAACTTGAATGATGTACTGAGAATGACCAGTCAATGGAAAAATCCGTGGTTCTCCAAGGCACCATATCAGCATCAGGTCGAAATGCCGGAGATGGTCCCACCTGTGGCGATGGGGATGGATCTGGGTGGTACCAAAACAGATCCTTTTTGGGTAGCAAAAAAAAACGATCCATCTTGGAAGTTGTTGGCTATCCTAGCTATACCATCATATCTCCATGAGATTCTCGTTGTTCCTAGTATCTTTTCATTGCAAATCCCATAATCGCATGATATTGACACCATCTATTCCCATCTTGCTTCCATCAACCAACATAGCTATGGAGATGGGTTTCCCTGCGAGATGATCTTGAGGGTTTTCCATATCTACTTAAGTTACTTGGCCGCCAAGAGCCGTTGAAGATATCCCTATCCCATGGTCAGTAAAAATTCCCATTGTGAGATAGAATCATTCCCGGTATGTCAGCTAGTAACCACTAAATCCCGTAATATGGCTTATATTATGTTTTCATAATTATTGGTCATTAATTGTAGTACATATTCCAGTAATTACTCCTAGCCCAACAAGTATTCCCAATCCAGTTATTTCCAGTTCCTACTGAACCAGTTATAATATAAGTTATAATGATTCTAACATCATATAACTTATAATAGGAATTATATAGAATCACTAGGAATATATCATTCCAGTTATCATTTCTATAGGGCACCCAGTTCCTCCCGAATTTTCGCACCTGGGGAGTGAAGCCTCGACTCGCCACGTCCGCTTCATCAGTGAAATCATCCTGGTCATCCTCCATGTCCGACGCCTCAGAGGAGATGGAACTCGCCTGGTGATTTTCCAGTGATTTTTCCCGAAAAAAAATGGTGCGTCCTCTGGGAAAAAGCTGGAAAAACACTGGAAAATCACTGGTTGATCAGGGTGTTGAGCTGCGATGATGCTGAATTGCTGCCTTGCTAGGACGGCCCAGTAGCAAAATGTAGCAAACTGTTGACATTGAGACCCCGCATGCTCAACCGAGCGTTTGTAATGCCACTCTTGACTGATCTTGACTGTAATTAGCGCCAAAACTCCTTACCGGCTCAAAATGACCAGAGTTCCTAACGAAGTGGTTGTGCTAATTCCGGTTGCACTAACACTACCAACCACCAAGCCACCAATCACACAGTATACACCCACAAGTCCCCAATGCCCCGAGGTCTCTAATTAAATGCTACGTTTCATAAACTTTCATAAGAAAGAAACTTTATCAAAAAACAAGCCAAAATGTGGCATAGTTTCAGCCATACAAGGTTATACATCTATAAATTCTATATGGCCAAATAAGTTGAAACCTCAGTTGGAGGCGAATTCAATCTCCCGAATGGCACAGGTTTTTGCACCGAATGGGATGGTGTGATGGTGGCGACAATGTGTGGCGACAATGGGCGACACATTTTGGACCCATTGAAACGACCACCCAAACAGATCCAAATCCAAACAGTAAATATATGTGTTTTGAAACTACCTAGCGGCCTATCGGACATGTCTATCCTATGACCCAAAGTGACCAAAATAGTGGAAAGATGTCACTGTTCTGAATCTTCTTTGGACCATGTTTTACATCTTGCAGCGTGTCCAAGGCACACTGTCTGAAGGTCTTGAAGATTCTGCCCTGTTGCGAGCCTGTTGAAGTCGTCAGTGAGGACTTTGGCGTCATTCGGTCGCCATGACTTTGGGGACATGAGATATCTGAAATATATCTCAAGTATCCAGAAAGGTGCATCATGCATGGAATCCCATGTCAAAAATCACATCTCTGCATCTACTGGCTACATGTAATTATCAAAAGGATATGAACCATTATGAATCATTTATGAGCTATAATGTTTGTTGCATCATGTTTGTTGCCAATGACTATATGTGACTATAATGCCAATGAAAATCCGGGATGACAAAAAGGCTCGTCCAGACCTGCCTTCAGGTAGTTTTCGGCCTCCCTGTCTGACTCCTGGATGATCGCTAGTGCCAGCAACCTGTTAGGCTAAGCTAGCTACACCATGATTGGGACCATGATTGGGACCATGATTGGGACCATGATTGGGATGCTTCCTGTTATAATGGTGATTAAAATCAGTTCATACTATTTCTAGCATGGTGCTTAAACGTTCTTAAATGCCTCACCAGGCTTACTCGTTTCGCTTTCGACATCCCCAAGTGACCGGTCCTCATCAAAGCCATCATCGCCACGTTGCCAGCTCTGGTAGATGCCCATCCTCAGCTGCACCAGTGGACTTCAAACGTCTAGCTGAGTCTAGCTCTGTCATGGTACAGTATGTGAAATGCGGTATATGAGTGGCTTGACTTGCATGTCTTGCATCACAACATATCCCAAGTCCTGCGAAATATTCATTCAGAAGTCATCATAGGTGATCAGATTGACTCTGCCCTGTTATCCCAGTTCTGAGACCTGTACAGAAAGATATTGGAATGAGCCAGCAGGAACGGATCAAATGGAAAATATCCAGTTCCTTTCAACAGCATCCTTAGTTTCCACGAGTTGCTGATGGCTTCGGGTATGAAAACGGAGAACATGTGCATGTTTCATGTTTCATTCTCCCTCGCTAACGCCTGAAAAACATCTGACAACATGGAAATCGGAATCAAAGTGATGGAATTATGGACATCGATGCAGGCTCCTAGGGCACCAACTCATCTTCCTCTGCAACGGGCGGTACCTCACTCCAAAACAACCTTTGGAACTTTGGAGATGAAATTCCTGGTATTGTCATCAATGATTCCACATGTGCTTCAAAGTTTAAGGTTTCTTAGGGCCGGAAAAACCATGTTGGATATATACTTGTGTGTCATGTTGTTGTATGTTGTCCATATTTAGCATTGAACACTATTCGCCACGTCACTTTTGGGGGATCACCTTGACTGATGGCCGTGTGAACCACCAGTGGGTTGGGCACCATCAGCCGTGCTTTACAACTTGGGGCATTTCATGTCTGAATCGAGACATGAAAATATGTGGTCAATATGCAAATACTTGAGGAAACATCAACAAAGTAGTACCCTCTCCTTCAGTCTCGCCATAGCACAAACCCATCAGATTCCTATGCACTTGGACCATTGGACGCGATAAAAGTCCTGACTGACTACCTATACTAGACCTATACTTCTGCAAAATGGGTAAATGTGAAGGTCATGATAAATGTGGAGGATCTCCAACTGCCAGCTTTGATTACCACTCTGGCTACCTGGCTACAGGTTCAAGATGGTTCAAGATTGCAACAGCCTAGTAACGTCTGGCAGTAACACCTGGCAGTAACACCCTGGCAGTCATCCCATCTTGGCATCTCCCACGTTGTACAGTTGCTGCTGCAGGACCTCCGCTAGCTTTGGTCTGGTCTGCCTAGGCTGTACTGGTCAGCAGAACAGCAACGGGGAACACTTGTTGAGATGGGGTTTAGATATGTTTAGATATGTTTTAATCAGAAAGTTGAAGCTGCCAGCTGAAATTCAAGTTCTCTACCTGACCTGGATCTTTTGTGTTTCAAACAGCCGACATCCGGCCTGATTGCCCGACAGAACTCCTTCGCGACAGGGCGTCGCATGAGAGAAAAGGGCCTCAAATGACGGGATCAGCGCAGTCGGATGATCACTGGTTTTTTTGGTAAATGAGCAGTGGATCACTACCAACTCATACAACTTGTGATATCTCGTGATCATGATGGTTGTTGATGCTGTTGGGATCACAACTTATGTTACGAATCTATTTACTGATCTAGTCTGTTCACTAGCTTCAGGGATTATCCCCGTCTTGAATTCATCACCAGCTTCCCAGCTTGAGATCTTCACATGTAACGGCTGGTGAGCACTTGTGTCATAGCTGTTTTGTCCATGGGCTGTCCTGCTCGCAAGCAGCACAACAGGGAGCGATCAGCACAACTATGGAGGTAGAACCCGTTATAACCCGTTCCCCGTTGAGGTTCAACGACGCGGTTTGAGGGATTTCTACATATTTGCAAATGATATCTAATTAATTATATAGGTATTAGAATCCATACATGAATCTACCGGATTCTTCGGGGAACCTGGCTTTACCGCTAAATGTCATTCATATATCTACCAGCTCTGGGTCCTAGGTCTGGCAATACTTTGTCCAAACCATTCACGCCGTTCCTTAGGACTCAAGCAGTCGCACTTGCATCGTGTTTTTTGGATTTTTTTGGCAGGAGATGATCTTGTTTGATTGGATGCACACTCCTGTTCTCACAGAATCTAGTTGACGACATGTTGAAACCAGGTTCAAACAATCACGTCCATCACTTATGTCCAGACCTTGGCATTTCCCCAAAACACGCGCATGCGATTCAACAAGAGCAGCTTGAAGCAAATGCAGTGCAGCAAATGCAGCAAATGCAATTCTCAGTTAGTACGTTCATGGCCACAGAGAAGTGTTGAAACCAACAGGCACTCCAAACCGTCTTTCAGAGTCCTGTCTCGACTGAGAACCCGACTCATCTGTCTCTTCCCTAAAACCCTGTCATGGCTGACACCAGCTGCTGACACAAACCAACGAGGGCAGAGGCGATTCAAACAAAAAGGTCAAAAGTTGGTTTTAGTACCACGAAAAACGGATAGATTATAGATGTTTATAGTAACCATTAGTAACCTCAAATACACATATATATATATATACCCTTTAATGTGCAGTAATCTACCACTCGTTTAATCATGTTTAAGTTTAATCGTAAGATCTGAATCTTTTCCGGGCGATTCCTCCCAGTGTGCCGGGCACCTCTACATGCCAAACGATGATATAGCAAAAAGCCTCCACAATGAATGATGCTCTGGGGCGATGACCAAAGAAGTGGATGAAATATGTTGGGATAGTTTGATATAGAATTATAATATATATAATATAATATATAATATAATATATATATATATTATATAATATATGTATATTATATTATATAATTATATATCATGATATATGATGTGTGAATATGTGTGACACTTCGGATATCAAATAAGCATAGATTTGCGCAACATGCCAGGCTTGGGATGATCCTTGAGAATGTCGGCGGGTGTGGCTTCGACGGCAGCCTGAACCAAAGAAGCCATCAACTTCAGCCTGGGCGGGTCATCAGCAGTAAATAAGCATAAATGACCAGTATTGGTTGGTGTACAATGGATTATCCTGGTTGCTTGATTGATCTTAATTGGGACTTTTGCAATGGATGATGATAATCCGCATTGGATAGTTCCTGTGGAGCTCGTAACTTTCCAGCAGGTAAAATTAAAACAGCCCAATTGGCTGAGGAAATTGCAAAAAAACATGTCTTCTTATTGGAGGAGTCTGTTTGGCACAGGTACAGGCCAGCTATCTTGGCTTCCTGGCACGTCTTCTCTGGTAGATACTCCGATCTGTTCCCGAATCCCGTGGCCAACCTCCAGCTCCTGGCGATGGAGTCACCAAGGGATGCTGACTGCGAGAGGAGCGTAGAATTTTTAACACCTGCCTGAAGCCAGGTGTTGCCAAACAAAGCTAAGTGCCTCGGAACATCTCGCAAATCACAAAACTTGCAGGTGCCTCTCTGGAAGCAAACTCAAAGTGCTGCCAGGGGCCACACTCACAGCTCCTCACTGAATACTTCACGTTCAGGAATTTGGCCCTGCCTAAGAATGAAGCCAAATACCTCGGCCCACAGTTGATCCAGTTGATCCCTACTGTCCCACAGCCACTAGCATTCCTCATTCTTCGAAGTTAGGCCGGCACGTGAACCGTCCACTGCAAGCTATCCGATCAGTGCAGAGGTCAGGGACCAAATACTGATGCGACCCTGGGAAACGCACGAGAAAGCAACACATCTCTTCTCAAGCTCCTGACCAGGGGACTCTAAAGGCTGGTGATTCAGAGCAAACTTATACAACAGCATACAACAGCCATATTCTCCCTTATTTGCCAACATCATCCAACATCAATATCCTTACACAATCCAATCGCCCTGGATAGGCGCTGTCCGAAGGCCTGCAGTTTGTTGCTAGCATTCTCCAGGAGCAATTGCAAAAAAGCCTGTAGCAGTGCCCAGGAAACAGCCAAGCGGGCCAAGCTATCATCCCCCAAGCTTATGGTTGACACGGCTGACATCGTTGATTCCAAAAGCATCCAATAACCCTCCATTAAACCATATTAAACCAGTTTATACTTCACAATACAACTATCAATGTTGGGTTTTGCTCACATGAGTCGTCACAGCATGCTGGAAATCAAGACCAACTCCAACCTGAAAACCCGGACGGTCCCTAAGTGCCGGCTGCCTTTGTTTCGACGGGCCTTGATCTCCAATATGGATATCTATAGAATCATAGATATTCATACCAGCATCCGTTGCAAGAAATGATGATGCTGCTGCTGCTGATGATGATGATGATGATCAGTCTTATTAATGTATGTGGCGCATCCATTATTTTTACAAAGCATTCTTATCATATAAAAACAACATCCATGTTTACCTATGGGCCGCCTGGGCACATCTCCGGCTCTGATCTCCCTGGTGTCCCTGGTGCCTCTGCCCACACGGGGCACATGCTGCATAAGTAGAACCAAAGAAACTGGACACATTTCACCTGCACACGGTGCAACAAAATTGCTGGCAGAATTGCTGGCAGAATTGCTGGCAATCTTAAGGCTACTAAAGATTCTAAACATAGATCTGGGATTAAAATTTGGATGAAGGGACTCCGCAAAAACAAGAAAAAACTGCTACCTGATTACCAACCTAACCGCTTTGGAGGACAGCAAAATGGTGCCAAAACATGCAAACATCTTGATATGGTCCTGCTTAAGTCTCCCGGTTGCCATGATCCAGAAGTATTCATTGACTTCATCAGGTCCGCTGCGACCAGAGTCAACGCCATTCCCGTAATTTAACTCGTGCCATGCTTGATCATCATGATCCAATGAACAGGACTCGACACCCTGCTTGTTTGCCTTGTGCGTGTTCAGGATCACGTCTTTGAAAATTGTCATCATGGCTGACCTGTTATATAATCTTCAGCACTTTTTTGCTGCCAAAACTCACAACTTCTCAGCACTCGGATGCATCGAGACCCCGGCACTAGTTGCTGTTGCTGGCAGCGTCGTTCTGTGTCATCTTTTGCTGTGTTCATGAGGTTGGTCTGCAAGTACCTGAGCTGCATCATCTTGGCAAAAAAAAAAAATCAAGCAACTGGGGCCACCTTAAACTTCCAATATCAGTTTCTTCCTCCAGAAATCACAAGTTCTGTGCTCCTCCATCAGCCGCAACTCAGGCTTCGGCTCAAAGAACAGCATCATCTGGGCGTCCAAAATGTTGGCCTTATGGGTGCTACATGGTGCTACCATATGGAGCTTGGCTGTGAAAAATGTGAGAGAAAAAAACGGAAGAAAATGCTTGGATAACCGTGGTTTGTGATATGTTGTGATTGGTTGCATATGCCATCATATGCCTGTTTTCCAATCACACTTCAATCAACCTCATCAACCCGAGATTTTTTACCCGAGGCAGCAACCATGGCGTCCCTCTCTTCCCTCATGAAGTCCTGCATCTCCGCATGAAATCTGTGGGTTTAACCCACCAGATCCTGTCGAAACTTTGCCGCTCCTTCCAAGCACCCTGGAGGCCCTCACCAACGCCAACCTCTGGCGTTTTCGCATTCAGCTGGTTGATATCAGAGTCGATCTGAACCTGAAGGCTTGGCTGTCTGAAAATTGCCTCCAAAGATGTATCTCTTGATGATTTAAGATTGTGATAGAGACAGTGATACAACATAAAGCCATGATGGGCCATAGGGGTATACTGTATACCCCCTGTAAGACATCTTGGCATCAAACAAACTTCATTGAAACTGCCTCATCAAATATCCAGCAACAGCTGGGATCCACACCAACTGGCGCACGATCAAAATGTGCAGGTAGATACTCAGGGAAGGCCTTAGGAGTTGGGCCCTCAAGGTCCTTGACGGGCAGATTAGGAGGACTGATGAACCATGGCTGTGGCTCAAAGGAAAGAGTAGCAATGGACTTATAAAATGCACATCTAATCCATTTAACAATCCATTTTTGGTGTGAAGGGCAGGCCGTCCAGTCTGGGCCACTCGCATGTAGCCGCAAATCAGCAGCAAACCTCCCACCTTGTGCGCAGCATGCGTACGACTTCGATTTTGATGCATCGAACAAAGGACAAAGAAAACACATCCCCATATCCCCATGCCGAACCATGAATATTTGAGAATAACATGTGAATGTCGTGGAGCCATGGCATGGCCACTGTTGCAGAGCATCAAAACACATGACAAAGCATTCGAAATTCGAATCTGGCAACTCGATGCCGGGATTGGAATTCGGGCCAATCTTGAATCCAAGTGTCAATTATTTTCTATGGGTGGCAAGTGATAATTTCTCTTCACGCGCTTGCAATCTTCTTCTCGACATGTTGTGAAAAAATAAACATGTAATTGTATAATATATAAACATGTGCCTTTGCAAATTGATTTGATAGTTCAGTTGCGATCAGCTCTCCAAAGTGATTCACCTCTATCCGACCCCGTATCATCCAATGTTTTGAAGTCAAGATATCAAGGGGTCGGGAAGGTACTTCCTGCGGTCGGGTTTGGTTTTTTCGTGACTTTTTACAGCAAGCGGCTTTCCTTGTTGCAGTTTTACATTGAAGAAGTTCGGCAAGAAAAAACAGCAGTCGTGTGTTTTTTTCAAACTCCTGAAGCTTGCGGGTAATGTCTCAAACGCTGTGAAAGAACGCTGCGACGCAGGTCCGATTTTTCGACGTGGGCATGAATGCAAGTGGGACCAAGGGTTATTTAATGTATTACATGACATTGTCAATGAGCAAGGATGTGTGTGTGACAGGATATATAGATGTATGGCAAACACAACACGCTGGGTCCTGGGTGCCGAACCCAGTTGCGATGCTTTGGAACCTCAGTACAGAAGGCAAACAGCAGGGCAGGAGATGACTTGTGCAACAGCTGAAGGTGAGAAAAAGGATCGAGAGGTGGCAATGTGGCAACCCAATAAAAACGTATGTAAAAAAATCATACCTACAATGTCTGGCCATGTCTGACCCCTACTACTTCCCGAAAAGGGCTGGGCTCTCCAATCCATATCAACTCCCAATCAACTCCAAATCAGAGGGAAACACCGATAATCATGAGTTGATCGGTATAACTTTGTTAAGTTATTTTAAACAAAATCCAATCCCCCGAATGTTAAACAACCCATGGTCCTAAATATACATGCAACTCTAATGATTTAATAAAACCAGCGTTTCTGATGGCTGTTGAATATGAATGGGGATGAAACTATAACTATAAACATAGTTATGGCTATAACATGCTATAACCATTCATAGATTCATATTATATATAGTTTATCAAAGGAAGTTTAGGGGGAGAAACTTCCGTGTTACGGACTTTTAGAATGTCAGGGAAAGAGTTAGTCAAAGAAAGAGTTAGTGAGGGAAAGAGTTAGTTAGGGAAAGAGGTAGTCAAAGAAAGAGTTAGTGAGGGACAGAGTTAATTGTAAATGACATCTTCAAGTTGGATTTTTGAAGGAAGTCTCGCACGAAATGCGTTTTTGAGAGATAGCAGATGCACGAAACCCTATGTTTTTCCATACAAAGTCCGTCCCCGAACCTCGATGATCTACCTCTGCGGTGCGACGGTTGCGAGACGGTCTCGTGTGTGGTCGGATCATGGGCGGATCATGGGCGGATCATTCTCGGATCGGTTCCGCATTGTAAATGGGGTTTCACCTGTTTTTCGTGCATGTGCGGTCGACAGAATTCCATTGTGATTTGCAACTGTAGGATCGTTCCCGCAATGTAAATGGGATTGCAAGTGGTGCTGGTGGATGAGTTGCCGATGGAATTCCATTGTGATTTGCAACTGTAGGATCGTTCCCGCAATGCAAATGGCATTGCAAGTGGTGCTGGTGGAAGAGTTGCCGATGGAGTTTTGAAGGAAGTCTCGCACGAAATGCGTTTTTTGAGAGATAGCAGATGCACGAAACCCTATGTTTTTCCATACAAAGTCCGTCCCCGAACCTCGATGATCTACCTCTGCGGTGCGACGGGTGCGAGACGGTCTCGTGTGTGGTCGGATCATTCTCGGATATGTTCGGATCATCCTCGGATCATTCTCGGATCGGTTCCGCATTGTAAATGGGGTTTCACCTGTTTTTTCGTGCATTGCGGTCGACAGAATTCCATTGTGATTTGCAACTGTAGGATCGTTCCCGCAATGTAAATGGGATTGCAAGTGTTGCTGGTGGATGAGTTGCCGATGGAATTCCATTGTGCTTTGCAACTGTAGGATCGTTCCCGCAATGTAAATGGCTGCGTCAAGGTTGCTTCGTGCTGTGGCTGCATTGGTAATACTATTGTCTTTTGCAGCTGGACTTCGTAAATCGTATTGGAGTGGCTGCATGAAGGCTGCGACATGATTTGTCAGCAGATTTTCTCCATTTTGGCGCTAGTGATTTTCCTTCTAAAAATCCTTTTAAAAAGTGCTTCAAAATCGTCTTTTTTTCGCTCTGGCGTCGAGATCTGGTTTTGGAGCACAATTTCCGACGCCGTTGCGCGTAGTTCTATTGTGTTTTGCAACTCAGTCTCTGCAGATCGCATTGTAATGGCTGCGTCAAGGTTGCTTCGTGCTGTGGCTGCATTCGTAATACTATTGTCTTTTGCAGCTGGACTTCGTAAATCGTATTGGAGTGGCTGCATGAAGGCTGCGACATGGATTTGTCAGCAGATTTTCTCCATTTTGGCGCTAGTGATTTTCCTTCTAAAAATCCTTTTAAGAAGTGCTTCAAAATCATCTTTTCTTCGCTCTGGTGTCGAGATCTGGTTTTGGAGCGACAATTTCTGACGCCGTTGCGCGCAGTTCTATTGTGTTTTGCAACTCAGTCTCTGCAGATCGCATTGTACTGGCTGCGTCAAGGTTGCTTCGTGCTGTGGCTGCATTCGTAATACTATTGTCTTTTGCAGCTCGACTCGTAAATCGTATTGGAGTGGCTGCATGAAGGCTGCCACAGTGATTTGTCAGCAGATTTTCTCCATTTTGGTCGCATTAGTGTTTTTTTGTTCCACGTAGGTTTAGAGCAGTGTGAAGTGTGGGGCGTAAAGAGTGCAGTGTGAAGTGTGAAGTGTGAAGGAAGCAGTGGGAAGTGAGAAGTGTGAAGTGTGGAGTGAGAAGTGTGAAGTGTGGAGTGTGAAGTTTAAGTTTGGAGTGCGAAGAGCGCAGTGTGAAGTGTGAAGTGTGAGGTTTGGAGTGTGAAGGAAGCAGTGAGAAGTGAGAAGTGTGGAGTGTGAAGTGTGGAGTGTGAAGTTTGAAGTTTGGAGTGCGAAGAGTGCAGTGTGCAGTGTGAGGTGTGGAGTGTCGAGGGAAGGACGCGGTCGGGACAGGTTGTCTTTGAACTATAGGTCATTTATGTTTGGGAAACTTCCGCCGCCGGCTTGCCCGGGTCTATGTTAGATGTTTATAGCTATAACCATACCCATAACGTCCCATTTCTGCTATATTGGCCAAATTCAAGGCATCACTGAGTTCCAACCGTGGCGAACTTCCCGCGAAGGGGTGGAAACCTCGAAGAACATAAAAAGGGGGGGAACATCAAACAAATAAAATATGTAAGCCGGCTATGATGTTGAATCTTGAAGAATTCTTGAATGATTCAACTTGGCTAACTTGATGAATCTTGACTAAGACGGCTATGATGTTGATAGACTCTCCCAGTTGATCACCACTGGATCAGTAGCAGAACTGGAAATTTTTCTTGGACAAACTTCCTGCTCAAGCAAAAATGGAACAGATTCATTGTTCAACAAAACGGAGCTGCTTCTGCTCAAACTACACCCTCTTTACCAAGGTGTTGTGATCTGTCACCAGATAGTCAATGGGTATTCTTTGAACATGTTGAGTGCGGTTCAAGTATGTCATGGTACAAGGAATCATCAAAATGAGTGTTACCATGGCATGAGACCATCCATTCACTGCGGAAGAAATATTTGGAAGTATTGAAGGTTATATAGATGGTGGTGGGCAATACGGCAACAGACACAATTGTATAATATATATATACATATATATATATATATACACACGTAAAATTACCTACAAAGCAATGTTTGGTGTCAAAACCAGGGTTTTTGCTGAGTCTGTGCTGTTAAAATCCTCTTCTTCTTCTTCTTCTTCTTCTTCTTCTTGATTCCCCATCCATTTTTCATATTAAAACCCCCCCTCATATCTGTTGAAGTCCCAATGGGTCCCATTGGTTGGTGTCACTCCCCACTTCCCCCGTTTTCTGGTGACCTTCTGGCGGCGAGTTCCGCCAGGCTCTTCCTCAGAGTAAAATGTCGGAAAATCTTGGGGAAAACCTTGGGAAAATGATGGGAAATCCACTGGTAAACCTGGGAAAATGATGATAAATCCATGTAAATCCACTGGTAAATCATGGTTAATAATGGTAAATCCACTGGTAAATCGGTTAATCATAGTTAATAATGAGTAAATCCACTGGTAAATCATGGTTAATCATGGTTAATAATGAGTAAATCCACTGGTAAATCCATGGAGTCATCATCACTGGGGAATCACGAGTATTGAGCAAACCATCTTCACAAAATTCGATGGCCGTTACTCAAGTGGGACAGCATTTTTCTTGCATCAAACAAAAACGAGAAGCATGTCGATCTTCAACTTTCAGGTTAGTTGCCAGACAGTGCCAGAGGACCCAGTTGCAAAGCTAAGCCCTCAGCATCGCTCCTGGATTTACCTTCGAACATTGCTGTTGGGTCAAGAGTCAAAGGGAATCTTCCCATTTGCACATTGTCAGCCATTGCCAGCAACTTAAGCACAGAATATACCGCATGTACAATGACTTCTCAAGCTTTCACATTCCTGGCCAGCAAGGCAGCAAGGGCACTTGAGCTGCTGCATCTGCTGGACAATGTTTCAGTGAATTCACAGTTCGCATGAGAATGGGTGGAATCACATCAAAAAAATGTGGTAAACCCAATAATTTACCATGCCCTAAATCACCATCAATGGGTGCTATATACCTTTACCATCCCTTAAATGGGAGTTGTTTATGATCACTGGCATTGGATTTCCCGTGCTTCCCCATGGTTTCCCACAGTGAATTCACCCACCTGCAAAATCTTGCCCAATGCGTAGCAGATTCGTCGCTGACCAGTTACCTTGCCGGAGCCCAGAAATCGCCCCTCGACGGAAAACCGGGGTCACCGCTGCAGATGCTCCAGGCTTAGTGGTGCACGGTAAAGGACGGAGTATTGTCCATGCAACGGATGTAGCTAAAGTCCTCTGAAATTGGGAGCGGAATGGAGTGGAACCACTGGAAGTGTGACACTGGATATTTTTGGATATACTCCAAGAAATCCAAGAATATATAAAATCAAGATTGAAGAACTTACAGCACCTCCCACTGAGAATTCATCTTCTTGTCATACCGCTTCCAACATTCTCATCACAAGAAGTCTTCGGCATGTTTTCATCTTGTTCTCTCACAACATGCCATGTTGAAACGCACACAACATGCGAAGATCAACGCCAAGTTCAACGCCGCCTCCCCAAATCAGCTGCAGCATGTCCTCCTCACTGCCATCCCCACGAACCACGAAAAAACATCTCAACGCAAAGGTGGGATGTTGACCTGGACAAACAGCTTCATGACGTCATGGAATCTTTCAACGCACACATCTTTGATGATATTATCAAACCATGTCAACCTTGTCATGCAAGTATCTTGACCCCTAGTGCATGTGTCCAGATGCAGGGACAGAAAGGACCTCATGCCCTTGCAGAAGGCTACTTGGGGTGATGGTGCTTAAACAAGTTTAAGGTAAGCGCTCAAACAGGCTGCGAAGATGCAGGTATTGACATATTTTTTGCTGAATTCTAGGTTTATACCATTTTAGACCACAAATCGAAGTTTTTCAAGAAAATCCCACCAGTCTGCCCAAATCCATCCGACACTGCAAGTGGCAGATATTTTTTGCCCACACTATGGGGCTCCAGCACTTCCAACCAGTGGTCCCCGGCCTGCTCGAATAGCCACACATCCTTCAGCCTGACACAGTGCGGCATTGATGACTTCAATACTTTGGGATGTTGTGCCTTAAAAAGAAAAAACAGCAATGATCACGAGTGCCTAGCTGGCTGTTTTGGACTTGCACCATTGTTGACCCATGGGCCCATAGCTGAAAGCTCTTAGTTCCCCATTTCAAGCGTTTCAACCTCAACACCACGGCAGCACCACGCTTTTTTTTCAGCACCTGGCGCTCAAAGGAAGTCTCTGAAGCGACAACTTTTATGGCGCAACGCCTGACGAAAGCCTCCAAGATCCACTGGCGGCTCCAGCAGCACTGGTGCTGTCGCAATACCCAGGCGCTGTGCCATCTGCCATGGCGTCGGTTGTTGATGCTCAGACATCGTCATCTCCGCATGCTTCAATAGTTGCTGCAAATGTTCGGGGCTTTCTTCATCTACCACGCGATTCAGTTCCTGGATGTTCTCGTTCATCAAGGCGCGGTAGTCCTCAACGGCTTCTTCACCATGGGCAAGACTGTGCTTCAATCCCATCTGCATCTCTTTCATGAAGCCTCTTCGAAGTTTCGGCTTCTTGGCAAATTCGGCCTGTATCTGTGGGTGCAAGCGTTTTATGAGGCTTTCAGGGGCCAAATCTGCATGTTTGCCCTTCGAACCAAACCAGCCAAACAGAAAGGATGTCGGCTCATGGCAGCCTTGTGTCACATGGGGATCTAACAAGTGGCCAATCTTTGGGCCTGTCATTCTGACTTGTCCAACCAGCGCTGCGGATGCTATAGCAAGTTGATAACAGTTGCCGAACTCTCTGGGTTCTACGTAATCCAAAACCATTGCTGAAGGGTGGCTGAGTGTAGCTGGTCACACCCTAGTAACACTTAAGCATTGACTGTGTTTCAAGTGATTGAGACCACTGTCTCATTTGGATGCTTTCAAACAGTTTTACGGCAGAAATGATGTACCAAAATCACCACTTTCATCCTGTGGCTTAGAACATCCACCATCAAATGGGAAGCCGGGACCATGGACTACCCACCTTCTTGTCGCTACGCGGATGATGTGATAGCAGCTCCTTGATCTTCTTGCTATCCTGCAGTGGATTGAGAGAATGTGTGGGGGATAGATGGAATATCTAAGCGTTGATCACACATAGAAATCATAGAATATATTGAATTATGTTGATAATATTCGAGAATCATCTCCCGTAAAGTACATCCACACTCAGGTGATGATTCGAACAATCAACCAGGGGTTTTAGTTGGTTTAACACATTCTAACCACCACTCAGCCACAGTTTCTGGCGGCAGCGCCTCTTCCTTCAAGAGCTCGCCATTCTGGTAGGATTTCAGAGTGGATTGACACCAAGCCTGGCCGTTTTGCGCCCAGGCTTGGTGAAGCCCCGGCAGTCCCGGCTTGGTGAGCCAGGAAAAAAAACACCCCATGACATGATGAACTTCTGCAACTCCCATTTTAGTCACTACAGAAAAATGCACAAAAAGGTTAAAAAAGGTTCCTGCATCCGCAAATCTCTGGCATGGTTTTGACTCTTATGGCTACACAAAGAGTAACATAACGCAGTAGCACTAAGTCACTAAACCAACTATCACTTCAACGATCCCAAGATATCCCAAGTCATTTTCTCACTGTTCACATGCCATGGCGCCATGGCTTGCCCAACGCATTTTGGCGTTTCCACCCACCATGACATCCATCGCCCAGCATGGCCCATGGCCCATGGCCCACCTTCAGCTCGCGGCGATCCAGGAATTTCATCCCGCCCAGACTGATCTGCTCGCAGTTGATCTGCCCGCGATCGAAGTTTCGGCGTGTCCAACGACGGCACCATGACATGACTATCCATGACTCAAAAAAACTAATCATATGCCACATTTCATGGGATTTTATGGTGATTAATTCGGATATATCTTCTAGGGATTATACTCATCATGTACATTTACTGGGATCTTCCTGGGATTTTCCTGGGTGGAAGTTTATGGTGATCGAACCAACAAGAAGATTGTCAACGATGGCACCATCAAATGCTGTGCGTAATGGCACAATTTGGCCAGCTTTGTGCGCATCTTCCATATCTTCCATGACTTCTGTGCGAAGCAAAAAGGGATTGGAACCATATATACATCCATATTGGTGGTTTCCTGAAATGGTGGTACCCCCAGTCATCATCCATTTTCATAGGATCGTCCATCAAAAAACCATCCATGGGTGTCCGCATTTCTGGAAACCTCCATAACATACAAACTAATGACCAACTTCTACCATTGGCATAGTTCCTCCCACACTCGCGAAATGCCAAAAGGGGCCTCCTGCCATACACCGCCATCTGCCAGTGCTTTGACTAGCGCCTAAGATGGGCTGCAAGTCATCAGTCATGGAAAGAATCTGTTGGCATCCTTCCGTGTCGCGTTTCTTGCGAAGTTACAATCCCGTGTATAGAATACAATGGCATACATTCATATACATTCAATATATGATTCATAAAATATCAGCCGTCCAGAAACTGTTGATAAAACAGAAACGCGGCTGTATGGTGGTACTTTGAAACAAGCCGCTTTTGAAGGATGAACCGGGATGACCGCAGATCTCAACATGGCCATCAAATTCTTCGTGGATTGAACTTCCCAACGAGTTGCAACACCAAAGGGAAATTGTGTTGCCCGTTGTTTTTAATGTTTTTTGGACTTCCTCGTGAGTCTAGAACTAGGCTATAGTTTTCCAGTTTTCCACAATCTCGGGGTTGATCAAAGTATCAAAGGTCGGCAGTCATGGGTCGCTCAAACTTCCCGAGGCAAGGTGCTTCAACAATCTGATGCATGTTTGTCTGACCTGGGGAGCAGCCCAACCAGGAGACAACTTTACATGTTTGTCAGCCACCAGAAAAGGCTGACAAGAACCACGGAACTACGGCAATTGCGGGATTTTCAGCTAGTAAGCCTGTAGACCTTGACCCCAAATCTGTCCAAAGTGTAAATCGTTATGGCAGAGTTTCTCTCCGCAGTATAAGGTTTGCACTTTGACAGGAATAGTGAATTGCCTTAGTCGCTCTCCGAGATAGCTGGTCTCAGTCGCGATGGAGGGCATTCCCATACCCTCCATGATGCTTCACCTGCCTTGCTAGTATCTTACCAAGAAATCTTGACACTTGACACCTGTCTACAACGTGTATCTATAATATATATATATATATACTGATCTAAGTCGTATATGTAATATATATTATATAGGTATAATCATATATTCCATATACCAAACATGCCATGTGGGAAATGAAGAAGTCCTGCAACATCTGAGTTCGCGTCTCTTGTCACCAACTCATCAGCCACTTCGGGAGTCTGGCTCAATTGATGGTCAACGCTTGCAGAAAGCCATACTACATTGCAACAGGCATTGGCAGTCGGCTGTGCGAGTTACATCGTTTTACCTCGTTCTCAAAGCTGGCAATTTCAAAACCAATGGTTCATGATGTTCCTCTTGGATTGCCAAGTGATGTTTGAAAACTCCCCAGCCCTGGATTCCCAACCTGCAAAGGGAAATCTCCCCATCGGTTCAGAACTTCGAAGACTGGCAAGTCTTTTCTTAAATCTGCCTGTGAATGGCTGGCTGAGGGGATCTAATCTCTGGTTCTTTTGGGTCTTGGGGCTGCCTTGGGGCCTTGGGGCCTTGGGGCCTTGGGGCCAGGGCGGATCTTTGGTGAACGTCCAACCCCCACGGTCACCTGAGGGATGCCAACTTGATCAGAACATGGCCAGTGTGGCTTGAACGAATCTGAAGGTTACGCTTGCAACTGCCAAGTTCTTCCAAGAATCTGTTGCACACCCGCATGGAAATCCATGGAAATCCCATACCCAGTGGCCCAGAGTCTGCTCATATTTCCTGCCTCAGGAGATAGCTGAGATGTTGTCTTCAGCTTTGGTTCGTAAGAAATTGGACCATCAACGCAGACAACTCCAGTTTCCCATATGACCATGGCTCGCTAAAGGCAATGACGCTTGCTACTTGAGGCAAGGATTGGCCATGGGCTGATTGCTAAGTTGGTGGTCAGGAGGTTGTACCCTATATGCCTATTATATATATATAACCAATGGGATTTATGGGATTTTCTTGGGCTACTACTTGCTTTTGGCTCCCAGGGTTGTGTGATACCTCATTGTCTCTATTTTGACTCTGCAGCTTAAGCGGACAAATCTCTTTGACTTCGGAGGGGCTCTTGTCACTTGCCAAAGAAAGCCGGCAACGAAACACTGGAGAATTGATGAGAATTGGACTCCCCTCTGATCAGCCAACATCGGGAGGCTGTCGGCTGTCAGGAGGTCCTTGAAGCGAGGCCGCTGTGCACAGCCATTCTTTTTCTTCACCAAACTGCGATCTGTAGCTGGGGTAGCTGCAGATTCTCTCCAGCGGTGAAACCAAGTTCCAATATTCTGAAATAAATGGGAAGACATTTAACATGACCTACACACTCACGTTTTCGGTGCGCTTGAAGGCATCTGCATCGATTCCTTGCGCAGGGATGGACTGCAAAAACGATCAGTTCATGAGTAACAGTGATACTACCCTCTGCTTATCATAGCTATCGGATACAGCTATCGAAAATGGCACAATTCTCATGATGCCCCTGCTAAAAAATGTAAGTTTTCCATAGCAAGCTGTTAAATAACCAGAGGGTACGTAATACTGATTTTGGATCAACTCGCTCAAACGCCTGCAGTTTGATTGGTTGTACATTAGATAGTGTCTGATCTGGTTGGTGGTTGAAAAAAGGTGTAGTCATATAATCATCCTAAATATGCAAATATGGTTTCTGTATGTTTCTGTATGTTTCTGTATGTTTCTGTATGTTTCTGTATGTTTCTGGTTGAACATGCCAAAATCGAAAACCAACTGAAAAACCACTAAATGCCTGGATGTGATGTTTGTTCTCGGGAGTTTTCACCAGCTGAGCCCCAGACTCTTCAGCATGGACTTGAGCTGTTTCAGCGGGCCCACCCTTATTCAAAGCTGCGTATAGACAAGAATCTGAGCCAAAACTATAGACTGGGAGACTCCAAACTCCTTGATTTCCTGGCTAGAATAACTCATAGTAACTCCATATCGAATCGGCAGGCATTTAAGGCTTCAAAGTGGAATCTGAAGTTCCCAAGCAGCTTGTCATTCCCTTCCTTTCCCAGGGCTTGCTTCTGAGTAGTCAAGGGATATCTGGGGGGCGCCATTGGGCCATGGCCAGTTGGCCGAGGCTGGGGCTCGAAGAAATCCTTGACTCCATCCATGATCATCGCCTGTGATGATGAGAATCTGATCATCCTGATCTCCATAGGGGGAGTATGGCTGGAAGTAAACCACAGGCGAAGCTATCTGCTATCACCCATAGGATCCATGGTGCTGGTATATTAATGCTAACATAAAGGGGGTATATTGATGGGATCCATGTTACCATATGTTACCATATAGCAGCACCATGGATCCTATGGGTCAGGTGATCTCAAAAACTTCCGCGACGATCCACAGCTCTGCGAAGCCAGGACATAGCCAGAATCCACAGCTCTGACAGAATTCGCCCCATTCCATGGAATATGATGGAATGCCTTGTAGCCACATCGAAATCAAATGCAGAATCTTATGTTCCAGAACCAAGCCCCACCATACTCAACATCACCTCTTGAAAGTAAACATGGAGCAACGCGTTTCATGCCACCGTCATTTGTAGCACTTCGTCCCAACGCCCGGAGCCGACCCGAATGGATGGCTCCCAGAGGACTTCATTGGTCAGTTGCAGCCTGGTCGGATGGTCGAAAAATCATCAGATTTCTATCTGATGGACGATCCCTCTTATGATGTGATATTTATGTTGGTTTATGTGTGGTGCTTATCCCGGCTTATCCCAAAAATAGAATATCAAAATTATTAAAGGAACAATTCTTAGGGGCTAACTAGGCCAATGATGTACTGGGTGTCTCTAGTATTTACTGAACATCCCAGCTTTAGTTCTGGGGAAGACGGGAAAGCTATAGAGGAAACTCCTCATCTTTGATTGGCAAATCCATAGTTTCCTGTAGATTTCCACTTGAACCAAGCCATTCAAAACGGTCCAAAAATCGCCACCCCAGGCACATCTTGGGACCGTGGGACCCTGGGACCTCTGGGACCTTGCCAACCTGAGGGGCCAGACTTCATCAGCTCGATGAAGGTTGCTGGATCCGAATTCTCCTTCACCTGAGCGGCCGTGGATCTGGCTCCACCGATGACATGACAATGTCACCAATTTTCTCTACGATCCATGACAATGTCTGCCAATCTATTGTGTGGGATGAATATTGTGTATGATCCATGTCATCCCAAAAAAGGATCATACAAAGTACCAAGTTCACCACGTTCGAACATCATCCAAAGGGGCCCCTGGGAGAATCGTACACAGTTCCTCCATGGGTCCCGTAGGGCCGCTGCCCTTCTGCCGTTGATATTGAAGTAGATGCTGCACCTGTGGGAAAGAAACAAGTACAAACTGCACAAAATTTAACCATCAATAATACAAGTAAATGACTCAAAATCCGGAAAAAAACACTAGAAATCAACAGCTGTATCAATCTATCATAGTCCACTTCACTCCCCTATTCAAAATGTAATTCTTCTATAGTGAACCGTCAGCGTTGATCCAAAACTGCTGGAACCTCGGGGGCATCATCCTTTGAGAGGCGGCATCCAATGCCCGAGACAGCTGCTCCTGGCGGAGCATTTTGGTCAGCGCACTATCAGAGCTTGGTTGCATCCACTGTTTTGAAATTACTTGTATATCATATTTCAGGACAATATAATAATCTAATATACTGATTATACTGTATATAATATATATTTATTTATATAACTCCATATATAAATATAGTATAATATGAGCTGCCTCCCAGAGGACCCTCCGACTCTAACTCCTCCAGCTGCGGCCAATTGATCCTGATCAAAATACCTCTTTATTTGCTAATGTGGTACACCCAATCATAAACAACAACCATTTAGGGGATGGTTGAAAATGTTGAAAAAAACCACCCATACAAATTGGTATTTTGAGCATGGTTTATGGCATTGGTTTTGCCACATTAGTTGATATGTGATTGGTTTATGGATGTCTATGGCATTCCATGGCCATGAAAAACTCACCCAGCTTGACTTGTGTTTGTCATTTAAGTCCCGGGATGTATGATGATGTGTTAATGTACAGCCTGCAACGACATGCTACTGCTACCCTGTGCCATCTCACCATTCTTGCTAGAAATCCCAGCGGCTCCTGTGCAGGAGCCATCAGTGGAGTATGAAACGCTCCACTGGTCTTAATGAGTCGTGCCTGAACGTCTGCTGGGAGTTGGCGCACAGCTTAAGGATGCTTAAGGCCTCTCAGTTCTGTCTGACTGTTTCGAAGATGCTCCTTTCAATGCATCTTGCAGTTGTGTCCCAAAAAAATGGGTCGAACAGATTATGGACAACCCCCCCAATGAAATTGGGCCGGTCTTCAGATACCCATGAGTTTCCCAGTTACTGTAACCCCATTGGAAAAACATGGCTTACCCTCGGAAGTACCTCGGTCAAAACACCCAACACATCAGAGAAGGCATTCAAACACTGTTGGGTGTTCCCCACGCAATTGTTGGGAAAATATAAATACCTCGATTGGGAGATGCACCATGCCCTTATCTTTGGCATATGTGGGTATGGCTACAGATTGGTGAAAGCCCGAAAAAAGCTTATTTCCACAGCCATTCTCAATACTTACTTGATAACCATCCCATTATCAGTACCTCAGTTTCGATGATGGCATCGCTTCGTGGTTCATCCGAACATAATAGTCAAGTGGGATCCAAAATAGTGGAGAAACAAATAAACACCACCAACCGCAGATTTATCAATTGGATGAGACGATTGGTGCGAATAGGGATGATCGATTAAACATATGAAACATTATGAAACCACCAAGCAGATTGGTTGATATGATCCATGCGTTGTACTGTATCATGGTATATTCAAATAGTTGTTTTGGTTTATCTCCTATATTATATTGTCTCGGTAAAATCCCATTGATCCACATTTATGTATCCCATTAAGCCACCTGGTTTACCTCCTATATTTGTTGGTTAAATCACAAAAACCAAGCAGCAACCAGGGGTTGCGAAACCGCAAAACCGCGAATCGGCCCGCGCGCCTGCAAGGCCTTCGCTGCAGTGGCCCGCTTACAAAGTTCATCGATCGCCACTTTGGTGCCAGCCTTGGGCACTGGCCGGGCTAGAGATGCTGGTGATCGTGGCTATAGATATACTGCAAGGTGTTACACTGTTGTGCCCCCCAGTTATGGAATGTTATAGACACGTTTTAGATATATCATCTACTAGTATTACTTAGTATCATATAATTAGTCATATAGATATCCATGAATCCTAGATAGCCTGGTTATAAACCGACTTCGCGAAGTAGGGGGCATCACCTTGCGGTGGAACTGATGTGGAACTGATGGTATAATTGATGCTAGGCTGATGCATCAGTCCGTACAACTAGAGACAAGTAAAACCCAATGGTTGAACATACCATCACTTTTATGACTTCTACACATTGGCTACCCCAAGAATCCAGAGGAAAACAGGATGACATCGGCTTCGAAACTGTTTATTTTCCTATTAAGTCTTAAATCTACAAATGTCTTCAAAGCGATTCAAAACATCATCCGTTGGAACTCTATAGGAGAGCACGATGAATTCAACATAATCTGGGCATAGTCTTTATATGTCATTGTAATGGACCTGATCTATCAACTATCAGAAGCAAAACCAGATGCGAGAACTCCATAGAATTCCAAACAACGCACGAAGGCTTGCCCTTGTACAAACCAATAAAAGTATATATAAAAGTCATACTTTTAAAGTCACTTCAAATGCATTAAACAACAACGAATAAAGGGATCAATATGGATCAATGATGTGCACAACTCTGATGCATCATTTTTGGAATTCTATTGAAATTTTCAGCACCAGACACAAGTGAATCCTGAAGGAAACAGGAAATTTGCGACCTCAGTTTGTCAACAAGACCATTTCATCATTTTGCCCTTAGCAAGGTGAAAAATGACTCTTGAATAGACACCACCATTTCGGGTTGTCATGGCACCGTTTTCCTTGGAAATCCGTGAAACACTGGACTGGCTTCAGAGTTAGTTTGAATCTTTGCATCCTTTGAAGTCTCTCTGTGCTGAGAGTCACGCTTGACACTGCGGGTCAGGGCTGGGATCTGCCCCTTTGGCGTCCAAACAGAGCTGGTCCACCTTTGCTCGATCCAATCCTGCCACCTGCAGCCGAGCTAGGCCAGGGGCACCAGGGGCACCAGGGGCCAGGGGCTGCCTGAGGGTCGCACAGAGCACATGGCCTGAGGAACTCGGGTTGCAGCATCTTGCATCGCCTGACATCTAAGGAAATCTAGGGAACCCCCCAAAATCCAGCAACTAGCATCATTTCCTGATCAAAAATGTGATCATGTGGGAAAAGACACCATTTTTCAGACAAACCCAAATCGGTGTTTTGAATGTTCTGAAAGCCTCTCTTAGAGCACCCAGCCGTGCATGTCATCTGGACCAATCCCCAGCTGTCCCCAGCCAAATGGGCCAAATGGGACCAAGGTTTGTCAAACAGAGCCGTCTTCCGAATCAGGCCTTGATCGTTTGTTCAATGTTCTATCAATTCTACGGTCCATCAACCCAGCTAAAGAGAAAACCTTTTGTCCATCGCAGATATTACCTCATACGCATCATATATGTGTATATATATATGTGTATATATATATGTGTGTGTGTATGTGTGTAAATTATAATGCATTATGTAGTATACTGACTGGATGCTCCAATTTACTGGCCACATACTGGCCATCTTTTAGTGGGGAAAATCGTCAAGCGCTGGATTTGTGCCTCCGCCCTCAGCTGCACCAGCTTCAGGCCATCCTCAAAGGACAAGACCTGGAGCGGTCCATAGAGCTACCAGGGATGTCCTTGGACCCTTGGATGCTGGAGGAAGAAACCCGGAAGTGGTGTTGCGGTTGATGTATGTTGAAGTGCTATGAAGTCATGACTCTTGTTGCTCAAGAAACAAATGGAGCATATCAGCATATCCATATCATTCCATATCCCATCATACCCGTTGACTTTAGATTCTTTAGATCCTTTCACATAGGCATCCTCCGCCGCCCAGGCAGCTGACCCCTGCAGCTACAATGGCCGTGTACTCGCCCAGCGACAGGCCGGCCTTGGCGATGGGTTGGGGCTTATGAATTATTAAGGTTAGCCATGGAGATGGGTCATGCCACGTAACGGACCATTGGTTCATGGGGATGTCATGGCACCAGCTAAGTCAGAGCTATTTTGCTGGTCGAAAGACAGGGTACCAGAGTTTTGACCTGGAACCAAAGGGAGTAGAGCCCATCACTGAGGATGAGATCTCCGTTGAAGCTGGGCAAGTGCAAGCGCATCACTAAGGTCTCAGCAACGCAAAAGGGCCTATCCACCACTTCTGGCTTCGTTTCTCTGAGTACCTGATAGCATCGTCACCGCCACATGGCTATCATCCCTAGATTATCATCAGTACTGCTGCTATCACTATGTAAGTTATTCTCACTAATAGTAAATAGTATCATCATCAAGAAAATATATCACCATTGGACCACTATGATTCCCCGCAGAACCTAAGGTTCGCCCAAGCTGACATAATATGCAAGAACACACATGCTCCAGGCAAGCCTCCGGTTCTGTGCGTATTATTCTTATCTCTTTTAATTACTATAAGACTATTGAATCATGGTTCGTAGTATGGCTACTCCATTGCCCTTAACATGTTTTAACAATTCGGAAACACAACTCTGGTTTAGCATTGGATCCATTCATAAAAGGGTATAAAAAATGACAGTATATTACAGTCTCATGTCAGGATGGATCAATTCTATTAAACCACCATTATTGATGTTTAAACCATGTTTAAACCATGTTAAACCATGTTAAACCATGTTAAACCATGTTAAACCATGTTAAAGCACTATTATTGGTCTATTTAACCCGGTGAGTTCAATCTTGAGGGGACCAGCCTCAACCGCGGCCAGGCCGGCGATGAACATGATGGGCTGACAGTACCTGCGAGCTGAGGCTGATTGTGATTCTTGGATATTGCTGGCCTATTGTCAGTATTGAGGCTGATTTGTCAGTATTGATGACTCAACAATCAGCCTCAGTATTGATGTCAGGATGATTGTTGGCCTATTGTCAGTATTGATGATTCATGGCTGCCTTCTGTTGTCAATGGAGAACTGGATTGTGCCTTCAACCAGTGTTGTTTCCGTGCAAAAATCGCTACCAAAACATTTGGCGATGTTCTAAGCATTCCTCAAAGTCCTTGTCCGTCCTTCGGTCTGATCGATGAAGTATTGATCAAACACTGGAAAACTGAATACAACATAAATTCGAACCTGAACCACAAATTTGGTCAAAAAATCTGCCCTAAAAATAGCTAGAAGATCTAGAAGCATCAATTTTGACCCTAAGTGTGTATTTCTAGATCCCACATACAGTAATAGTTTAAATAACCATACTGACTATATATATATATATGTTATTATATATATATTGTAGTATATATACTATACTATATATAGATATCATATATTATATGTATTATATATTATATATACGTACACACATACATAACATGTCATCTACTCATCGGGGTTTCAATCATTTTGACCCAACATGACCTTGAGCTGTGCGCACTTGGTTTCACTGAGCTTCTCTTCCGGACCTTTCAAGCAGAGCTCCCGGACATCCCAACCTGGAAAGGGGAATGGAGCGAGGTGCAGAAGTTTGTTCATCTGCAATCATCACAAATATATCTTTGTTAATCTGATTCAGAAGTTTGTTCATCTTTGATAATCTTTGCATATCGTTGAATCATGTTGAATCATGTTGAATCATCACAAACAGTTTGGGGCCTGGCGTTGGGGTTGAAGCCTTTCAAATCCAGCTCAAGCTTGGGCGCGGGCCAAGAATCGACTCGGCCTTGTCCAGCATGCTCTTGACCTGCCAGAGTCCATGGCAGCTGCGTGGTGGCATGGCACTGGCTTGCTCTGAGTGGCAGGCGGCTGGTCGCTCCATGACGTCTTTCAACATGCCGATCTCAGTAGGCGCCAACATTAATGGGAGAACTATCCCCCCTAGAGATTGCCATCAAAGAAAGGACAAGGATAACAGATCACAATCATGAATCATGTTATCCAATAGGATTTTTTTCCAGGGGAATTTTACCGTAGTTTAACATATTTCAGACAAACCAAATTAGGATCCCATGTTTCGCCACTGGGAGTGACCAAGGTCCCAACATATTGTGATCCCTGTCCCGGGAAGAGAAGGGCCACTGGTAATGGAGGCTCCTGGCGTTAGACCATGGACCAGACGTGTTGGAGGATGTAAAGAATACTCAAAAAGTATACTTGATATCACTTGATATCTTGATATCTATTTCAAGCGCTGCAGTTCTGCGGTTATGGTAATTCGATGTAATTCGTAATTATCTGATCAAAGAGCATTGAATTGTTGATAATTGTTGCTTCATGAAACACTGCCATGTTTAGGGTTTTCTTGGGGGTTTAGCAGCAGCCCAGAGCCCAGTCGACCACAAGTCACCCTGGGTCGAACCTTCTTCTCCGGCTTCTCCACCTTGGACCTTGAGGAAGTGAGTTTTTGGCGACTGCAAAGGTGAGCAAATGGGAGAAGAATCTGAGTGGTTGTTTTTTATCCATGATATTCCATGATATTCCATGATCATCCTGTTCAGGTCTCTCTTGTTCGGGCTGTATTCTCCACTTCTGCTACAGTAGATCATCGAAACAGTTTAAAGTTCAACATGTGCTTCTTGTTTTACACAGGTAGGTTGACAGAGACTCCACATCGCAAATCTCTTCCGATCTTCCCCCATGCTTCTCAACTCAAGCTAATGCGGCTGGACCATTTACTATCATTTACTCATCCATACCCACCATCTGATTATATCTAGTCATCTCTGATCCCTCCAATCGACTCCGAACCGGCTCCCCCCTTGGCTGTCCAAACAGGGGCAGGTCCAGTCGACCCTTCAGTTGTTCTGGAACGGGGTATGGTTTCTCCTGAGCTGAAGCACAATCCATTTTTTTTTTCTGAGTATTGAGAAGACCATCGAAAGACAATCGAAGTTTGGCTTTGGGTGCATCTCCAACCCTGCAAAATTCATTGGATTGGTTTAAGGGAAAATCTACAGGAAACCATGGTTTTTACCATTAAACATGGGGTTTCCTGTAAATTTTCCTGTAAACCAATCCAATGAAAAATTCTTTGGGCGCCAATCTGTTCACTATTTGAATGACCCAAATCTGTGGCTCCCATAACTTCACCAACTCAACCTATTCCATTCCTTCAGGTTGCTCCAGACTAGAGCTGCCCCCTCTAACACCTGACACCAATCCTCAACGCAAGGAGTTGAACTGACTACATTTTACTACCACCGGAACGTTTGCACATAGTTTTAAGGATCGTAAACACCATCACCATCACCATCACCATCGTTCATCATCATCGTCATCGTCATTCTCATCATCGTCATCGTCGTCATCATTATCATCATCATTCCAAACATCCTCTGGTGTGTAAACACCGGTTGAGCTCCGCACATAGCCGCCAGTGCCAAAGAGGTACTTGCGCTGTTTCAGCAAATCTTTGTCCAACCTCTCCACGGGTTATTTGTCACTTTCTAGGTAAATAGATACGGAAACAAAAAAAACATAGAAAACATGTCGTTCAGGAAGATCATTTGCCACTCTGGCATTTGTCGCCAAGGTTGCAACCTTTTGGCATCCACTCTCGTGCCGATGAGTCATGATAGTCATGATCCACGAATACATCCAGCAACAGCAAGTTGGAATTGTATCAAATTTTGCACCAGCGTTCCTTTCCCATGGAAAATTGGGGGCTCCCCCCAGGGGCTCCCCCGATCAAGTGGGACAAACCGGGCTCCCAACCTCTCCGTGACAACTGCATCATTGCCCATGGCTCGACGCTTCACCAAGTTATACCTGAGTGCGACATTGGTGCTATGAAATTACGGCTGCTATGATATCTGTGTCACGACCTTTAACTTTACGTTAACCAAACTAAAACTGTGTTTACATTCTAAAGTATATAATTCAGCTTATTTTATGATATTTTATGTACCTATTTGTCCGATTTTCCAGTGGCATGAACGCCCATGAACAGGTCATCCCTTCATCAGAGAGGGCCCGACTCCTGTGCTTTCACGGAATTCTTTTCCACGAGCTCTCCCTTTAGGGCCTGGCAAAATCAACACATAGGTCAACCACATCAATGTGGATAAAGAGTTATGACCTATTGGTGTCTGTGCATCATTCTATCCAATAAAACCAACAAATACGCATACGAGCAATAAAAATAAATAATGAAAATAATAAGAACAATAATAATATTATCATTATTATCATCATCATGATCATCATCATCATCATCATCATCACCATCATCACCATCTGAAAATCAAGGGTTGTGGCTAGTTTCACGAAAGATCATGATTTCGCGCCCCGATTCATGCGATCCCTCTATAAACTCCGGCCTGGAAAATCCACTCTTGTTCGGAAGTATGTAAATCTCTAGTTTTCCTCGGACCAGGACTGGCACAACCACGCAAATCTGGAGACACACAGCCCCTGCCAAAGTCTTGGTGCCATCAATCTGCTCAGGTCCGGGCCAAATTCGATTCTCTGGGGTGTCACCAGCATTGTTCCTTGAGACCGTGTCAGCACCTTGCAACAGTCATCCCTCGCACCATTGTGGCGATCAGGATCACTTATTTTTGTATGGTGGTACGGAATGGTTTTCCGTGCCACCTCAAATGGTTGTACCACCAATTACCTAGTTTTTAACATCGCAGCTAATAAAAGGGTTCGTTGGAAAACGTGCAGGTTATACCACTTATACCATCACTATTCCCCACTACTGCTGTGACCACCAGCGGCTTGCCTAATTCGACCAGTTTCTGAAGGCACCAGCTGGTACCGTACATCACCTCATGACTGGACAGCCAGGATGTCATATGGGGGCTGATATTATCACAAAGGAATACCATGGAATACCCCAACACAAAGCCAAAAACCATCTCCACATCAGTGTGTCTCAAAACATCCCAAAATGGATGGATAGATGGATGGATGGATAGATAGATAGATACAAAGATTGTTTCTCAGTGTTTTTAAGTTTTTCAGTTTTTTCAGTTTTTTTCAGTTTTTTGCAAGTGCTACCTTGCGAAGCATCTTACAAATAACCACCTGGTCACGGGGGCGCTGACCATATGTAGGTAGAGATTGTATACACAGCAAATTGAAGAGTATATGTATATATATATACATCAAGTTCAAGAAGATATATATGTATGCATATGTATATATATATATATACACAAGAGAGGTAGGTTCTGGGGGGGTGACCTGACCATAGATAGGTAGATAGATAGATAGATCGATCGATAGATCGATCGATAGATAGATAGATCGATAGATAGATAGATAGATAGATATCATGCATGATATATCATATCCCAATTTATGGTAAACAGATGGCAATCTATGCCGTTTTCAATTGGAAACTGCCGCCGCGTCACGGCATAGTGAGCCGGCCGGTCGCCCATGGAGCTGGGCCGGCTCAACTCTTCCGCGGTGCACATGTCCAGCATGGCAACCTCGTCGCCAGATACAGAAACTACCCTCTGGTAATTTAACATAGCTATGGAAAATCACCATTCTTAATGGGAAAATCCACTATAAATGGCCATTTTCAATAGCTATGTTAGTTTACCAGAGGGTACTGTGGATGGAAGAAATGCTGCACTAAAAGGATGGTTGAAAGTTGAAACATGTTGAAACCCTATGAAAAAATTTAATGACAATTATGGGGTAAGCTTACCACCTATATCAACTGGTGCAGGATTTCTTCCATCCACACTCTGACCCATCGGAAAAGTGAAGAAAGTTGCCTTTTCAGGCAAATTGGCCTTTCCTATCACTTCCATCTCTGGCACTTCAGGTGATATATTATCTTTCGAAGGAGATAACGAAAGTGAGCAGGTTTCAGTCGTCTTGAAAAAGAGCGGAAATGGAAGTGCTATATGGGGCATCTGCATGGCCACAGGCCAGGACCCACACTTAGAAATAAGTTTTGATATGGTTCGCTAATCACTAATTGAAGGATACATCTACCGGGATTTTGGGGGAAACCTCCCATGGTTGTTAGTGCTTTGTTCCACCCAGCTGAGGATCCTGAGGCCTGGACATCTCCATATTTACAAGCGATGTGAGCTATGGACCATCCCAGGGGATTCACAAAACCATCCCCTGCGGTGTACATGTAGTCCTGCCGTGGGGGAGCTGGGGAGCTGGGGATTCATGGCCACGGACGACACTTGCTGAGGTTGTCTACAGATTCTGTTGCCGCCGATTAGTGCCTTCCTAGATTGCCAAATAGAAAAGAACCAGAGATGTCAAGCAAACTTAACTGCAGATCATTGAATCACATCAGCTGTCGTCCAATTTCCCATTCCAACTCCCGCGGCCTTTGCAGTGACAATGACACCGTTGAAGGGATGTGTCAAAGGGTGCTTTGCCTCAGATTCACGAGGAATGGGCTAAAGGATAGTAAAGGGTTGAAGGACCATGCAATATCTACTATAGTTACTATACCATTATAGTTACTATACTATTATAGTTACTATACCATTATAGTACAATATTGTTACGTATAGTACAATATAGTATAACATAGTATTTCTCGAACGAGGATGGATAGCTCAAACTTCCAAAAGTGGCTCTCCAGAACAGTCTCTGTGCGTGCCCAGTTGCCCAGGTGGGAAGCTTGTAGGATGCGAACTTCTTATGTCCCGGCCTGGCAAACATGGCTGCTCTCCAAAGATCCAGTGGTTGTTTCGAGATGTTTCAAGAGATGCAGAACTGCACCGAACCTATTTTCGGCCATGCCATCTTCTTTCACATCGTAGTCTTGGCACCTCGGCAATAAAAATGAAATGCTTGGTTTGCATCTTAGAAGGCTATCAACATCAATATCCAATATATTCACGACTGAGCCCTTCATGCTGATAGCGGTCACACGGTCACCAATCGTTGCTGTTCCGCCTTACCAACCCGCATCACTGAGGAGTCGGGCCAGGTCTCTCCATCTTCCAAGTATGGCATGGTGCTCCGGTGTGCCTTGGTCCAACGCACCGCCAGCGTTTCAAAAACTGTGCTCAAAAGAGAAAGTCGCAACGACAATCCTCATGATTTCCATTCAATTCCATTCAGATGTGTAAAATTCTCCAAGAATCTCAAAAACCAATGTTTTTTTTTAGTATGATCATTAAATCATATTAACCAGCGCCGCTAGATGCACATCCATGGTATCCATGTTTTGAAACATCGCAGTTCTCCCTGCGACAGTCGCGCCTGTGTCCTAGGAGCACGCCGCTCCTAGGATCGGCTCCCGAGCTGCTGCTCTCTGAACCAAATGCTGCAGGAGATCGCTGCTGACTATGTTATATATATATATATATCATTGCATATATATATATATACATTAAATGTATATTATGTATTATATAATTATGTACTGTATATTCCATTGAATACATGTATATCAGATTATAACATAGTGATGTTCTTGTCATTTATCCTGGTGTCTTGAAGCAGCTGTGATTTCAGGATCTTCGGTGGCTGGTCGGGATGCCCGTCTTGGGCATGCGCCCTAAGCTGCATCAAGGGCAGTTTGTAAAGGTTTTTAAGGATATACCCTCTGGTAATTTGACAGAGCTATAGAAAATTACCATTTTGAACAGGGAAGGGAATTCATGAAATTCATCTAAATTCGCCATTTTCCATAGCAAAGCAGCAAAACGTTAAATTATCAGAGGGTAAAGAGTGGGAATCTTCGCCGCCAGGGAGTTCAACCCCCACCCACCGCACGGACTCACAGCTGAACAGCGGCCGACCTTGCTGGTCAAAAGGTCTGGAACACTTGGTGACATGATCCAAAACTTATGTCGTACATTATCATTATGATTTATAGATCAGATTTATGTACTATTATTGTTACCTCCTAGTCTTATTATTACATTCTCGTACCTTAAATGATAGGCTTCAAAAACAATATAGAAGTAGGAAATTCTACGAAGATCTACGAAGTCATATTTGTCTTGATGAATCAGAAGTCCTTCTTTTAAATGGGGCAACACGTTGGACATATTCTACAGGACTTCAGGTTGCTTCCAAGACCTAAAGGCCTGTCTCTGTCAGCTCTATCATTCTTGTATGTATTTCTGAATCTGGTCCGTAAACTTTGGGATATTAATATCGGTATTCAGTACAAATTTACCTTATATATGAATTCAAAGGATTTCAACATATTTCAAAGCAGGAAACCCACCTTGGAAGAAATCGTTCAGCTCTGCCTCCAGTCAACAACGGTCAGCACCCACAAAAGCAGGGCTTTTGAGCCATCAGACACATCCACCCCTCCAACTACACGCAAATCCTGGGCATTAGTAAGGAAACACAGACACACAGCAATGGCCATGAGGTCCCATACACCAAATCAGCTACATTCAGCTACTGTCTACAAACAAATCAAAAGTCCCCTCGCAATGCTCATGGCTAAATATTCTTACAACCATCTACAAACTCTACAAACAATAAAATCATTAAAGAACATCCAGCATCTTTGTGTCGGCCCATATTGAAACAACTCCAAAGGTGATCTCGTCCTCACGAAATGCATCAGCCTGCTCGTCTTGCCATGGGTTGCAGCTCAGTCGTGTCGAATCCCACCTAAGACAAGCCGCTGTGTGGTGCTGTGGGCCTTCCGTGGTTTTCCTATCAATAAAAGATGGTTAAACTATTAAACATCAACGAAATGACCAACATCTCTGGGAGTGCATGAGGGTAGTGACACCTTGACAAACCAGAAATGGCATAAATGGGATCTATGGGCCATCGCCCAGCATATCCCAGCATATCCCAGACCAGTCTGAGGCCCCTGAGGCTCCTGAGGCTCCCACAAATGCAGCCCAAAAGGTCTGTGTGGGCTCTGCTGTGGTGCCCTGACCTGGGTCTACATCCACCGGATCCACCAGGCCACGGGTATCACCCAGTGCCACAGAGTCTCGGTTCTTCCTTGGTGCCGCGACACAGCTGGCCACCCAAGATATTTCACAGTTCTACAATAAAACCGGTTTCTGATGTTTTCTGTGTTTTTATATAGATAAATATGAAATAATATGCATATGGTTAAGTACCTCCGATTGTTTCCGTATTTTTTCCATCTGTTTTCATTCGTGTTCCAATCATGTTCCCATGATGAAACTGAGATGTTGACGAAATGTTGGAAGCCTGCAAGCACCAACATCACCAACATGAAATGCGTGCGCGAAACAAGCAGCACGTTGCCGACAAACATTGGCAACGTTTCGTTGGCTGTCGGCCCTGGGCCGTGGACTGAGCTGTTCATAGTTTCATTGCGGGCACTCGAAGTGTCGCTGCGGTTTGCAACGCTGGCACCTGCCATGTGCAATCGACCATTGAGGATTCACCAGGACGTCCGAAAAAACTCGCCACAGCGTCGCCACTCTTCACTTGCTCAGCTTCTGAAGGCCTGGAGCAATTCTGTGGTGGCAAACGGCTTCGAAGCAAATTCGTTGCTGGAAATCTAAGGATCAAACACTGACGAGTTTGGCGCAGCCTCAAACAATATTTATAATGACATGCTATGCCCGTTGTGCCACTCGGTAAATTTATGTAATTCTTGTCTACTTCAACTGTTCAACCTTGAAAGGGACAGAAAGAAGTGCAATGAAATGAAACGAAGAAACAGATCGAACAGACGTCTGAGGGCTGCGCCGCACTGTGCGAGCTAACATTGCTGCCATCCACGGCACTCCCAGTGGAATTTCCAGCACCTGTGGCAACGACTGCGAACGACTGATGCCTGTTTTGGTGTGACTGGGATCCTCGCCTGGCTCAGACCCAGAGCTAACATTGCTGCTGTTGGCGTTGCTGGACCCTGGCCAAACTTTCAGGCACGAGTTGAAAAATACATAAAGATACTGAAGGTGATGCAAAAACACTGAAAAACATTGAAAAACTACATGTGTCTCGATCAAGACCAGTAAACATCAGTGAAGTATAGAGAAGTCATTTTGAATTTCGCCTTGCTCCCGCTTAGTGCTGGCAAAAGTCTCTGCTGGTTCCGACGAATGCCTGTCAAATTGTAAAGCATGAATGTTCCATCTTCCAATGAACTATTGCGAATAGACATATCAAACAGGTTGACCATCGAAGTGTTGCATGATGTTTCATCACTTTCAGAATCTCGCAGGTTTTCTATCCAGCGTAACATAATTCGAATATGTTCAAATTAAGTTGGCTTGCAAACCATTCAATCGATGGGGCTGACCCGGAACAGTGAAACCGACACTTGTGGGATGTGGTATGACGTGTGTCCAGTGATGTCCAGTGTTTCCTGTCTTTGCATCCTGAGGTGTTGACGAAGTATTGGGCAAAGCCTCGAATCCAACACATTGTACACAGGACAAGCTGAACTTGCTGAGTGGGATCTGGACTGAGTTGGTCGCCGTTGCATTGAGAGCGCTACGGCCTGCAATGCAGCAATGCATCAAGTCAAACCAGGTTGATGCCACTAAACAGTCTGATCTACATTGTCTAAGCGCTGGAAACCGCTTCGCCATGCTATGTGACTTCTGATACTTCTGGACAAAAATGTGTGACATGGACGTGTTCAAATCATTGACACCAGAAGTGCAAACTTGCCAGTAGTACCGTCACCAGTCTTTGCTGGTTGCCCGGATGAAGTCCTTGCACACTGCAACGCTTGTCCCAAAATTACTTTACTTCGTGTGATCCCCACCATGACATTTATACGTTTTGTTACTGGCAAATCTTCTGACATTCTATCTGGCATATCTTCTGGTATTCGATCTGGCATTCTATCTGGCATATCTTCTGGCATTCTATTTGGCATTCTATCTGGCATATCTTCTGGCATTCTATCTGGCATATCTTCTGGCATTCTATCTGATATTTTATCTGGCATTCTCTCTGGCATACCTTCTGGCATTCTATCTGGCATATCTTCTAACATTCTATCTGGCATATCTTCTGGCATTCTATCTGGCATCCTATCTGGCATATCTTCTGGCATATTATCTGGCAAATCTTCTGGCATTCTATCTGGCATATCTTCTGGCATTCTATCTGACATTTTATCTGGCATTCTATCTGGCATTTCTTCTAACATTTTATCTGGCATATCTTCTGGCATTCTATCTGGCATATCTCATGGCATTTTATCTGACATATCTTCGGGCATTCTATCTGACATTCTATCTGGCATATCTTCTGGCATTCTATCTGGCCGTTGAGGTCCAGCAGGGAACACTGGGCGTGGATGGTCGTGGTTGAGGTCCGGCAGGGAACACTTGGCATGGATTCTCGCGGTTGAGGTCCGGCAGGGAACACTGGGCGTGGATGGTCGTGGTTGAGGTCCGGCAGGGAACACTTGGCGTGGATGGTCGTGGTTGAGGTCCGGCAGGGAACACTGGGCGTGGATGGTCATGGTTGAGGTCCGGCAGGGCACACTGACGTGGATGGTCGTGGTTGAGGTCCGGCAGGGAACACTGGGCGTGGATGGTCGTGGTTGAGGTCCGGCAGGGAACACTGGGCGTGAGTGGTCGTGGTTGAGGTCCGGCAGAGAACACTGTGGATCGCGGGTCGCAGTTGAGCCAGGACGACGAGGACGACGAGGACGACAAGGACGACAAGGATGACAAGGAGGACGAGGAGGAGGAGGAGAGGAGGACGAGGCAGGAGGAGGCGGAGGAGGAGGAGCAGGAGGAGGCAACTGACATAAAATCTAACAACCCTCACCTGGCAGGTGGGGAAAAAATCTTTGTGCAGCCAAGCCATTCGTAACAATTTAGGGCCCGGCGCTGACACATTTGGAGCAGCCTTGTACTTTGCATATGGAAAACATGGTCATGGCAAAGTTATGATTCAAGTTTCAAGTGGTCGAAATAACGCACTGTGCTGGAAAAGCAATAAAGCGCAATCCAAGGGCTGAACAGAACCAGGCCCTGCAGGGCTGGTATTACCATCAGTGCTCGACTTGCTTGTGCTGCTGGAGTTGCCTGCGTGGCCAACACAAATAGACCCAAAAGAACATTCTGCGGCAACTGCCATGTCCTCAATTGTTCCGATCCAAAACCCAATCTCAATCCTGTTGACTCTACCAAAGACCTTCAAGTTTTCCAGTTTCCACGTCCAGAAGGCCTTGCTCCTGGTTTGGGCTGGTAAAAGTCCCCGCAGGTTCGGAAGGATGCCTGTGAAAACATGACTGCACCAACTTTGGGAATCTTTGAAGCAGAGTCATTGCGAAATGTTGCGAACTGCAGTTGGGAAGCATAAGCAAGGCGCTGCGTTTTGTCAGGAAGAAAACACTGGCAAAGCAAAGCTCTTGATTGCCCACTTCCATTAATTACCTGATTTCAGGCAACTGGAGCACATCTTGCGCTTCCTATGAGGTCAGAAGTTGTCAAAGCCTCTCAGCATCGTGCTCTCACTTGATCATTGCAGCATCCACGATTGCCAGCTGCCAAATGCTTGCACTGCCTTCCTCTTTGACGAACGGGCCACCCGTTGGATTTTCTCATCGCCAGCAAATGGGGCAACCAGATTTGTAGAGAAGTCTGGTCTCTCTGCGTCGCGCTGCGTTTGAGTTTGACTCTTGACCGTCTCTAATGCAGCCACTCGGTTCTGCCATCCTTGTTCCTGGTTGTTCTTCTCTTTCTCGACCACCTGCTGCAAGTACTCTTCGCTGGGCATGGTATGAGGACGCATGGCAATTTAATTGAGTCTCTCCCTGCACTTTTTCATCTCAACAATGAACCCTGCAACTTTATTCTCACCTTCTTCGATTTCAATCATTATACCGTATACCCTCCATGATTTTCTCTTTGTCAAGCTTGCCCTGGTTTGCTTCATCGTACTTTGCCTTCAAATCATCGCGGGTCTTCTCCTGCTCTTCCATGGACCATTCCAGTATGGAATGTTTTGGTGCTTTGTCCAATGGCACTTGTTTGCCATTATCCATGACGCAGCACCTTGCCTTTTCATTATCATTACTCAAGCCACAGTCTCTATGACAGGTTCTGTCACATTCTTTGTACCAGGTGGTGTTGTTGTTGGTTGGTGTCTTGCGACATTTTGGCACCTGCACCGTCACTTTGAAGCCTTTGGAACCTTCAAGTTGGTCGTCATAGAGGGAAAACTGCACTGCTTGCTCTTGCAAGGAATGGGCATGCCCCAAGGTGGCCTTCACGAGTGGCACCAGATTTTCCAGTGAATTTTTAAGCTGCTCGCGTTCATACATGACTTGCTTGGTTAAAGCTAAAGTTGTTTGGTTGCATGGAGGCCAAAGCGTCAAAAAAGTCTGACATGTTGGCTTTCCCCAAATTCCAGAACATCTTGCTCACAGCATCTGTTTTGGGGTCGTTGCGGTCTACAAACAAAGCCAAATTGTTGAACTTGAAGTACGCCTTCATTGGAATGCCATCTGCGATGACTGCATCAAGTGCCTGTGGCCTCTCACCATCTGCAAAAGTGAAGCACGGCAAAACGTTGCCTGCGATGTCCTTGCCAAACAAACTCAGGGTGGCGTTCCAAACATACTTCCGGGACTCTGTCAAGCGAGCTGCTGAGGTTGGGATCACCAGGCGAACACCAGTGAGACTGTTGACGTGCTGTGACATGTTGAAGAAATTCTTCATCTGATCCACAATTTTGCCATCAAAGTGCAGTCCCCAAGTGTCCCCAAAGCCTGGGGTGTTAACAATGATGACACTGCTCTTCACTGGGCTGCCTTTCACTGGGATCTTGTATGCTATGACAGCATCAGACTGGCGGCTGCTCCTGGCAAACTGTTCTTGCTGACAGTTTGGAGCTCGTCTACCACTTTGAACCTGATGCCTTCCTCCCACTTGATGCCCAGCAAGGAGTTCAGCATCCCATCGATCTGTGTGGATTTTCCTCCGCCGGTTTGCCCAAGCACCAGAACCACGATCTCCCTTGTTCTCCTCTACATACGCGCTGGGAATCTGCGATTCCATCACACGCTCCTTGGGTTCAATCTTCTCACCGAAGGAGTACATGTAGTCTTGGACTTGGGTCTTTTTGAAGGGTATAGGTAGGCCAATTGCAAGCCATTCTTCTTCTCCACACGAAAACCCTCCACAGCCTGCAGTGCATTGAAGAATTTCCCTCCGATTGAAGGTGCAGCTAAGGTTGCTCGACGCACCTCCATCACTGACTAAATCACCCAGCTTCTTGCGATCTACTTTGGCAAAGCGACAATCTATGGCCACTGCCATCAAATCTTCTGGCTGCATGTCTATTAAATACTATTAGCATCTTGACATCACCGTATAGTTGGCATTCTCATGGTTGCATTGCACATGTTCAAGGCGTATTTCTCCAAGTTCTTCCGCAAGAAGT